GGTCTGAACTCGGTGAGAAGAAGAGAAGCAATCTCTCGTGTGGCTCCAAGGCTTTTCACCACGTTGAGAGGCAACTTGAAGCCCTAGATGTATATATAAAACCAGATGACTCGACTGCCTGGGCTCTCACAAGAGCAAAGAGAGACTTGAAGTTTTTGAGTATATAGGGGTGGACATGCGGCTCTCTCCACGCAGTCTTGTGTTTCTGTAGTTCTTGCGGGAACGGGAAGGGAGTTTCTCCTTGACAACAACGCGGGGCTTGGCGTTTTAGCAGGACAGCACTGGAACCTAGGTCTAATACATGTTTCCAGCGACGAGATGGTGATTTCTCGACTGAAGCTGGTACTTTGTGAGGCCAATGAACCGCTCAGTGTTCCAGTCATGCACTGTCCCGTATAAGTACTGAAATGGTGGCGGCAATTAGTTCTTACTCTTGTCGCGACGTAATGGGTTGTATGACTTGTAGATGACAAATATAAAATAGTGCTACTCGATTATGTCGATAACGTTCTTGCCTCCGACGATCGGCTCCAGCTTGAAGTCATCCTTCGCTGGGGCGGTCGGGATTCGCAAAGGGCAGGTAACAACTTTCCAACCCTCACTCACTGCCATCTCGAAGAGAAACCTGGACAAGAGATAGTCGGCGTGTTGCTCCAAGGAATAATCGTTGAAACTTGTCCTCCAAGACCTTGCTGATTTATCATGGTCCTCGTTGAGGTGACGAACAAAGGTCCTATCATTTGGTGGAACGTGAAATTCTCGATATATAGGTAGAGTCTGCCTAGGACAATGCAGAATAGGTCGAAAACTGAGTCTGGCTCATGACATGTAGGACCAAGCGAACATTCGCAGGCATCGTTTGTCGCCTCGCTTGGTAAACGGCGTAGGAAGCCCCGAGGGAATTGAGATGAACTTGATAAAGGTGGAGGCTCGATCTTGTCGTATGTCCAGTCTTCTCTTTCGAGCGCTCACCGCGCCGAATGTCGAATCCAGAGTGGCAAAGAGAATCTTGAGATTCTGCCTTCACCGGGTATATAAAGCGCCAGGGTAAAAGGGAAAGCCCAACCATGGGGGTTATCTGAGCCCCATACTGAGATGACGTTGCCAACAAACGAGTCTAAGATGCATGATTGAGCGCTCCGAGAACCGATAAAGGGAAAGGGGCAGCACTGTTTGCCTCCTGGCTCAGCTCGCTAGATTTTTGTATATATGGGCCTTTCTACTTAATAGATCTTGGCTTTCGTTCAAATGAAATTCGAATTTCAATCGACTTTGATTCGATGAAGTTCAGAGATATACTCTATATCTAGATGAGAGATTCATCCGCGACGAGAGGAGGGAGTGTAACTTCCAAAGTCTCCGACTCCCAGCACATTCTGCAGCTTACCTATCGCTGCCCACTGTATGTGATGAAGCTTCGCGGCGGAGGTTTGATCAGAGTGCGGACATGACGTAGAAGATAGAGACCATGGTAATGTGCCTCCTCCAGAACAAGATAGAAGACCCTTCTTTATATACTGATAGGCCGTGGGGCCCGACCAGGGCTTCTGCATCGTTTGCACTTATTGCAATGATCACCACGACGAGGGGTCCCTCATCAGAGCAAAAAAAGAAGACCGAGGGAGTGTCTTTCTCGGGAATGATGGGCGGCCACAATCGAAGAGTAGCATCGCCTCAACTTGCGAACTCGGCGCTTACCAGCTCTGGGAAAGTCACATCCTCTGGAATGGTACCAATAGCTGCCATTCCGTGGTTTTCTAACACGAGGTGTCGAAGACATGGCATCGCGGCTAGGATGCCAGATGGGAATCTCTGGGTTGCTCCGCGCCCCGTCTTGTTGGTGGCTCCTTTCTCGAGGTCAAGTTCCCGCATAGCTTTGAGAAGACGCTGAAGAGTCCTCACGATTGTCGGTGGACGGTGTGAACGTCTGGCAGGCGTTGCCCTCATAAGCGAGAAGACGGAGAACCCCATCTACAGGTAGGGCAGCTGTGTTAGTCTCGGGGAGCAAAGCTGGAGACTACTTCCTGACCAAGGACTGCAGATGAAGGGCTGAAATATATATAGGAGAGGAATGATATGGCGTCGACCAACATCTTTAGAATAGGACTGTGTCTCGACGTGGATCGAGTATATAACCAGGCTGCACTAATTCGGGGGCACCTGAGAAGCCGAGGGGAATTCCTGTGAATGGACTTGAAAGGGTATATGATATAGAATCCAACTCAATTGTGCTTTCGAGTCAAGATCCAGGTTCGCCAGGAGCCAGGGGAGGCACCTGGAAGAAGACTTTTGTTGTGTGTTCAAACCGACATTTGCCGCCTCAAGATGCGTCATTCCCATTCATTTGGGTCGCTGGGATCGCCGAGAATTATCCCAAGGATCCAACTCGTCAAAAAGATGAAACGCTGTAGGACAGCCTTTTCTGAATGGGAGGAATGATGCCTTAAGGTACCTAGAGTAGGCCTTCTATGACGTCTTCCCAGCTCATGAAATAGCACGTGGGAGAAGCCCAAGAAGCCGACGAAGCCAGGACTTGAATGAATAAAAAGCTTTGTCTCTCCTCCGAGCAATGGTTGAGATGGGGGTTCGTATATATAATAGGAAAGCCGCCAATAATAATCCATTGTCAAAGGCCCCTTGATGGGAATCTGTCTCTGTAACTATGTATTGATCCTGGGCCCCGGCCAGAGGGTATATGCGTTCCATCGAGGAAAAGTATTGATCTGGGCAAGGTGAAGCGGAACGCAATGTTCCTTTTGGCTCTTGCTGGAGGATTGAGGCTATAGAGGCGTCGTTGACGACTTGAGCGTTCTGACGTGATTGACTGTTGGAGGTTGTGTTCGGTGGTGTTGGGTTCGTGAAAGACCATTCCCATCGTACAAGTCAGGTCGGGTCAGATCGATTCAAAGGGCGTCTGTCGGTCAAGAACAAGAGGCAGAACGTCTTGAGCAGTTCGTGGACATGGCGCGCAAGACCACGTACGCAGTCGGCTAGAGGAACCAGAATCCTGGTACTTTCTCTTGAGCCCACCGCCCACGGTTTGTAACCAGTGTAGAGAACACTAGATGAAGTCTGAATGCAGTAAGGCTCAGGTGTGCCCAGGTGTTGACAAAGGTATCGTGAGGTGTATATATTGCAAAGTTCAAAGATGGACGAATAGTCATTCAAGACACACTGTCCTGGCTTGAGTCATGCGTCGAACGCGTGCAGGAAAAGGCTCGACTTGGGACTTATGATCATGAGAGTGAAGTATGGAGGGAACGGTTGAGTATTGGACTTTTCCAGTTCGCTCGGGACCCTTATGTATATAGCGAAACATGGCCGGCCCGTATCTCAAGATCCAGGATTCATCTCGTTAACGTAGTGCGACAGGCCGGCCCCGCGAGTAGGGATGGGGTGCTTGTAATATATCCGACGAAAACGAAAGCGTATATAGAAAAGTTCCGTTTGGACGTTGCATCTTTGGCCACCCCCTTCTACAGAACCGAGATATCTCTGACTTGTGTCGAGACCAGAGGTTAAACACGAGGACCCAAAAATGAATCGTTCTGGTGAAAAAGAGGCCACGGGTTCGTCGTCTTCTGTGTTTCTGGGGGTGACCTGGCAGAGCCCGAAAAGGAGTTGGCCTCACTGGGGCTCCGCACATGATGAGAAGCTCAAAGCTGAAGCATCAACTCGGCTCGTGAGACTCAAAGGAGAAGCGAAGGAAGCCAAATGTGGCTGGGGGCAATAGAAGGGGACAGTCGAGGACATTCCATCTTGTTCTTGATTGCTGTATATATAAGAGTTTCCGAATGACGTATGAAGGGATATGGGCGGGTGAAGAAGGCCTCGGCATCAGCTTCTTCTATATCTCTAAGCCTGGTTGCATTGGTTCTTGTGCTGCGACAGATCTTCTTCGTCTCGTGCCTGGTCGATGTCTCGCTCGAGCCCAGAATGGTGGAAAACGCCAAGGGAAGTAGAACTCTTGAGCTGTCAAGTCGATGAAGTGACTAGAATACTGGTGTATATATATATAGAAGGTATTGAGTTTTCAAGTCGAACTTAGAGGGAAAGAGGGGGTATTTATACCCAGAAATGAAACCATTTGTCGTTACCAGTTAAAGCCTACAATTACCACCAACAGCCGTATTTACCATCTGCTTGATGGTGATACCCTCAAACCAGAACAAACCAAACCCTTGCCAAGCAGGTACGTCACTTTGTGGAGTAAAAGGCTAAAAGCTTGGCATCTCTGTCAAACGGTTGGGGACAGGCCCGCCACGTGATTCTGGTCAAAGCGTTCGTTTTTTCACCCCAACGTAAAAGTAAAGTGGCATATCTTGATCCATGAGCCGCGGCACGTTTTTTTATGTGTACAAGTTGGCATATGATATTGTCTGTATAGTAACAATATTAGTCAATTTTGTAACTATACCGCATGTTTTATAACAATACAACGCCATTGGAATCAGCGTCTCAAGTGATACATCATGTGCCCCCTGTAAATTACCCCATTCGGAACATCGCAACATCGGGGAAACCGCTGACTCAGGTTCCCGACTTTCACAAGCCAACTTTCACCCACACCCACAACTCCGTCATGTTCACGGCCTCGGCCAATCAAATCGCCCCAATCAACGACTCTTCTCAGCGACGGCAGTCTTTCGTTCTTCCCGATCCCGTGGCCGCCATCCAACGGGCGCCTTTTTTTCTCTTCTTCTTTCCCTGTTCCTGTTTTTTTTTACTTAGTAAACTTTATGCTTCAAGCCATGGCCTTGTGATAGCAGGTCATTTTTGTTTCTTACCTTATTGTTACCCACCTTCGTTTTCGTTGTGTCTGTGTGTGTGTCGCAAAAAGAAAAAAGAACCCCGCTGTTGCTACTGCCCGCCATCGCCATCGCCGCTGCCGCCGTCGCGAGCGAGAATTGAAGCCTCCACTCAACGAACCGAACCAAACTAAACCAACCACCCCCCGCCAAACCCTCTCTCCCTATATCCGTCGACTCTCCTCCGAAATACTTGTCTATATCGCACAGATTCTCCCTATATCGTATAACTACGCACGACCAGCCCACCATGTCTTTCTCGAGCATGTTTGCGACCTTCCTCACAGGCTACGCTGCCCTCACCATCTTCTTCTACGCACTCTCCATGGTCGTCCCCAAGGCAGGCTTCGTCGCCCGCGGCCTAGCCTCGTACATCTCGCTCATCTTTGCCGCCCTCTACGGCGTCTTCGTCTCCATCTTCCTCACCCTCATCGGCAAGCAGGGGATCGCCCAATGGGCCGCCGGCCGATGCTTCCTCTACGCCATGCTCTTGACCACAGGTGTCGAGTTTGTCATTGAGGACCCCAACAACATCCTCGGTTCCACGCGCCCCGCCGTCTTTATCGGAAACCACCAAACCGAGCTCGATGTTCTCATGCTGGGTACCATGTTCCCCAAGTACTGCAGCGTCACGGCAAAGGCCTCGCTCAAGAAGACACCCTTCCTCGGCTGGTTCATGGCTCTGAGCGGTTCCATCTTTATCGACCGCAAGAACACAAAGGATGCCCGTGAGGCCATGAAGGGCGCCGCCAACGAGATCCAGGCTAAGCGCCAGAGTGTCTACATGTTCCCCGAGGGCACTCGCAGCTACGCCAAGGAGCCCATGCTGCTCCCCTTCAAGAAAGGCGCTTTCCACCTAGCTGTCCAGGCCGGCGTCCCCATTGTTCCCTGCGTTGTCGCAAACTATAGCCATATCCTCTTCATCAAGAGTTTTGTCTTTAAGTCTGGCAAGATTCCCGTCAAGGGTATGTTTTCTCTCTCAGAGTGACAATTTTATAGCTGACTGACAAACTACAGTTTTGGAACCCATTCCTACCAAGGGCTTGGAGGCTGCTGATGTTGATGAGCTCACCCGCACAACGCGCGAGCTCATGCTCAACGAGCTCGTCACTCTCACTGTCAAAGCTCGAGGCCAACCCATCGCAGTGCCCGCCACAAACGGCAACTCAACCGGCAAGAGTTCCGGCGTCGATACCAACGGCGCCGCCCACTAAGTGACCACACCCCTAAAAAAACATTGTAGACTTCAGGTTGGTAGAGGTAGATTTTCAAGAGGAGGAGACAGACTGGATAAGGGATGATGAGTAAATTTTCCTAACGAGAGAGGGTTTCCAAGGGGAGTCATGTCGGATGAAGAGACTCGAAGGCAGTCATTTGATACCCCCATAGACGCATGAGGCGGCTTTTTGCTCTGATGGACTGAGCAAAGTCGATTGCTTTTTGTTTTTTGTGCTATTGCATTGTTTTTCCCCCATCATACATACTGTTTCCACGCTTTGCTGTTGAGACATGTTTTTTGTTTCTCAAGATACAGACGATTATCAGATGAACCAATAGACGACGCATGATGAGATGAGATTTCAGTTGTCTTTGCAGTTGAGTCCATGTTTGACGACATCACCCAGACGATGAAAACTAGAATCAAACATCAAGTATTGATACACACATCGCTGTCTAGGCCACACATGGTCTACTATCGTCACCCACTTCTTCCAACATGAGGCCAAAAACAAGGCAAGATTTCAACTCCAAGATCGCCAACCCCCGTCCCATGTCTCATCATGCACCAAAGGCCGAGGCCAGCCAATTACAAGGAGTACCGCTACATAGAAAATCACCTCAAGAAAAGAGTCCCGACTTTTTCAACACTTGACACTCTCTCTGCTTCACTCGCTAAGTGCCTGCAGCGCCTGTGTCAGCGACACCACTCTCAAGCTCCGACCGCGCCTCGGTGTGCCAAGAGCAGCTGTGTTGCCGCTGTGAGTTGCCGTAGGGCTGAGGTCATCGCGCCAGAAGCGAAAGACTCGCTTCAGATCCCGAGGGATACCCTCGAGCACAACCGTCGAGATGGGGACAAAGGGGCGGTCCTCCATGCCAGAGGCAAGGATGGCGTACTCTTGCGCAAAGTCAAGAGCGTTGCGGAAGGATGCATATCGGGACTGGGCACGGGCGCCGACGATGATGTACATCTCAAAGAAGGCGTCGAGGACGTAGATTTGCTCAGGGGAGAGGTCACGCTGGTTGAAGGGCGAGATCTCAAAGACCTAGTTATCGTCAGCATGTGTCAAGATCTACTAGAGAACAGTCAACATACCTGCTGCCGTGTATCTGCGTCCGAGCAGAAGAGTCTGCTGCAGTACTTGGCATAGTTGGGCTTGAGTCGCCAGTGATCAGCCGAGTGCGGCTTGGATCCTCCCTCGAATAGCGCCCAGAACGACTCGGGCTCTTCACCGTCTTCGACCTCAATCAACTCCCCAGTCAGCGTGAGCTCGATGCCAATCAGTCGTGCTGCGCTCAGCTCGGCCACATCGCAGCCACGACCCTTCCAGAGATAAGCCTTGCCCTGGTTGGTGATGAGGTATGAGAATCCCGCACAGAGACTGGATGGCGTAAAGTCGCACTCGTCAAACGAGACCTGACCCTGGTATTGTCGGCCACAGAGCATGTTGGCTGCTAGCGAGTCGTACTTGTTGCTCGAACCTCGTCGGACCATGACAACACCACCAAGCGCCTGGAGGAACTCGGTCGTCTCCTTGCCCTGCGGCATCTTGACCAGCTTTCCACCAAGGGCCTTGGCCTCCTTCTGAACAAACAGGAGAGCATCATCAGCTGCAGCCTCGGGCACTTGGTCACCAACCCAGAAGTAAATCTCCAACCGCTTCCAGCCAGCCTCATTAGTGAAGCTGTGCGGGGCGATGTACATCTCTCGCTCAAACAGCACGCGCTCATGGTGCGAAGCAACCGGCGACTTTCTGCCTTCAGCCGAGATCTGGAACACCTGGAAGCTCAGACTCTGGATCTTAGCAGGCCCTGTCGGTGGGCGGTTCATGAGAATCGATGCAGTGTCCACCTTGTACTCGGTCCTGGGCTGCTTTGGGCCGAAGAAGTCGCTGAGCAGATTTGCCACATCGTTACCCTGCTTCTTTGGCGATGCAGCCGCCGAGGCGGTTTGCTGGGCCTTGGGAGTCTGGGGTTCCTTAGCCGCCGGAGGAGTTGGCAGAGGGCGGTTAGCCACTCGAGATGGTGTCTTGTTGATCTGAAGTGGAGATGAACGTTCGACCTCAGGGAGCGCACGAGGTGTCCTTGTCGGTGTCTTGGTCACCTCAGGCTCAGCCCCATCGAAAGAGGGCTTTGAAGGTGGTGGTGGTGACTGAGCAGCACCACCAAGAGCAGCACCGCCAAACATGGCTCTGGCGTTCTTGACCGACACGACAGGGTCGCTGTCAACCTTGGTGGGTGATTCCGGCTCCGGCAGAGGACGCTGGAACATCTTCACAGGAGACCTGGAGCCAGTTCGCTGGTGAGTCAACTTGACAGGCTCCTTAGGAGACTCCAGCTTTGCGCCGTTGGATCCAGCTTCATCAAAGAACCTCGACATGCGCTTCGTGTCGAGCTTCTTGGGCGAGTTGGGCTGCGAAGCGGCATCACCAGTCTTCTGGATTCTAAGGGGAGACGGGAAGTCGCCAGAAGCAGGCTCAGTGGGAGATGTTTGCTTGCGGAGGAATACGGGAGCTCGCTCCTCAAGGCTTTGGAAGCCCTTGGCAGCTTCTTTCTCCTCAGGCTTAGCACCAGGAGTAGGTCTACCACGAAGGGCCGCCTTGGCAGCGACCTGCTGTCGGATAGAGAAGGGACCAGAGGCTGCCTCTTGAGTCGTTTCCACAGGGATAGGGGTTTCCTTCAGGGGTGCCTCCTTGACAGGCTCGACAGGCGCCTCAATGGGCTTTGGGCTCTCCTTGGGCACAGGCTTGGACTCAGAAGCTGGGGCAGCTGCAGGGGCGGCTGTGGTCGGCGCCTTTCTCCTAGGTCCTCTCGCTCGACCCTTTGTCATATGTGTCAACTGCGGGCCAGGAGCAGATGGCTCAGTGGTTTGTGCAGAAGCACCCTTTGAGCCGGATTCTTCACTGGCTCCCCCATTGGTAGCCATGGGAGGAGGGCCTCGTGCAAGCATACCAGCCAGAGCTGGGCTGAACCGGCCAGCAAGCTTACCTCCTACACCTCCTACACGTCCCTGCAGTATAGAGGGGGCACTCGTTTCCTTCTGCAGGATTGGCAAGGCTCTTGGCTCCTCTGGCTTTGCGGCAGATTCTGTTGATACCCGCTTGAGGCCTTCGTTCGAGTGCTCAGGAGAAAAGGGAACGGCGGCGGGCTTTGGCGAAGGCTTTGGCGATACAGTGGGCTTCGGCGAGAAAGATGGTGTACTTTGCATCCTCTTGGGACCAGGAACCGGCTTTGGCGACTCTGGCCTACCTGGCGCAGCAGCCGACTTCAGATCCATGACTGATTTTCTCTTGTTGGCCAGCTCAGCTCGTCGTGCGAGTCCCTCGGGCACGGGCTGGTCGGCGGCCATGGTGTTGCTTCTGGTGATGCCCTTGCCTTCTGCCTGAGCTTTCTTAAAGTCATCCTTCTTCTTCAAGATGGCTTCCTTGAATTCATCTACCCTCTCCGTCTTTTGAGGGCCACCTGTTTGGTTGAGCGCGGCCTTGCCTCGCAAGATGTTACTCTTGAGCTCATCAGGGGCTACGTAGTTCTGAGTCTTGGTCCTGCGAAGGTTACCAAACACGTTCTTGAACTCGGGCTCGTTTGTCTTTGGTGCCTCAGAGCCGGTCGGTCGATGCCTCAAGCTGCCGCGAAAGTCCTTCTTAGGCGGCGTCTCAGGCTTCGGCTTTGGCATGGGTGCAGGGGGCTTGGTCCCGCTGGGACTTGTAACCTCCTCATGCTCGGGTTCGTGAAACTTCTGCTTCTCCTCTGCTGTAAGCTCAGGATCTGGCACCGGTTCAAGCTCAGGCTCAGGAACAGGCTCAGGGGCAGGGGCAGGCTCTACCGCCTTCTCTTCGGCACCTGCTGGCTCAAGCTTAGGGGCAATCTTCGAGATGCTCTTGCTAGCGCCATGACCGAAAGGAGGTCGGTTGCCACCAGGAGGAGGAGAGTAGATACCGCCCAGGCCAGGGGTATTAGGCCTTGCAACAGATCCCACCGGCGTAGACCTCATAAGCCCACCGATGCTAACCTGATGCTTGTGAGAGATGGATCCCGGCCGAGGACGGGTCCCTTCTGTAGCGGAGTTGCCTTTCTCGGCCTTGTTCTTGTTGAGCTCCGCCATCCACGCAGGCTGCGACGTGTTTGACCTGTGCTGAGGCTTGGGTGACTCGGGCTTATTCAAAGCACTCTCCAGCCAGCTAGACTTGGTCGGGCTCCACCGTCGAGGATCCATTGTCTTGGATGGGCTCGTTGGAACGTGGATCCTTTCTTCCCCAGCCTTGGGGGTCTTGGATTCCAGGGCGCTGTCGATTGTGGGGGCTTTCGGTGTGGTCTCGTTCTCAGACTCTCCATTTCGTGATGTAGGTCGGCTCGAGCTTGGCGTGGTTGATCCAGGGCGCACCATGCTCTGAGGTCGACCAGTTCCGGGCAGCCCAGTGCCTCGACTTGAGGCTATTGAGTCACCACGGGCCAGGCCTGGGGGACTCGTTACGCTCCATCGCTTGACGCTGTCAGACCTCTTCATCATGGCGCTCTGTACGAAGCCCCCTACACCCTTGGTAGGCGAGTTGGACCGAGAGTTAGACCGGATAGGGGATGTGCGGCCTGAAGGGGTCCTCGCGAAGCGGTCAACCAGTGGCTTGTCGTCACCTGGGCCATCGAAGCCTGGAGGATTGAGAGTCGGAGGGCTTGCCAATCGCATCTTGGTAGGAGAAGGGGTCTCCTCGACAGGCGGGCTAGGCTTGGCTTGGTCGGATGTCATGCCTGGCAGCTGGGCCTTGACAGAGGCCATATCCAGACGATCTTCGTCTTCAACCTGGTTCTTTCGGTAAGCAGCAGAGCTTGCTCCCCGATCAGCCGTCTGACGGAACCACGAGGGATCTTTCGAGCCGAGTGCCTGGGCGATCTGGTCCTTGGAAAAGGTTTGCTCGGTGGCAGAGGCGGGAGCAGGTGCGGCATCCTGCGACCCGGCCAGCGACCGCTGGGTCGCATTTTGGGTCGCGAGCATGCTCAGGGGACGGGCGGCGCCGCTGCGGGAGCTAGGCCGGCGCTGCCACGACAGCGTAGACGAACGGGCGGGTGGTGTCGCTGCTGTTGTAGGAGACTTGGTATCGACGTCGAGGGGTGTCTCGTTCTCCTTGGTGGGCGAGGAGTCGGGGGGGTCCATGGGGGCCTCAAGCTTGGCCTCGGGCTCTGGCGGTTGAGGGGAGCCTTCGTCCTTGGGTACGACGGGGGACTCGAGCTTCAATGCCTCGGAGAGGTGTATGCTGCGTCGGCTGGAGCGTGGGGACGGGGTGTTTGCGGGTGAGGACTTTTGCGGCGAGATGGATCTGGCACGTTCTGAGAGCAAGGACCGTTAGTAAGGGAAAAAGGACAGCGATTGAGTGATTCAGCATGAGCATCGACAACCACATCCACAACCCAGAAAAAACAGCATGCAAGAGGCCATGAAGTAGAGCAGGTAAATAACAATGGGGACGAAAAGTAAACACTGGGACGTTATGTTGTGTACGACGGGGGAATGTTGGCCTGACGAAAGTGGACGCCATCAATGCAACAGCCAAAGTCTAGCATCACGTCTCTCTCACATCCCGTCACATCGCAGCAAAACACAGAGCTTTTCCAGGAACCTCTTCTCTCTCACCTTCACGACGGGCTTGCCTCTCTCGCTTGGCAGCCAAGTATTCCTCGAGCTCACGGGCTCGCACCTCGTCTTCTTCGATCTGCTGGCCTCGCAGGCGTTCGACCTGCTCGAGGAACTGGGAGACTTCGTCGGACATGGCTCTCGGACATGACACGGAACGGGGGGTGGAGGGATGGATGTTTTAGAAACGGGCGGCGGCAGCAGGAGAGGATTTGGGGGGGCCGCTATGCATAAGCAAATGGAGCAGTAAGAAGGAAAGGAAAAAAGAAAAGGCAATCCCACGCAAAAGAACGATGCAACTATTAGGTACAGACAGATGTATCCCTCTCTTTCCTGCCGGGCGTCGCCTCGGGTTGCCGATGGGAACGAACTGTAGGTGCTGTAAAGACGGGACGGGAAGAGGAAGAGTTCGCTGGGCGTTGATAAACTGGGCGCCAAAGACAGACAGTCAGCCAGCCATGGATTGCATGGGATCATGTCCACCGTCCCCATTTGCAAAACCAAGACCAGACCAGACCGCAGCTGTCCATGGAATTTTCCCTCCAGACCCCATCAATGCGGCCAGTGCCCACGCGCATCACGCAGACCCTATTGGCCCATCCCCTCAGGCCCCCCCCTGGCAATTCTCCAGTCCAGAGGTGTCTCTCCCTAGAAACCCACCCGCGGACTGGCCCCGTAGCGGAAGTCTCAGGGGGTACTCCCGCTGCCAGCTTGAGGGCGCTCCCGCTAGAAGCTCAGCGAACCTCGAGCCTGACAGCTTCAGACCCAATGGCGGTCATCAACCCCTGTCCGAGTTCGATGTTGATGCACGATTGAATAAGGTATCATACGAAGAAGTGCATAAACTCTTCTCCTAAGCATAACAGATTAATTAGTCGTTATGCACCCGTCTCAATCCTTCCTTCACTGATGGATGCGCCATAAACAAAACCAAGAACGTCATTTGTTTACATCCATTATCCCATCCATGACCACGCTCCACCTCCACCACGCTCTCAAATCCGGTGAAACCTTGCCCCCCCATCTCAGATTCTACCTAGTCTAGGTACTGCCCTCAGGAAAAAAAGGCGAATCCCATCTCAGATCTTCCTCCAGTCGATCGGGAATGCGACGTTGCGGCAGTGTACAAATGTGCCGCTTTCAATGTGCCCATCCGCCCGCCGCTGGCTTGTTCCCTGTCGTTCGCGTCTGGCGCCAGAAAAAGCTTTCCGTTTGAGTTTGGCCGTTGCCCGGCGTAACGAGCCCATCTATCGTTTTCGGGCTATGCACGTAATGGTGGGTGGACTTTTCAGCTTTCAACTGCTCGTGTCAACAGTCGTTTTCCTTGCTTGCTAGTTGTGTAGATAGCTTAGTATAGGAAAAGGCGCTTCTTGGCGTCATCCACAACCCATGATAATCCCTCCTTTAGGTTGCTACCAGTCATGGCGCTGCATGGTAGAATATGCCAACGATGAGTCCTTATCGACTCCAGTTGAAGTGCCTAGGCCGTTGTGAGCTGATGTTTGTTTCTCTTTGCTCCGAACTTACCGAGAGGATCTCCTGTTCCGTCATGCATCCTTCAACGTCCGTCTTGTTCGCAAACACGAGGAGGCTTGCTCCTGCAAGACGCTGTGCAACTCGTCAGTAAACCCTTGGCTTCTTGCACTTCCGGCCGTTTTCATCCATGTACCTCTTCCAAGAGAAGTCCCTGCAGCTCATCTCTGCAGTCCTCGATACGCAACCGATCCGTTGCGTCCACAACCCATATCAGGGCATCTGTCTTCTCAAAGTAATTCCTCCAGTATGAACGGAGCGTCTTCTGACCACCCACATCCCCTAACAGAGTCAGCCATGGTTGTTTGGGTATTTTAGAGCGCCTGGATACACACAGATGTTGAGCTTATACCTGGGACGCATCGTCAGCACTATCCATGATCACGTTGGGAGACTGTCTTACCCCTCATAATCGATCGTCTTGATAATGAAGCCCAACGTCGGGCTCACCGTATTAACGTCCTCTCCCATGACCTTTTTGACGATAGTTGTTTTCCCCGCATTATCCAGTCCCCTGTGTGGTGTCAATTTTACGGTCCTCGTTACTCTTCGTTCGGTGAGCCCTCACAGCATTAGGATCCGCATCTCCTTATCCTTGAGGCGAGCTTTCCGCAGAATGGACAACATGGTTTGAGGCTTGTGGTCTGTGGAATAGAATAAATAACGCAAAGGATCACTCTGCTAGCTGCTTTCGGGAATTTCAGGCGAATAGATTTGATGTGAATTTTCTTTGACGCTGGGTTACTTGGACGTCGTTGAATTCTGGTGCCTGCGGCTCTCACAGCTGCACGTGATTGGTGCTCGCTTGAGCGACTGATGCACGATGCCACTCCAACAACACGACTCCAAAACAGATGATTTCCATTGTACAGCACAGTTCATACAGTCTATTCCGCTTCAACATATCCCCCATAACTAGCACATACCGCTATCACCCCAACTCGTTGTACAGATCAAGCAATGAATCAAAAGTCGGCAAGCCTCCTCCACATTTGAACCTCCCAAAACACATTCTTCACATTCCCTTGCTTACAGTCCGAATATCTTTGATGCCTGTGCTGGCCATCGCCCTTCAGTAGTTAGCAAGCTCCTCGGCAGAACGAACTTCCAGCTCCCACACAACCAGATCCAGCCACTCGCCACCGCGAGTTCCTCTCTTCGCAGTCTCCTTGAAAAGACCAACTCGCTTGAAGTCAAACTTCTCCAGCATGCCCGTCATCCAAACAAGGCTTGGGTCATCTTCTCCGGTGAAAAAGGTCTCAACGTAGACTCTCGCATACTGTCGGCGGTTCCTGTCGGCAGGGTACTCGTACATGGAATTGGGGTTTGAACACTCCCACTTGAAGTCGACAAGGCTGCGGTGGCCTATAGTCACAGAAGCCAGAATCCGGTCGAGAAGTGCGGTTCCGATCAGCTTTCTTCGATGCTCAGGGTGGACCGCCAGTTTGATCTGCCCTGTGAGTCTGGATGCAGGACACATGTGGCCAAGGAAACCCTGTCGAGTGTCGGTGACAAAAGCGAATCCAAGGATGACTGTAGGCTTGGATGGCTCTTGGGCTTTCTTGAACTTCAAGAATTCCTGGTACTCTTCCTCTGCCCCCTTTGGCCATTTGGATCGATCCAAGAACTCGTTCTGCGAGGGAACCGCCACGATAAAAGGTCGCAGGCCGCGCAAACAGGCGTCATAAACAGCCCGGATATCCTCAGCCGTGACAGGCTGAGGAAGAAGGATCTGAGAGTGGCCTTCCTTCTGAATCTCCAGGTTGACAATCTGAGCAATCTCGGCGCAGTCCTCAGGGACTGCGGGTCGTAAAGTACATCGGGCGTCGGGCCAAGGTTCGTCTTCCGGCAGCTGTGATACTTCTTCCTGCTTCAGTTGGTCAAGGACCTCTTCCTTGAGTTTTTCACGGCGAGTGAGCTCTCTGGAAATGTACATCTCTGAGGTCATGTTCCATCGTCGCCACTCGGGATCTCCCATGTTGTGGGTGATTGTTCTGTCCTCCGTCTTGATCCTGATGTGTTTGAGGGGCTTCATGAGCTCTCCGGTATCCGTGTCAATGTCACATTGATCCATGACTGGATCTCGGGAAAGCTTGAGGTAGGCGACGACGGGCGGCTTCCAGTCATCCAGTTGCCATTTATCCACTGCAGCAATAACAGCGGGCAGCCGGAAAGGCCCTGGGCTGAGTGCTTCGTATCTCGGAAGTTCGGCTGATCTTTCATTGTCGTGGGCGACTGAGGAGGGAATCTCGGCCGCTTGATCCTGCCCTTCACTCACAACCATAGTGAGAGTGCCAGCACCAACATTTGGCTTCTCCTGCGATTCCGTGGCAGCGTGGATGATGTGCAGAGGCGCAGGCAACGGCACACCTCCTGGCGGGGAGCCTTGAGAGAGATCCGGGCTGGCCTCTCGAGGCGAGTTCGTGGTCTCCGAGCTTGAATGCTCAAAGCCGGGCATGGAAGGCTGAGAACGAACTGCATACATCTTCTGATTCTTGTCGAGGGGTCTGGTCTGAGATGGAGGTGTCGGGATTGCGGCAGGCCGCGAAGCTTCTGGGCGACCGGCCATCTAAGCCGTGTCGTGAGAAGCTGTCTGCGCACCGTCTCTTCCAGCCCTTAGGACAGCGGTAGGCCACAGGCGTGGCGGAGTCTCTGTGCGGATAGGAACGCCTCCGCTCTGTGCTCGAAACTGCTGGAGCGTCCGCGAAACACTCGAGGTTGATGTGGCATCGGGGATCTCGCCCTTTTGACCACCTGAGGGACGATACATGGTTGGGTGTCGACAAGCTGACTGCGCTGAGGAGGAGTCGCTTTGATGAGGGCGCGGATTTGTGCTTGCGGCGGAAGCTTGCAGCGGATCGACGGAGCAAGAAGCAAACGATGCGCGCAGCCGCAGGTGGACTCTAAACAAAGACGTCAGCAAGGTCCAGACAATGAGTTGTGAGGGGGGAAACAAACAAAGGATTATGCGAGATGCAAAATATTTGTGCTCTCGAGGAAATATGTTGGCTCGATAAGAGGAGGCGAGAAGTGTTGTTGTGTCAACCTCCTAAGCGGAGGAAGGAGGTTGCACGTGCTTGCGAGAAAAGATGAGGAAGGCGCAAGTGGCAGTGAATCATAACACCAAGTCAATTTTTGTTGATGCCTTCTCGTTTAGGGCTTAGGGCTGGGCCTCAACAAGGGAGAGTATCACGGTGCTCGAGAGAGGCAGAGATTCTGCCAGTTACCGGGCACTGGCAGACAGTGCTCGCAGCTTATTAGCTGACCACAGAGATTGGGCACTTGCAAACAACAGCTGGAAGTTTGTCCACATGGGTTCGAGCCAGGAAATCTGTAAACAAGTAGGGATGTTGATTTACAGGCTGCGTGCGAGTCACTCATTGGTTGTGTTGTTGCAAGGAGGCGACATTCAATATGATTGTGAGAACAAAGCGCAAGTTAACAAAGGAAAGGTTGTTTATATTATCGTGTCTCGTGTCAAAACTCCTATAGGTGCCCTGGGTATTTCCTCCTATCGACCTCAATCAAGGTCTCCGTCTCATTCCCATCCATAACTTCAACTCCGGGCTCTATAATGATACTATAGTTCCCTCCAGTTTACTGATCCTCCTCGATATATAAAGATGGCATAAAATCTCCCCTTTCGTCCTTCTCCAAAGTCCTTAGCCCCCGAACCGACCACAAGGTGATATCTCCCTGTTTAGTCCTGAGAGTAGATACTTGATGGCGGTGGAGGGACATTACTCCCGAAGCCCGACGGGGCAGAGGCCCGCGTTTGCTCCACTATGTCCGAGTTCACATCCAATCCCATCTGTCTGCAAAAGTCTAGATATGGCTGGTCGTCAGGGGGGAGCGACACCATGGACGGTGCGTCGCGTGTACCCGGGGCATTGCGACGAGGGTTCAAGTTTGGGACACGAGAGGAGACGGTAGACATTGTGCTTGGGGGTGCCATGGTGCTGCCTGAATGGCTAGGCGTGTGAGACCCAAATCGTGAAAAGGAGGCCACTGAAACAGACTCCCAGATGCTCCCTCCTGCTGTAGAGGCAGGAGGGCCCACGGCAGTGGCTGGGCGGTTGAGTGTTGGCCGTGGCAGTCGAGTGCTCTCCGATTCACCATGCATCGACCGTGGCCGTCCATTTCCCAATAGAGAGGGCACAGTATTGGCCGGGCCATAGTCGCTGAGGGCAGGGTGAGTGTCGTCCTCGAATAGTCTCCGGCGCTCGTTGGGACCAAGCCCTTGGCTCTTCATGCGAACGTCCATCCAGTCCGATGCCTCTTGACCCGCACGCTCGCCGGGCGTATCCAGCTCGTCCATGTCGGAAGACTGTGACTCTCGAACTGAGTTTGACTCAGAACGCTCATCGTTGGATTCTTCGCCCGAGGAACCCCAAGTCGAAGGCGGGTTCCGAAAATATGCATAATCCACCTGACCGTCTGTGTTCTTGGCCCATCCTGGGGCACCTTGTCGCGGCCGTGATGGCGTTTTAGGAATCACCTCCCGCTCTACTTTCTGTGTCACCTGTTCGGGTCTCGATACTGGGTAGCGGTTCGGCGTAGACGGCGTCGGATCGTTCTCGGCAGCCCCCTTTGCGGTCCTGACTTGAAGCCTCACAGCTCGGAGCGTATCGGCAAGCATCTCGCTCTGGCGTCGAATAGCATCGGCTCGGTCCCTACCGAAATGGTCAATCCATGATTCGAGCAAACGCAACAGTCGGGGTTCCTTGCTCGATCTTCGACCGTAGCCTCCAGTGCGAGAAACGAGACTCGCTCGTAGGTCAAGAAGCGCTTGATCCTGACCACCAATGGCTGACATGATACAGGCCTCGCAGCCGTTTTTGACTGGTTTCGGAGAAGAAGCAACCTGTGCGTATCCAAATACGGCACGGAAAACTTTAGCTCCCATCCACATCCCAGTGACGGCATCCATGCGTTTGAGCCATGCCCTGACGCTGGCGGGAAAGGGAGTGCGTCGTTGCCAGTGTCGTAAACGGTCGATGCGCTTGGTACACTCGGCGATGATATGAAGCATATGACGACGAATCAGTTTGGGATTGAGACCATGATGAGCCTTACAGAGCTGGGCTGCCTTGGGTCGAGTACGGAACTGATCGAGACGGGACGAGATGCGAGCGAGGAGTTTGTTGGATCGGCGTAGGGACTTGTCGAGCTGCCCTATGCCTCTCGCCTGGTCATCAAGCCATGCTTGGGAAGGACTTGAAAAATCAATTCCACAAGGCATGCATAGCAGCCCCGTGAGTTGGTGGACATCTGGGTCGTGACGACGCTTTGCCATGATCAGGACAGAGAAATCGCCAAGGATGGACTGAAAGAAGTCAAGGCTCGCTATTCTATGAGAATACCAAGAGCAAAATCCTTTGAGTCAAATGACACTGAATGGTTTGCAGACAGCTTTCATTTTCGCTCGCATCATATCTGACCAAGAGAGCCATATATAACACCGGGCCTCGAATAAACTTGCAGATGCGGGCAGTGAACCAGGCAGATCTTTCAGCATTCTTTGGTGAACAAGACCATGGGACAGCAGTGTTGTTGTAGCAAGAAAGCTGCTGTTCACAAGTCACTCCCACCCTTGTTCTTTGTGTGAACGATAACCATTGTGGAATGTGAAGGTAGCCTTGAGTTCTGTTAGCAGGTGACATTCGCATATCCCCAATCCTCTCGGATACTTACCTAGCACGTGGGATCACAGCCAACAAAGCCCAGATCTAGATCATGTGGTGACGATCTCAAGTATCCGAGACGACTCGGATACACGAGTATTGAGTGTCCTTCTCCGTTAGTCGCCAGTTGCGTCAAGGCAATTCTCGATGAGTATTTGTCCGATTTTATTAGACCTGACAAAGGGAAAAAGAAGTGGACAAGTGCTGTCCATATGCTGTCAGAGCCGAAACAAGCACCTCGACGCCGCCATCCAACAAAGTGCACCTTTCCTTCCCGTCGTAGCGTTGCGTTATAGGGGCCAGCTGCCATAGAGAAATCCCAGAATAAGTGAAAATGGCAGCGAGAAAATTCGACGGTGGCACTAGAATACAATGGAGGTCGAATGAGCATCAAACGAGCCTCTTCCATATCAAGAGGTCCCTCCCTTCAAACTCGCCTCGGGAAAACCAGAACTCCGTGATCATGCTCGTATGTCGTTAGAAAGAATATCAGGCTTGCGATGCCAGGCTCAGACATATTGATGTCTTGCACCCTGCTGCTCCATTCGTATCCGCTCCAGGCGGATCTTAGCCGCCTCGGTGCCGTCGTCAGGCTGAGCCATCTCCTTGAGCCAGGGGTGGTTCAGGGCCTGCTTAGCAGTGATACGTTGGGCAGGGTCGTAGACGAATATCTTCTTGAGTAGATCGACGAAGTTCTTGAGGAATGCGTTGTTGCTAGGGATGATGTCCTGTTCTTTGTCAGCAGCCATAGCCAAACCATCAACTAATCTTGACCTACCGTGAGGTGCTTCATGGCCTTGACGAAGCGTCGGGAGCCGCGGGTCGTGTCAGGGGTGGGGTAATCAAGCTTAAGCCGCTTGAAGTACCTATAGAGAGAGTGTAAGTGAGTGGACGAGTGGATTGACATTGAGAGACTTACTTGGAAGCGGCATTTCCTCCACTCCGCGTGGACATCTTGTTGACGGCCTGGACCAGGTGGCTGTCGATGCGGTGTCCCACAACTGCTTCCATCATGGCCAGGTGCTCAAGATTGTCGTGGGTCTGGAACAGAGCATCGCCAGTGAAGAACTCGACGAGGATGCATCCGATACTCCAAATATCGCAGGGATACGACCATCCGAGACCCAGAATGATCTCTGGGGCTCTGTAGTGGCGAGTCGAAACAACTGACGAATGATATTCATCCTGGAAGGTCGCGGAGCCAAAGTCGATCAACCGAATCTCAGTGTCCAGCAGAACACGGCGTTGAGTAGCCTGTCTGTTGATAGTCGTGGAAGACGAGGGAATCTTGCGGTTGTAGGTAAAGGTCTGGTATGAATGGTTGCAGAGCAAGATGTTCTCGGGCTTGAGATCGGTGTGAATCAGGTTGAGGTCGTGTAGGACTAGAAACGGTCAGTGGCAGTTGAGCTGCGAGATTCGTTCTACTCACAAGCAACACTTGTAAAGAGTTGTCGGGCAAAGCTCTGAATTTGGCTGTTAGGGAAAGGAACGAAAGCGTTGCCCTTGAGGAAATCAAACACGCTCTGATCGAGCAAGTCCATGACGATGCAGATGTGGCCGCGGTAGTCGAAACAATCCCGAAGATGAATGCATCGATTCCGGTTCTCCTCGTCGTTGGCCTTGAGAGTGGCTAGGACACGGAGTTCAATCCTTGATGCATCCCGATACTTCTGCACTGATCGGATAATCTTGACGGCAACAGCCTTGTTGCGTCTTCGGTCGCGGGCCTCGACAACCTTGCCAAAAGTGCCCTGGCCCAGAAGGCGGACGATTTTGTCTATTGGGGTCAGCTTGAAGATGTATTCGGAGCAACGGGCAACTTACACTTGTCTGTCAGTTCAGCATCTGGCACAACAATGTAGTGGCCATCGTCATCGTCGACCTTGACGTTCTTGTTGTATTGTCGCTAAGAGGATTTGTCAGTGGACTCGGTCTGCAGAGAGCGATGTGGAGAATCAACTCACGTCATGGATAACCTGAACGTTGACCTCGCCAGCCTTCTTGGGTGGGTAAGGAGGAGGCTTGTAGGTGAAAAAGGGATCACCCAGGCCGTCGATATCGCGACGCTTGGCCTCGTTGGCTACCTGTTGCCGGGTCCGCTTCCGCTTGAGTGGAACCTGGACATCGTCGTACTGGCCGTTGGAGGAAAGCGAAGTAGGTGCAGTGTTGATAGCAGAATTGGTGCGGTCACTGCTGGAGATGGACGAGCCAGTGGGCGTTGATGTCTGCAGCGGAGTGTTGTTTTGTGATCCCAGATACTTAATGTGGTAGCCCGCGCCCTGGATGGTGCCAGGCTCATCATCACGTCTCCTCTTCTTGGCCACCTGACGGCCCGAAGTGCTGTCGGTAGGGCCAGTGGCAGTGCCATTCGTGATTTTTCGACCCGTATTGGCCTCGGGCTCGGGAGTGTCGTCAATTACAATGATCTCCTTGGGGAGGCCATTTTTGTAAAAGTTGTTCCAATCAGGCTCACGAGAGCGGCGACGCTTCCTGGAAGGCTGCTCCGCGCGAGCGGCAGGAGCGGCCTCAGGCATGATCGTGGTAGAATAGTTCGCGTCGTGACGAGGAGAAGGCTCATGGGCTGCGGGAACAGCACGAGAAACCGAGGAGTGAGCGAGGCTCAGAGTATTCGATCCGGATGACGAGTACGCGAGAGGCGAGTGCTGATAGGGCGGCGGGAGTATGGCCGCAGTGCTATGAGAGGGCGAGGCAACCGACGAAACCGGAGGAGGGAGAATAGTCTGGCTCGTAGCAACAGAACGATAGCTGGCGCTAGGATTTGCCTGGTATCCTTGGTGATGCGTGTGTGAATGGGTGTACGAGGGGGGATAGTGCGGATCGTGGAATCGTGGTAATGCTCCAACCGTGGCCGTAGAGGGAGTTGACATCTTGATCAGAGCCGTCCAGGGCCAGATGCAGAAGTGAACTAGGAGAACGAAAGGGAAGGCCGAAGGGACGATGCCGTATCGAACGGTACGAAAGACCGATCAGGTCGAGGCGAGTCGAGTCGTATGCGCAGGCTCTCTCTCGTTTCGTTGCGTTGTATCGTGGGTGAAGAAGAGGAGAAGAGGCCGACGAGCGAGAGGCGAGATGGAACGGGGGACCTGGGGTGTTCTCGACGGGAGTGGGAGCCCGGACGATGTGATCAATGAGATGGGTGGAGGTGCGAAATGTCAGTGGAAGAAGCACCCGCCCGACAATGGGCAGGCCTGGCTCAAGCCCTAGCGGTAGACGATACAGTGGGCTTAGCGGGTGGCATTCGGGGGTTCCAGTGAGGGGGTGGCCTGGAAGGGCGCTGTAAGGCGTCCACTGTGCGAGTCCGTTCAGGCTATTTCAGACAGCGGGGCAGCTCAACTTTCCCAACACCCATTGAATCACCTAATCGGGAAATGGTAATGTTCCTTTTTTGGGGAGGAGGCGAGGCTTGGATTGAGAAACACAAAAAAAGGCGATGTGGAGTGATTTCACAGCGGCCTGGTGAGGGCGTCACGGGCTTCGCTACCGTCTCCCTAGGAGGAGCGTTGGTCAAAGTTACTGGGTGCAGGTCGGGAGGGTGACGGGCCTATCGTGAGTGACGCTGATAGCAGTCCATTTCTAGTACATACTGAAGAGCGGCGGTCTCTACGTTGCTCCATGTATCTTTCGCGTCATCTTCAACAGGCCCATCGGGAAGTGGATTGGTTAGGGAGGTGTGCTTTGTCCCTTGCTAGGTTTTCCTTCGGGTTACGATTTAGGGTGAGAGAGAGGCGGAATTCCAGCTAGACAGAGGTACCTGGATGTGGCGCTGTGATCCGGCATTGGAGTCGGCGCGCTGCAGGGCATCCAGCAGGGCTTGTTTTTGCAGGGCTTTGCAGCCCGTTGTCTCCATCGAAACAATCCTTGGGTCCTGCCGGGAGGGCGCCTTTGGGAAGGTGGCCGAGCGAGGCAAAGGCGTCCCGATGGTTTCTTGGCCCAGAGTCCGTCGCAGCGGCGTGGTCCCTGTGGAGCAGCCCGTGCCTTGGAGTGCCTGGGCAGTAAACGCAGACCGTGTGACGTGTTGGTTGTTGAAGACTTTGGCATCGTGAATCGCTGAGCAAAGTTTTTTTTAATTAGGAATCTCTCTGATTCACATCAAGCCGTGTGTTAAATCTCTCCTTCTGGTTTTTTGCACCATTCGATGAAGAGGGCTCTTGCCATACGACAAAAGAACAGATGAAAATGCCCGCCCAACCTGGAAGGAGCAAGCCTATCGGCGCTGTGAATGCCGTGTCTACAAGGTCAGCTACTGTCTGCAAGTATATTTTTATCTCTCCCCGCCAAATTGCTCCGCGCCACCCCAAAAGGTACATGTCGTTTCTGGTGGCTCAGGTACACTTCGCCCTCGTCGGCCTGTGCCTGTCCCGAAAAAGATGTGCCTGGGCCACCTTGGGACCTTTCACGCTCCAAGTCTCCATCGTCGCTTAACTCTTGCCGTTTGATGGGCAATTTTTCCATCCTCCTTCATCTCCTCGTCAACTGAATCTGAGCCTGTCGTGGACCCTATTAAGGGATTAAGACAAATTTCTCTGCTGTTCGCAGAACCACCGGGTGAAGAGCGGGAAAGCCAGAAGGGGCGTCACCGAGAAACATGTCGGACAAAAACGTCAATTGATTTCCGGTTGTAACAAGGTCACGACCTCGCAGGTGCACGAAATCAGCACTCAACATTGACACCAATGTGGAGCGATCTATTGCGGTTCCGTCGGCCTCATCGACCTCGTCGACCCCGTTCCTTGGCCGCCTTGAAACGCCTCTCTCGCAGCGAAAAGATGCTATCCCTTACTGCCAGGAACGCAATTCGAGATGCGTTGGCTCTCTCACAGCCCAAAGAGAGTTTCAACCTTCATGGCCAGGAAGGGTCTAGCCAGCCAGCGCCAAATCTGGCACGCTGTTCGCGCAGAATGACGCTGCTGGCTGGGTGGGCCGCAGCCAACCCTCGACCCTCGCTCAACCCCGTGCTTCAGGCCGAGTTCGTTCTGTGCCCCTCGCTTTCTCGCCTTGGATCACGTCGTGGCTAGAAAGATGCATCAGACGTCTTCACAAAGGCATTGTGCTCACCACTGGCTGCCCTGAATTGCCTTCATCTGTTCAATCTCTGCTCGTTGCTTGTATCATCGACTATCAAGCCCAAAGTTAACCTAGCAATCGAGACCCCAGAGAAACAGGGACCCCAAGATGTGATGCCGCCCAGCCCCGTCTCGCATCCTTCCGGGCCCGCGGCCGTTCCAGTTCCAGAGCCTCTGCACCACATTACAGGGACCACAGGCGTCTCATTACTCGTTGGTCCGTCCCTTGTGCCCCCAATGTCTTGGGCTGATGACAGGCTCTGTCAGCTCACGGCCTCCGACATCATTCGTCGCAGCCATGACCATCCAGATGTGCCATGGCAGCACCGCTACTCCCGAGTAGTAGACCCGAGTCGACGACGCCAGGAAAGCGCGCAATGGGGAGATTTTGGGTTGCCAATGCTTCGGAAGCGTTGAAACGCTCTCAGTGTTCGCCAACGCAACTGATACAGATGCTTCTCCCCACGCGAAAGCACACGCATGCACCCGTTCACACCGGCGGCCTACGCCTCGGCGATGGATCCATCCACCTTGTCCCCGGCCAAAGCGGAGGTTGACAAGAACCCCTGTTGTTGGACTGGACTTGGTTAACCCCAGCTTCTGTTGTCCTTCACGGACCTCGATGAGCCTCGACCGTTGATATCCATCTCATCTCTCTTTGAGCTCCATTTCTTCATTTCGCGCCCTCATGCCGTCAACCGTTCGCCTTTCTCGTGCTACCAACAAACCCCTTGTCATGATAGATAGCATCGTCATGGTGTGGACTTGTAGGCACTGTCTCCAGAACATTCCCACCACCCCGCTGCTGCCCTGCCCGCTGCTAGCCAGGTGATGGGTCATCCATCCACGGACAAGACTCCGTTGGCTCAGCTGGCACTCGCTGGCTGGCTGGCTCGAAACCGGTGGACAAGTCGGTCCTCGTCCCGTAGCCTTCGATATCATCAGAGTTGCTTCGCGTTACCTCTAACTGGCCAGTCGTCAGCCTCCCACTTCATGGCGGCTTTGGATCCACTGCCACGCGCTGCGCGTTCTCTCGCTTTCTGATGCACTTCTCTGTGGCGCTTCGGTTCATGGTCCCCTGATCATGTCGGGTCGATATGTTGATGCTTCGTCAACAGCCCCCGCTTCCACAGCAAGATAAAAGAGGATTCGGGAAACACCAGGTGGTTTCTATTTGCCGTCCTTCTGCCGACGACTCAAGACCGCCTTTTCCCGACCTTTCGACTACCCCGCGCTCCTTCATGATAAGTCTCGTCTGTCGGCCTGACGAGTGACGTGCTTGGATTTCGGCATTCGACAGCGACAGCGACACAGGGTCACCTGTTTAGTCTGTCTTACAGTACCAATTTTCTCTCCTTGGGCGATAACCAATGTCTCCACTGCCGTCACCATCGCGACTTTGACGGGTTGGCATCCCGCCAGAGTTAGCCGTGTCGATCTCGGTGGCGATGGCTTGCCCACCAAACCTAGGCCAACTCGGGCTTGTGGAAGACCTCCTGGATTTCAGGGAAAAAGAATGGATTATGTCTCGCCTTGCTGAATCAATGGATCTCGAGGTCCAGTCAGCCCCGCTCTATGCCAGGTTTTATGAAGTGAGGTGTTTGTTTAGTCATATTGATGCCGTCGTCTTTGTTCATGTCTCGTTTCATCCTCATACAAAACTAAACTACCGTAGCCATGATGGTTGAGTATCGAAACAGCACGCCGTAGGCAGAGATAGGTTCATTCAAGTCAAACATGGCTTGCAGATGTCAAGCAACTCTAGCTCTATTGACTGATTTTAGCAACTCGAAGTTCTATGTAGTCTTTTGTCTTCCGGTCCAGCATATCTTTCCAGCCCTGGTCTACAACGACAACCATAAAGATCCCTCGCATTTTCCATAAACGCCGTCTGTATGGGTGTAATCCGTTCTCCAATCCTCGAAGACAGGTAAGGAGTGCATCTACCCCTATTCCCTCGAGCTCAAGTCTAGGGTATTCTCAAAGCCAGTCTTGAACCAAACCCCTCTCGAAAGCTATGGGCAAATCAATCCCCTCGATCCAGGACTCCCTCTGTTTCAAAGTAGTCCTGAGACAAGGCTCATCCGATGATGTATCAAGCCTGGAATATGCTAAAAGCAAACGATGTGGACTCTTATAGACCACGGTTGAAGATGACCTTGCCATTCAAACCTCCCTTGCCGTGGAACTCGGGCTCGAGCATCTCGGCACTAATCTCCTGTTGCTGGGGGAAGACGGCAAGCGCAAAAGGTAGGACGGCAAACGAAGTGAGAGCAATGAGACCCAGGTTAAGACCGAGGGGAATGCCCTTGGCCAGCTGGGGTCGAGCGCGAACCCACTCCTTCTCCATGAGGTTCTTGTACCAAGCCTGCTTGTTCTCGATGTGGTAGAGCACCATGGGGGGAATGACCATGATGGGGCTACCAGTGAAGACTCGGCTGGCAGCAGTCTCGTACACGGCAATCTTGGCTGCAGTATGGGACTTGCCCAGCGAGGGGACGTCCCGCTCCGACTTGCCCTCAGCCTTGAGCTTGGCCTTGTCCTCTTCGGAGAGCACAGGTCGGACGTCGATACCCTTGACAATCTCGTCGCGGCGCATGAGGTAGGTGTTGAGGCCGGCGGCTGAAGCGACAGCGGCGAAGGGGATCAAGCGGCCGAGGATGTTGCGAGTCGAGGCGGAGACGTTTAGGCGCGGGACGACGGCGTTCAGGCCCAGAGCGACGGAGCATGAGGCACCGACGGCCGAGAGGTAGGACTTGACCATGACCTCAGTGGACATGGGGGACGACTTGTTGGCATTGGCCGTGTTGAAGGCGACGTTGAGGGACTGGTTGAAGACCTGCCACCCGACGATACCCATCGTGCCCATACCAGGCTGGAGCATACCCGCCGTGACGACCAGGTTGGTCAAGACGTAGCAGGACATTCGGAAGGGGAGCAGGACAGGTTCGCCGGTATCTACAACACTCAAGAGTCAGATATATCCACTGCTTCGAGTATTGAATAGGAACCACATACCAGGATGCAACGTAGAATCTACCACCTTCTTCGCATGCCAGAGCGCTGGCGACATGTGCTCAATCTTGCCCATCTTGTATTCAGAAACCATCTTCTTGGCCGCCTCGAGGCCCGTTGTGCCCGCGAACAATGTCCTAGTAATGCGCCGCCGCGGTCAGCCAACGCCAATGCGCCTGGGTAGTCGAATGTTGCACTTACGAGGGGTCTGTGATGCCAATTGCATGGCGCACCCGTCCCATATACGTCTCGAGGTCATACTGCGAGGCGGGGAGCTCCCGCGTGCCAGGTAGCGAGGCCGACATGATATACGGTGTGGGAAGCTGTTGTCAAGCTTGGATGTGAAGGAACGAAGTTCGCAGGGACGGATTCGAAACGGGGAAAAGTCACCAGAGCGGGAGGGCGTCGAAAGGTCAAAGGAGAGACATTAGCGAGAGGGCGCAGGAAAGAGGGGGTTTTTTCAAAAGAGTCCACGAAGGGCTGGTGGAGGACTAGAAGCCCGAATGACCACGGGCCGTGGGACAACTGGGAAAAATAGCGACGATAAGCGCGTCCCGCTTTCGGCGCCGGGAGTTGTGTGTAGTTGGCCGGGGCCAGGTGATTCACTAGTGTCGGGGTGCAGCGCCGGCCCGGTCAAAGATCGTGGGGTTCAAACGCAGCATCGGGAGCTCTCCCGACAAGAGCATCACGACTTCGTCGCATGTCGTCGAGAGAACCGTTGAATTAGGATGAATTCTTCATGGAGAATCCGTCTACGAGGGAAGGAGCTCGATGGGTTTTTGGCCAAAAAGGGTATAGGCCCATGCACCCCGGACCGTTGGCCGTAGGGCTGGGCAAAAAGTGAGGAAGGAGCGCGGTTTTGATATCAAAACCATCTCTACATCACCACCAACATCGCCAAACCTCTCAAAAAATCAGCAAAAATGCTAGAGAATAGCAAAAAAGATATTCAGACTCGTATTCGACCACGCCAGGATTCGAACCTGGAATCTCTAGAGGGATCGGGCGTCTGAACCGAAATCTAGCGCCTTAGCCATTAGGCCACGCGGCCGACCTGTTTGATGGTGAGAATGACGCTCCCAGGAGATATGAGGGTGAGGGAAAGAGGGGTAAACCAACAATAGCTCAGGGCGCCTTTGGTGACACGTCAGTTGCTTGTGCAGCAACTCTGTACGATGCAGGGACGTGGTTCGATGGGCGAGAAGCAGGGACGGACTGCAGATGTCAGGGCTCCGTTGGCAGGGGTGGTTGACAGCAGCCCAATGTGCTGGCCAGACTGACAGGTCGACTACCGTTGCAAGAGATGGCATCTGCCTGGCGCAGATGGCGATTTGATGGATGTTGAAGGGCAGACGGGCGATGATTGCGATGGTGACGAAGACAGGTTTGGTTGGAGCCTCGCTCGCTGAGAGACGTCCCTCTTTGCGACTGTTTTGCACCTTCCTCAGTGAAGAGTTCGACGCGGATGTCTGAGGCACCACCATTCACATCCCTTGGCTACCCTGTTCTTCCATGACACTTATCTCCGATTGACTCACGAACAGGACAATCTGAGTCAACCACCCTGGAGACCCTTGCAGGTTTGACGCTTCGGACATGTCAGAGGAGGGCTCATCGTTGGGTGAACCGAGATTAACAGCCATTGCAAGACAAGGTCACCTGCGCCATACGACCGTATTCTTGGGAACAACTCCCTTCTGTTTATACTCTCTACCTATGAGCCCTTTTACGGCTTTTCTTGTATCATGGCCATCTATTGGGGATCACAGTTTGATAATGGCTATTGGCCAGTCTCCAGTCAGATGTCTCGTGGTGCAGGTTAGGGGGATGTTTGGCTAGCCATGATTCACTTTGTCACTGCCAAACTCCAATTCACTGAGTGTCTCATTTGCTCTTTCCTTTCCGTAACAAAAGCCGTAGTGTGGTCTAAAATGCCATGTATGACCGTGAGTTAGAGGGCAGAAACGAGACAGGCGTTTCCCTTCACGCAAGGCGAGAGACATCTTGATAGGAGACAGCCAGTTCAACAACGACAATATCACGCATAGAAAGGATAGTCAAAGACAAGAGTGGTCATTTCATAGTCATGGCATAACAAAGTGAGACCGTTACTCGTAATCTATCCGCCACCATGCTCTACCCGTCCGCCCACCTTATTGTACAAGTCCCAATTCCTCTTTTTTTAACTTATTTATCACCAGCGTCTGCCAACATCTGAGCAATCGCCGGCTGAAACGCTGCAGCCTTTTTGAAATCTCCCAACCTCACACGCATGTGGTCAAACGCCATGAGCACCTCGCCAGCTTCACCCGCGTCTTCCCTCTTGAGAGAGTCAGACTTGACGTAGCGCTGCGAGAAATGTGTGAGTAGTGTCCGTCGGGCCTTCATCTTGTGAGCGACGCTGAGTGCCTCTCCCATGGTCGAATGCTTCTTCTTCTTAGCGTGAGATAGCATGTCGTCATCAAAGGTACACTCATGGACGAGTAGGTGAGCTCCTTCGCACTCTCGTGCAAAGTCATCTGACGGACGGCAGTCGCCCGAGTAGGCGATGCGAAGACCAGATGTGAGCTCAATCTCTGTAGCAAAGGACAGCCAGCAGTGAGGCACCGCGACACGGGTGATGGAACGAAGACCGAAACTGTCGTCCTTGACTTCTCGGCGTCCCGTGTTGAATTTATCCGACTGGGAACAGCTAGGGAAGTGAAGGCGGTGGAAGCCAATGTCTTCGACTTGGGAGACTTCCTCGAGGAGGTTGCGATATCTTGATATACAGGAGATGGCCAGCTTTGCGTTGCTGTCTTGCAAAGTGTGCTCATACCAGGCTTTGACGAAACTGGGGACTCCCAGATGATGGTCGGCGTGGAGGTGGCTGACGACGATACACTTCATGTCTCGCAGAATGTTCCCCGTCTCTTCGTCTCCAAAAAACCGGCGGATCTGGCCAAGAGTACCTTCACCACAGTCGAGAAGGTAGTTTCCGATACCAGGAACGCGAATAAGGGTTGCAGAGACGTTGCGGTACTTTCCAGGGATCGAAGAACCAGTACCGAGAGGGATGATCTCGGCATCACGGTTGGGAATGTCCTTCTCCTCTTCCTCGATTCGTTTTAGAAACTCGGGGTCAGAGGTTTCTTCCTGCGCCTTGCGTGCCAGGTCCATAATCTCGTCACTAACAGACTGCGCTGCCTCGGCGAGGTTAGGAAAAGGGGCGACTGTTCCAGTATCGAAGCGAAGGCGAGGCATGAGCGACATCTTGCTGCCAATGCGGCCGTGTTCGACTTTAAGTCCAGGAGGTATGTCCCCCTTGACTGTGTTGTCGTATTTGAGCAGACTGAATCTCTCAGGGTCGATCCGCCGTAGCTTGGTCTGAAGCTCGCTAGGTCCGGCTAGGGCAATCATGTTGGGACATGTATCCTGCGCACAAAAGACGTGCTTCAAATTAGGGTGCTCTTGAATGAACTGGTGAATCCTGGCATCATTGGCCAAGCCAGTGCCCAAAATCCAGTAGAGAGTAACGACGTTGGCCATCAGCTCAGTGTTGGACCACTCTGGTCGTTCAAAGAAGGAGTCCAGAAAGTCGCGGGATTCTATATCAGCAACGATGAAGCCGTTTCCGAGTTGCATCTCGCCCAAGACCATGTCAGGGGTCACCGTAATGCCGTCCTTCCCAGTGACACTCTGGCCCTGGGTCAGATACTTAAAGTCAGAAACAACGACACCAAGCTCCTTTGCCCTTGCTGGGTTGAACTTTCCACGGCGGTCGTGACACTTGACGAGATAGCACATGGACGTTTGGCTGTATATCGTAGGTGGGAGCGGTCGATGTGTGACGTTGATGAGGTCGGCATTGCGATCGATAAGGCTTTCGTGCTCGGGGAAAACCCAGACAGTTTCGTTTGGGTTGCTGATTTTTGCGCCATCGCCTGGCCTTGGACCCTTGTATAAGCTCACATCGCTCCCTTTGCGGACAAAGACAGTGTCCGTGGGCTTGACTTGGCTTAACTGCGTAGGAACCAAGAGGCCATTGCCTTTGAGGTGGCCATTGAACATGGTCTTCTCGACAAGAGTAGCAGCATATTCAGGGTCGGAGAGCTTTGCCAATCCCTTAAACTGTGGTGAGGAGGGGCTTAAATCTCCAACGATGGAACTCGATCGACGGCGCTTTTGCGGGCTACTGGAGCGCTCTCTTTGAACAGGGATATTCCACACCCGGATTGCATCGTCCTGCCAGTCGGGTTCAAGGTCCTCGATAGTCTTGGCCCTACGATCAGTCCTGTGTTCGTATGTGACCACAGAGACGGGCTGTCGTAGAATCACAGGTCGGCAGGCGGCCAAGCTGTGGCACAAATTCTCACCACCGTGTATACCAATGGCCTCGAAAACTCCTGGCTTGACCGTCTTCTTTCCCTTTTTCTGCCTCTCCTCGTTTAGAATGGCTGTCTGTTCCCTGCTTGCCTCGAGTGTTCCGCCAACTGTGAGGATATAGCCAAAGAGACCTCCGACCTGGTCCCAAGACACACTGCCGCTGAGAAAGACATGCTCTGTGCTTCCCATGCCAAGTCTCCGACTGTTGAAGGCGCGCTGGGTACCCTCGGAGGGTCGGCCGAAGACGTAGGCGCGCTTCTCATTGTGAACGAAGAGGCACGTGCCGGGAGTGTCCAAGGTGGGGACGGCTGCGATCTCGACAGAAGTCGCCATTGGTCTATCTGCAGAGTATAGCCCAAGTTTTGGAATTGGAGATGGAGGATTTGTCGAGCTCGTTACGGGGGTGGCTTCAGGCAACCGTGGTTTTCGAGATCTGACGCTGGGATTTCGGGTTGTCGATTTCTGTCTGTAAAAGAATGAGGATGAAGGTGGGGGAAGTAGATGTAAATGACGGTTAATAGATGCTTGAAATTGACAACCAAGACGCTGAGAGCCCCATCTTTGCATGGAAAGAGTGCGAGGGAAGAGTTAGCAATGCGGCGTAAGACGAAGCCACAATTGCTCTGACATGGCCAGTGAAGTCTTGGTGGTAATAGTTCTAGTTCCAGGCGGGCAACTTTTTTGCGACGCGGCCGAATGAGTCTTTTGCCGCGTTTGCGCTAACAAGCGCCTCGCGACGTCACATGCGCTAACCCTGATCCCTGACACGTGCTGCGGCTAAATGGGGTCTATCATTATCTTCCTCCAAGTTACCTACCCTGAACAAACTCAGTTGTCGAATGAAGAGTACTGTATCTCTGCTTTCTGGTCAACAAATTATTGATTTCAATTATCTTTTTATGATCTAGTATGCTTTTATTGGGTAGATACGTTTTCGGCATTGTTATAACGCCATCATGACTTAAGAGCGACTTGGAGGGTGCCAGCGTAAGTCAGGGACGGTCAGCGCGGGTTAAAAATGCAGTGAAAAAATTCCGATACCCATAGGCAATCAACGCCACCTTGAGAGGAAACTAAGGGTGATTCCAATATAGTAATATTGCTATGGCGTGGCGTAGAATTGCGGGAGTCTAGTACATTAATTGTGGCCTGGCTATGAATACTCACCACTCTGATCAAGGAAGCAAGTCATGATAGAAGTGTCTGCGACATCGGATACAAACGCCCAATGCCATGTCCAACTGCCGAGACTTGCTTTATCAGGAATTACCAACGAATCGATGCCGCCATCAATTACGAATCGTCGACCCTCTCTTCTCCACAACCAATCCTGATACCGTACCCAGCTAGGTAGGATTAAACGCCCATTTCAATGTTTTCCGTAACTCGTCAACGTCCCCTTAAACCTCTCACCCCGCCAAAACTACCCCTCATTATCCGCCCCTTCACCACATCACCACTTTTCACAATGGCGGACCAGGTCAAGCGCAATCCTCACCCCGACTTTAAAGGCGTCGAGGCTTCTCGTCCAGAGTGGGATACCGAGTCAAAGTTTCGTTACACAAAGACTGTCAACCCGGATTGGAAGTTTGGCGATGGCGCAAACAAGCTTCATGAGGGCGACGCGGGGAAGAAGCACGTCGCGATAGATCCTCATGAGGAGGGTCGCAGTCCTGGATTCAACTACAAGTTTCTCATCTCTGCCATTACTCCACGACCTATTGCTTTTGTGAGCACGCGCTCTGCCGATGGGTCTTCGACAAACCTGGCGCCTTTTAGCTACTTCAACATGGTCAACCACGATCCCCCGCTGTTTGTCGTGGGGATCGCTTCCGGTCTGGGAAACGCCAAGGATACGCTGCGCAATGTATCCGAGTCGGGCGAGTGTGTCATCAACATCATTTCGGAGCACTTTGTCGAGGCCGCCAACTCTGCCAGCGCAAATGCCCCTTATGGTGTATCTGAGTGGGACATTTCCGGCCTCACCCCTGTGTACGACTGCGAGACGGTCAAGTGCGCTCGTGTTGGCGAGGCCGTCGTCAGCATCGAAGCCAAGCTCGACACTCTCAAGGAATATGAAAGCCGCGCCCGTCCAGGCAACAAGTCTGGTACCATCGCCATCTTTGAGGGAACGAGGTTCTGGGTTAGGGAGGATGCCATCAACGAGGAGAAGAACCTCGTTGATCCTCAGGTGCTGAGGCCGATAAGTCGTCTGGGAGGTATCACGTATGGAAGGACCACCGAGGTCATGGAAATTCCCAGAGTTGATTTCGAAAAGGATGTCGGTGGGTTAGAGGGTGCCGAGAAGCTCAAGAAGCAAAATGGGCAATAGACTAGAGTTTTTATATATGGATGATGACTGATAGAATAGAGATAAACGGATTCGCGACCCATCTCATGGAACTACTTCAGTGTGCAACACAGCTCTCGATTCAGTATCAAACCCCAGTTCCTCTCCTGGAACGGATTCAAAGGATATCTCAGGAACCAAAACCGCCTCAGACAAAAGTCAAAAGCGTACATATCAGAACAAATATCAGGTCATGCAAATCATGAAGCCAAAACCGAACCTATATCGCGAACCAAACCTCATACAAGCCTATACCGAACCACATGCAACAACACATTCTTGTACACGATGCAACGCCAGAGAATGAACAAATCAAAAGAAAAAGCTCTGTCCGGGCTTGGAAATGACAAACTCGCAACCTAGTTGCGCCTCCTTTTCGTGCTCCAGCAGCTGCTCCAGGATTTGATCGCCCACGTTGGGCCCATCATTTAACCGGTCCTTGACGTGGATGATGATAACCTTGAGCCCCTCGAGTTGTCTCACAGGTGCAGAAGTGAACGACTCTAGTTCCCTGAGGGTCAGCTCAGCTGTTGGAGTAGCTAGGTGCGGCGTCGGGGGTGTCTCAGGACCAGGATGCACGAGATCAACCGATGAAGCCTTGATGGTCTTTGGCGAGACGGGGTCCTCTGGTGAAAGATTGGCCAGTGAAGGATTCCGGCGAGGGACTTCCTCGGTGAGACTGCCTACACGCTTGCGCTTCTTGCTGTTGAGAAGTCGGTTACTACGAGCCTCAGCGACTTGAGAGGCTAGCGAGCGCAGCTCCTGGATAACGTAGACAGGTTTGAGATGGCCGAACAGGCGATCGTCGCACTGCGAATCGTCATAGCTGCACTCAATGAATATCGCACGTAGGGAGCCCGAGTCGATCTTGGGTGCGGCTTCGTTCCAGACCTGAAAGTTTCGGGGACTCAGTGACAGGGAGTCAGGTTCGACGTCGCCAAAGATGAGAACTTCGCGGTGAGTTTTCTGGTCCTGGATAAAGTATGCGCTTGAGTCGTAGACGCATATCCGCTCCTGCTCGGTCTGAGGAGATCCGGGGCCAAATGTTGCTTGACTGAGCAGACTCGAGGTTCGCTGAGGAGGGATTGGATGACTGTAGAGGTCGCGTCGCGGAGGTATAGACATGGAAGCATCATGGCTGCCGAATCGCGTCGAAGCGCTCGAAGCTGAGCCTCTATGGTTGTGCCTCTCGATGCAGTGGCCGTGACTCACGCTCCAGATCTTGACCTGAAGCCCGTCGGCGACCTCGACATAACCCCTGCCTTCGCCATCACCAAGAGCAGGACTTCCTCCCTCGACCAATCTCATAAATGTCACCATTCCGGCGCCATTGTTCTCATCACTGAGATTAGGCCAGATGACATGGTTAAAGATGTGCGTCTTGAAGGCCTGGATGGTGCTGGGTAGACCAGCCAACTTTTTGGGTCGGGTGCCTGGTAAGCCGGCCGTGTTGATGACAAAACCAGCGATGTGATCGAGATGAGGGTGAGTAATGAGATACGTATCGACAAGTGATTGAGTAATGTGAGCGGCATTGGCTAGGATTGACGTATGAGGAAGCTCAATGCCGGCGAAAGGGCCTGAGGTGAGTGTGAAGGGGGCAGAGGGGGTTGGTGAGGGCGTCGCAGCCTCAATGAGATTGCATATCGATGAAAGGTGAACACCGGCATCGACGGCGACGACAGAACCACGATGCCAATTTTGACCGACGGAGCGGACCAAGAATGAAGTGACATTGGACTCGAGAGGTCCGCCTCCAGAACCCTATGATCTGAGGTTAGTAAATGTTGTCATGGCTTATGTTGTGAAGTTGAGATGATGATGAATTGGTCCGTAAGCAATGCTTAAAACATGCATATGGAACAGCCGATATGGCTGAGAGACCAGGAGTGAAGACCCGTTGGATCACATGTGATTCCTCCATGCGTCTGCCTGCATCTGGCTTCCATCGCATCGCGGCAACGTCTTTGTATACTGCAAGCGACGAGACCCATGATATCATGGGTCAAAACAACAACGGGCGGCATGAGGAACGGATCGCGAACAAACACCAATAAAAATACGTACCAGCACAATGACCTGCAGGGCAGGTTCCATCTGATCCTCTCCCATGACGAACACAAGCAAAGAGAGTTGACGGATGACGGTTTGAGAGATGGTTGACCCGACGGTTGGATAGCACAAGGCGGACAGTAACCAAGGTAAGGGTCCCCGTGGGTTGGTTATCGACCCACTAAAAGTGCCCCGAGCGCCCTAGCAAGCACCTTCTGTAAGGTACCTACAGCGCCTGCCGCACGGGCTAGACACTCCCCGACCGCCTTAGTTAGAAGACCCCCGACTCGGACCGTCCACTTGGAGGACGCCTCCACTTTCTCGGATCCGGAATTTCAGGCCTTGGCCGATCTGCAACCGACGCCGCAAAGCCAATGAGAGAACGGTTCAAGTCTACTTCCCAAGTTGAAGGAAGGGAGGGACACACCCAGACACCGTGCACAACGGCTTGTAAATATTCTCCGATCCTCCGGGGGGTTGGTTGTTGAATAATTGAGATGGCTGCAAAAACCCCGTGACGCGACGCGTGAGGATGGACTGCAGCTACTCTGCGACAACAGGAGAGACAATCGCCGGGCAATACCTAGCGTTGAAGCCCACTGCGGGTACGGGAAAAAAAAGGATAATGCTGGATGAAGCTATAGTAGTCGGTCGCTTCGCTTGCGACGCGCCGAGGATAAGGTAAGGAGTCAAAAGGTCGGTTTTGTGTTTGGCGCGGAATCGAGAGGTGGATATTGAGACGGGATAGCCGGTGCCACCAACTGGTTGATTGATGGGAGATTGGCAAGATGTTCAAGAGAAATGAAAGGATTGAAATACTCCAAACTCTAAAGACGTTTGAAGGATTGATTCAAAAAACATGGGCTTGAAGCAAAAAGCAACGGGAAAGTCTTCAACGTCCCCCGGGAACACAGCTTCTTTTGAACTAGACCAAGCCCATCAAGCAAGCAAGCTATGCTATTCGACCTACCTTGGACCCTTCGCACTTCGCCGATGCAGCATTCAGCCAGCAGGGGCGTTTTTTTGGCCTCTGGGCAGGATGTCAAGCTACAGCTCACAGCTCACACCGGCCGGCCTTGGATGGGCTCTCTTCTCAGCCTCCCCCGTTGCCACCGCCCTCTACAACAAAGCTCTTGTTCAGCCCTCATGTCCACAACCAAAAAGGAAAGCAGATACACCGTCAGAAACGATGTCATCAACAGGTGCTGCTCCCCCAAAAGCCCCCAGACAAAGCTCCCGGCTCAGCTCCCAGGCCGCAGAGCTGTCCTAGCGTGGACCTCAATCCATCCCCCGGCCCTCCCCCCATCTAGCGCCCCCCGGGTGTGAGACTCCCCCCTCTCCGCCCACTTCGGCGTTCCCGTGCCATGCACCAAAGATCTTCTCCCTTCCCATTCCTCAAGACGAGGTCCCCTGTCGAACAACTGTCAAGCCATACGTATCACGGGCTCGGGAGTTGTGTGAGATCCACTTCTTTTTGGCTTGAGCTTGTCTTTCCCAGAGCTTGGGCCCGCAGGCTGCAGTCCGTCTGGTTGCACGTCCCCCGTCCTGTGCTATCCATCATCCTGGACGGGATCCTCTCTCGTCCCGTCTTTTGACAACGTATCGATCGATTTCGTAAGAGCACATGAGTTTGAAAGAGGAGTCCCAAGTGGGAAAATCCCTCGGAAGAAGCCGAGATCTGTGTCCTTGTCCTTAGTTGGCACGGCCTGAGTGGCTTGAGTCCTAGCTACCATGTCTGTGTCACAGTCACCAGATTATTTTCAGACACAAAGAGTTATCAGATGACGATTTTACCAAAGGATTCTATTTGCAAGTTTATTTGTTCCTGTTAAACAAAGATTGAGATGGAATTCCTTTGACCCTGAATTCATCCAAGGGTCAGTTACAGGGTCAGCAACTTGATCAACTCGGTTGCTTTGTCAAGTCTTTCCACACCGTCACCTATTGCATTGCTTATCGAGAATCCACTCTTCAACTAGGACTGACCTTGATTATCTATGACTAAAGAGGAAGGTATACCTCCGTCAGGACTCCAAACTCCGTGCTGAGCCAAGTCTAATGCATCTATGTATGCGTCTATCCATGTCCTATTAACAAAGAAACTAACCAACAGAGACAAAAACAGAAACCTCCATCTTGGAGGGGGGTATCGAAAGAGGAAACAAAGAGTAAAGACGTTGAGCTAACCAAGAGACGCCATCTACGCCATGCCGTTGCCCGTTGCCTATGCAGGACCCCATCCCCTTCGTAACTCATGATCAAAGCGTCTTTGTCGAACGGCTTCTCCTGCCTGCAGGAGAGAAACCTTCGAGTCATTCCCCACTTTCTGATGCCCATCACTTGATAGGAAAGCCGTCGCCAATGCCAACTTTGCAGTTCTGTTCTCTAGGCAGCTGAGCGCCTCGGGCCTTGTCTTGGACTCCTCCTTAGACGTGCGCCCTGACTTTGACGCTCGCTGCTCTTGGACGCCACTGAGCCCCTCTGCTTCTTGCGCCTCGAGCTGCTGCCGGACAAGCTGTCTTCGTCATCCTCGAGATCGCTGGCTCGTCGCTTCCGTGATCCGGGGTTTGCCTCAGGGCTCTGGGACTCTGGCACAGGGTTCTCTAATAGCTGAGGGTCGAGGGGTACATCAGGGAGGGCGAGTGTAATTGAGTCCAGTTGCATTGGGGTCGACTCAAGTTTTGTCTCCGGCGTCGAGTCTGACTTCAACGGCGACAGTCCCTTAAAGGTCAAATCTCCAGACGAGATCATTTGCATATAGTCGTACGGATCAGGCTCTTTCGATTGCTCTGGAGGAACGCCTGTCTGCTGTGTCAGTTGCATCAAGTTTGGATCCAGCTGCATAAAGCTCAGGTCCTCTTCGCCCGGCTGGACGTATTGCTCAAAGTTTGGAGCAACTGGTGTCGGCGTCTTGATTGGCGACTGCATCGGGCTATGGAGTGACCCCTTGAACGCATCCTCCTGGATCTGCTCCAGGAGCTCTTCGTCGTGGGGCAGATCTTTTGGAGTGACCCATGTGAGGCCCTTCTCGTACGGGCTCCCAGTCTTGCGGCGTTTTGCGCTCGCGCGTTTTCTCGCCTTGATTTCCATGCACTTTCGGGCGTAGACGCTCAGATCACCCAGGTGGACGTCGAGGGTGTTCCTATCCTCCTCGGCCTTGCCCTTGTTGCGCCTATCCCGACAAGTTTGGCGGGCGGTGACTTGGTTATCCAGGTGATGCTTGACTAGGGCGTATGTGAGAGAGTCTTGATGGTCACGGGGGATCTCAGGGAGGCCTGGTAGGTTGTCCTGGATCGACATCCATCGAAGGAAGGCTTTGCTGACGATGGCTCTGTCGGTATCGCGGTTGAGCGCCATGAGGTTCTTTTGCTCTTTGGGGAGGTTTCGATCGTCTGGGAGTAGCTTTCTCCTGAGCCAGAATTCGTAAGGGTCTACGCACTGCTCGAAGCACCACAGGTGCATGCAGCCTGCAACCTTGAAGGGGTCCTTCTTGCCAGTAGACGTGAGATCATGGTACTCGTCAAAGACCACGCGGAGAAAGCCAGGCCGAATGATCTTGGAGTCCACAGGGCAGTGGGCGTATCGACACCTTCGATCACACTCCTCCAGCCGACAGTTGCTCTGCGCGGGAGGCTGCTGGACAAAGATTTTGAGGTCCCGAGGGCAGTTTTCCAGATAGTGACGCAACTCTGCGGCGCTGAGCTCCAGGTGATCGGCCCATTGCCCTTGGTCCGTGTACTTGAAAAGGGGGCCACCGCTGTTTATCTTCTTCCAGTTTTTTACGTGGGGTAGGGGATCTGTGTAGACAAAGGCTGGGTCGCAAGTAATGTCTCCCTTTAGCTTGAGCGCCCTGTTGTTCTGAACCTTTCCACCACCCCAGCGAATAGGAGACTCGTCTTCTGGGCCGTTTGCATCGGCAGAGGAATCTCTCCTCTTACGCTTCTTGATATATCCTGCCTCCTGATTTTGAGCTGGTTGCTGATTCGCAGGCTGATTGAGGAACTGGGGGAATCCGCCGAAAGGTTGTTGTTGTTGTTGTTGTGGTCCGAAACGTCCTCCATCTTCTCTCCAGTAACCGCGAACAACCTGAGCAGGTACACCGTGATATGCCTTTTGTATATCATCGACGGGTAAGTGGACTTGGGTAGGAGTCAGTTGCGTTTGTCCTTGAAAATTGTGGCTTTCCAACCATGCGTTCATAGGAGTATAGCTCATAGGAGTATACGTCGGCCCATGACGCCCTGCTAGTCCAAAATCGGGGTAAATGTTGTTGGGTTGGTAGGGTCTTGGCTGAATATTGGGGTTGATCCGAAGAACCTGGGGGTTGATGGCATTATCGAAGTTGTTGAGACCATAGTTGAGGGCTCCGGCACCAAATCCTGCGACGCCCCCAGGTCCCATGCCAACGTCAAACCCGTCGTTAACACCCTGCGGTGCCTGCATGAGGAAGCCAGGAGCTGCAGGCTGTTGTGGAATAGGCGCACTGATCGGCACCACCTGAGGCCCATCGTCGGTGACGGGCCTATTTAACGTAGGTAGAGGGTCAAAATCTATGTCGTCGAGTTGTAAATCGTCAACGTCGAGGTTGGCCAGATAGTCTGACTGGGCCGCAGCCATAGTACCGTCCAAATAAGGACCAGCGCTGTGGAGAGGATCCATGTTATCTCTGAAGCTCGTGATCACAATGCTGTTGTCGAAATGCGGGTTGAACGATTGCGGCGCGGAAAACCTGTCAAAGGTCTAACAATCGTAGTTGAATGGATATATAGTGGGTATAATGAACGAAAAGGACATTGATCAAGGATGAACCGTGAATATTAATACTGAGGCCGAGGACAACACGAGAACATGTGCCTGGATCTATGAACATTGTCTTCCTTTGAACCTTTGTTTCCAAGAAACCCTTAAAACACGAAGCAAAGAAACATAGACCGTGTTCAGGATATACTGAACAAGGACTGAATCTCAGAAAAGGTGTGGCACCTCTTTGTCTTTGTAGACACGAACCCCCAAGGACGGGTGGGTGGTCAAGGTCGTTGCACCATGTTCTTATTTTGGGAAGCAGTTTAAAATCTGTGGCTTGTTAGCACCAAGAAAGATGAAAGCCAGCACGATGCCAAAGAAATTGGGAAGAAAGCGCTTCAATCAGGAGAGCTGTGCACGTTTTTCGACAGAAAGTTCCGAACAGGTCTGTGTTATGCGTGTCTCATCATAGAAGCAGGGGAGGGCAGTGGAGGCAGAACAGTTAAGACTTACCATATAATAGCAGTTTCATGAGCCAGATCCGAGATGGACCTGGCATGAGAGTTGACCTGTCATGGTGAGTTGAAGTGTCACGGTTGAGAAAGCCGCGAAAAGTCTGCATGCTCCAAGCCCAATTGCCCTTGCCCGAATGTCGGATGAAAATTGATCATCTCGTCAGAGACCGAAGGAATTGAGTCAGAGAATGCAGCTTTTCAAGGCCATAATTAATGGCCATTGAAGGAGGCTGCATTGGAAGTGCATGAAGAGAAGAGTTGAAAATTCAGCCGCGAGGTTTTATCAAATTTCAGGTACGAGTGGGGCCATGATTCGGAAAAGGAGCTTCAATATTCCGAACCCATCGAGAGAACACGGAGGCTGGGAACAAGTGGAGGGGTTTTAATAACGTTTGATTTCTCTCGTGATGTTGGATCTCATTAAAGCATTGGGAACTGTAGAAGGGATGATCTGAGACCGATAAATTGCTTCATTGTCTTGTTTGTCTTCAGTGGCAAAGAGCTCTGCAAAACGATTTCCCAATTGGGCCCATGTCTAATGGAGAGCTCGCCGATGACTTGTCCAAAATCGTGTGATGGATTCTGTGCCGCAATATCCCTGCAAACACGAGTTTCGAGGGAGGATATTCTTGGAAATAATACAGATAACCCGTATCCTTCTCACGGGGCCGTATTTCGGATTGCAACGGACCTCAAGCTGGGAGTCGACGTTGGTTCGAATAAAGCCTCCCTAGAGGCCTCAAGGGGTTGCAACCTCTCAGGGACTTTAGTGGAGCTAGTGGAGGATGGAGGGGCACTACAAGGGAGTGAGTTGCTGGGCGGTCTCAGGAAGGTGCCGTCGGATGCCGTTCGCTCCTTCTCTGCTCACTGATCTGTCACCCAATGGAACCTTTGCAGGTACGAAGGGCGGCGGCTAATCCAGGCCAGCCCAACCAAGGCAGGGGCTCCCCGCCTTGGTCCAACGGCGGCGTGTTGGCCCTACTGGGCGCTCCTGCCGCCAAAACCAAACCAGAACCTGAAAAGCAATCCCGCTTGGCCTGGCCTAACCTCAAAGACTTGGTTGCCATACCTTACGTCACGAGACCTTTTGCTGGCTCCTCCAGCTTGTGAGCCGTGGTTATCCCTAATCCACAAACCTCAACTTCGAGAGGCTGCATCGCCAACCTGCCACCATGGCCGAACTCAATCCAGAGCTCCAAGAGAAGCTTGAGGAGCTGGACCGCGAGCTCGAGGTTCGTTGGCGCCCCCGGCACTTCCGCATCCACCACCATGATCCCCTCTACCTCATGCGCTACTCTACATCATGAGACGTGGCTAGAGTAGGAGATGCTTACATCACTTGCTTGGAATACTTGATAGAACTTGACTGACTTTGCGTACTTTATAGGAGGGAGATATTACACAGAAGGGGTGAGCTCCTCCATATGCACCCCGCGATCGCGTGTGCTGTGACCGCTAACCATGTCCTTAGCTACCAGAAGCGACGAACCCAACTATTCTCCAAGTTCCTTGGTTCTCCTCCACCTCAAGTCGCTGCTTTGAGCGACTCTCAACCTGGCCTCCGCATACACTCCCCTGACGACTCGGCGCATCCCTCGAGCGATGGCCACCGAGCTGCTGCTTTCGCCGCCCTGGGTAGCGGCAGCGGCCCCGTTCCCGACAGTCCAGATTCTCCCATGTATCGACCGTCATCAGCCTATGGAGCGCCTTCACGCGCTTCGAACCCCCCCGAGATACCTCCCGCCTCTCTCCTGCGACCAGGGGGCTCGATGGCTGGAGGCCCGACCGGCGCTCATCGAGACTCTCTCTTCTTCTCCCCCTCGCATACCGAACCCCAAACCCGAAGCGGGACCATGATGTCGGGCGACTATGCTTTTAGACCCGAACAGCAAGGCACATATGTCGATCCGCAACAGCAGCAATTCCAGCAACGGCAGCAGCAGTATCAACAGCAACAGCAACAGCAGCCTTATGATGGCAGAACGACGACACTACTCGACTCTCAAGGCTATTTTTCAGACTTTGCAGGGCAGCAGCACTATGAGCAGGGTCAAACAGTCGAGTACGGGGGACCTCAACAACGATATTCTTCGAGCGATGCCTTCTCTCCTACGGCCGCTATGGCCCCTCCGATGTTGACAGCGAACGATCTACCACCCCCGGAAGTCCTCGAGTACCAGCTGCCTTTAGAACCGCGAGAAGTGCCGTTCGCGATTCAAGACCCCCACGATGAATCCACCCCTATGTCCAAGTTTGACAACATCGCAGCTGTTCTGAGGCACAGGGGCCGGACGATAGCGAAAAAGCCAGCGTACTGGGTGCTGGACAGCAAAGGCAAGGAGATTGCTTCGATTACGTGGGACAAATTGGCGGCTAGAGCTGAAAAGGTGGCTCAAGTCATCCGAGACAAGAGCTCACTATACCGTGGTGATCGAGTTGCTCTGGTGTATCGAGATTCAGAAGTCATTGACTTTGCGATTGCGCTCTTGGGATGCTTTATCGCGGGTGTGGTGGCTGTCCCCATCAATGATTTGGAGGACTACCAACGTTTGAACACCATCCTTACATCGACACAAGCGCATCTTGCCCTGACTACCGACAACAACCTCAAGACCTTCCAGCGAGACATTACCACGCAAAAGTTGACCTGGCCAAAGGGTGTCGAATGGTGGAAGACGAATGATTTTGGCAGCTATCACCCTAAGAAGAAGGATGATATCCCTCCTTTGGTCGTGCCAGACCTGGCCTATATCGAGTTTTCGCGAGCGCCTACAGGAGATCTTAGAGGTGTCGTCCTGAGCCACCGAACAATCATGCATCAGATGGCCTGTTTGAGTGCCATCATTTCTACTATTCCCGGCAATGGACCTGGCGATACCTTCAACCCGTCGTTGAGAGACAAGAACGGCCGGCTGATTGGTGGTGGTGCCAGTAGTGAGATTCTGGTCTCCTATCTGGATCCTCGACAAGGAATTGGCATGATTCTCAGCGTTTTGCTTACCGTCTACGGCGGCCACACTACTGTTTGGTTTGACAACAAGGCCGTTGACGTTCCCGGCCTTTACGCCCACCTCCTTACTAAATACAAGTCGACCATCATGATTGCAGACTATCCGGGTCTGAAACGGGCCGCTTACAACTACCAAGAGCAGCCCATGGTGACTCGAAACTTCAAAAAGGGGATGGAGCCCAACTTTCAAATGATCAAGCTCTGCTTGATTGATACACTGACGGTGGACAGTGGGTTCCACGAAGTGCTAGCAGATCGCTGGTTGAGACCACTGAGGAACCCTCGGGCTCGTGAGGTTGTGGCACCGATGCTTTGTCTGCCGGAACACGGCGGCATGGTAGTTAGTGTTCGTGACTGGCTCGGAGGAGAAGAGCGTATGGGGTGCCCCTTGAAGCTCGATCTGGGTTCTGACACAGACTCAGAAGAGGGTGGAGAGAAGGAAGAGTCAGAAAAGCCAACACCCTCAAACGGCTTTGGAAGTCTTCTGAGTGGTGGTGGTACTACGACTACAGAAGAAGGGGCCAAGAATGAGCTTGGCGAGGTTCTGTTGGATCGTGAGGCGCTCAAGACAAATGAAGTTGTGGTTGTGGCCATTGGTGATGAAGCTCGCAAGAGAGCAGGCGACGACCCGGGATTGGTGCGGGTTGGTGCTTTTGGATATCCTATCCCGGATGCCACGCTCTCTGTGGTTGATCCAGAGTCGGGACTACTAGCGTCTCCTCACTCTGTGGGCGAGATCTGGGTTGACTCGCCCTCTTTGTCTGGCGGCTTCTGGGCGCAGCCCAAGAACACGGAGCTGATTTTCCACGCTCGCCCCTACAGATTCGATCCTGGCGATCCCACACCTCAGCCTGTCGAGCCCGAGTTTCTCAGAACCGGCTTGCTGGGTACTGTCATTGAAGGCAAACTGTTTGTCCTGGGCTTATACGAGGACCGCATTCGGCAAAAGGTCGAGTGGGTTGAGCATGGGCACGAAATAGCCGAATACCGGTATTTCTTTGTTCAGCACATTGTCGTGAGCATCGTCAAGAATGTTCCCAAGATTTACGACTGTTCAGCCTTTGACGTCTTTGTCAACGATGAACATCTCCCCGTCGTCGTCCTTGAGTCGGCGGCAGCTTCGACTGCGCCTTTGACATCTGGAGGGCCACCTCGACAGCCAGACACTGCGCTGCTGGAGTCGCTGGCTGAGAGATGTATGGAGGTTCTTGTGACGGAGCACCATCTCAGGGTGTACTGCGTTATGATCACAGCGCCAAACACGTTACCCAGAGTTGTCAAGAATGGACGGCGAGAAATCGGTAACATGCTCTGTCGCCGAGAGTTTGATCTCGGCAACCTTCCATGTGTGCACGTCAAGTTTGGCGTAGAGCATGCTGTGCTCAATCTGCCCATTGGCGTAGACCCAATGGGAGGCATCTGGTCGCCGCTGGCTTCAGACTCGCGTGCCGAGTTCTTGTTGCCAGCTGATAAGCAATACTCGGGTGTTGACCGACGAGAGGTTGTCATGGATGACCGGACATCAACTCCCCTGAACAACTTCTCATGCATTTCTGACCTCATTCAATGGCGGGTTGCCCGTCAACCAGAAGAACTTGCCTACTGTACGATCGACGGCAGGGGTCGCGAAGGAAAGGGAGTGACATGGAAGAAGTTTGACACCAAGGTGGCATCTGTTGCCATGTACCTGAAGAACAAGGTCAAGGTGCGGCCAGGCGACCACATGATTCTCATGTACACGCACTCGGAGGAATTCGTCTTTGCCGTTCACGCTTGCATATGTCTGGGCGCAATCGTCATCCCCATCGCGCCTCTCGATGAAGGTCGACTCAACGAAGACATTCCTGCTTTCCTGCATATCGTGGCCGACTACAAAGTCAAGGCTATGCTCGTAAACGCAGAGGTGGATCACTTGATCAAGATGAAGCCCGTGGCAAGCCATATCAAACAATCTGCCCAGGTTCTGAAGATCTCGATGCCCAGCGTCTACAACACCACCAAGCCGCCAAAGCAGAGCAATGGCTTGAGAGAGTTGAGACTCACGATAGACCCCGCCTGGATTCGGCCTGGATATCCAGTTATTGTGTGGACGTACTGGACGCCAGACCAACGACGCATTGCGGTTCAACTTGGACACGACACCGTCATGGGCATGTGTAAGGTCCAGAAGGAAACCTGCCAAATGACAAGCACGAGACCAGTCCTTGGATGTGTCCGAAGCACAACTGGACTAGGATTCATCCACACATGTCTCATGGGCATCTACATTGGCACACCGACTTATCTTCTGTCACCTATCGAGTTCGCTACCAACCCAATGTCCCTCTTTGTTACTCTGTCGAGGTACAAGATCAAGGATACGTACGCGACACCGCAGATGCTTGACCATGCCATGAACTCCATGCATGCCAAGGGATTCACTCTGCATGAGCTCAAGAACATGATGATCACATCTGAGAGTAGACCAAGAGTTGATGTGTTCCAGAAGGTCAGGCTTCACTTTGCTGGGGCTGGATTGGACCCAACCGCCATCAACACTGTTTACTCGCATGTCCTCAACCCTATGATTGCATCAAGGTCATACATGTGCATCGAACCGATCGAGCTCTGGCTCGACACACAGGCTCTACGACGTGGTTTGGTTATTCCTGTTGACCCAGAGGCGGACCCCCAGTCCTTGTTGGTGCAAGACAGCGGAATGGTTCCCGTCTCGACTCAGATTGCCATCATCAATCCTGAAAGCCGACTGCACTGTCTTGACGGCGAGTATGGCGAGATCTGGGTCGACTCTGAGGCTTGCGTCAAGTCATTCTATGGTTCCAAGGACGCCTTTGATGCCGAGCGGTTTGACGGACGAGCTGTTGATGGAGATCCGAGCATCCAGTATATTCGGACAGGAGATTTGGGTTTCCTTCATAACGTTAGTCGACCGATTGGTCCCAACGGAGCCCTCGTGGAAATGCAGGTGCTGTTTGTTCTCGGCAACATTGGAGAGACATTCGAGATCAACGGATTGAGCCACTTCCCGATGGATATCGAAAACTCTGTGGAGAAGTGTCACAGAAATATTGTGACCAATGGCTGGTAAGTCCGACTCCCTCATACACAATTGATTGTACTAATAAAGATATAGTGCCGTCTTCCAAGCTGGTGGCTTGATTGTGGTTCTCGTCGAGGTCAGCCGCAAGCCCTACTTGGCGTCTCTCGTCCCAGTCATTGTCAACGCTATCCTCAATGAACACCAGATCATTGTCGATATCGTAGCTTTCGTCAACAAGGGAGACTTCCCCAAGTCGCGTCTCGGAGAGAAGCAGCGTGGCAAGATCTTGGGCGGCTGGGTCAGTCGAAAGCTTCGTACCCTGGCTCAATTCTCCATCCGTGATATGGACGCCCCTGAAGCTGGAGGTGTTGTCGACGGGATGGACCAGGCCAGAGTATCCATGGTCAGTGTCCGAAGCGGAGGAAACCCTGCCCCCGGCTCTACCAGTCTGAGGAATGTCGAGCAGGCTCCGCAGATCCCCGAACAGGAGGAATTTGAGCACCCACCTCCTCGTCAGTCATATGTTCCTTCACAGAGCAACATTACAGAGACGTCAGATGACCATGGAACACCAACTACCTACAAGGACACGCACGTATACCCTGAGGTGGTACCGCAAGCCCCCGTGTCTCAACCCCCAGCTCAGCTCAGCCTTTCTCCCCAGGCAGAACAAGCCTTTGACGCGCCTGATTTCTCACACTATGGTGCCATTGAACCTGAGCAAGGTCCTCTACCAGCGCCAGGAACAAAGCCTGAAGTGCCACCTGGGGTAGGTCAAGCGCCACCCCAGATCCGACTACCAGGTGTAGATGGGCGAGAAGATGTCAACTTTTGGGGACAACCAAACAGGGACTCTAACGATGAGGCGGACTGGACGGCGGATGCCATCATGCACATGAACCTTGCGGGGGGTATGAACCCCCGATGAATATAACGGCTATGGAATGACGGTAGGGGCATGCCAAGATGGCGGAGTTGGGGTTGGGAACATCTAGACGTGTACATGCCGGGTCCATCTGTATTTTGATAGCTTGAGACGTGTTGGATGTGATGGAGCACGGCTGCTACATGTCTAGTTGCATTGTTTTGAAGACTATTTCTCCTTTTTGAGGTGTAAGACGAAAAGAATTATGAGCTGTGTTACTACCGACATTTCCCATGTAATAACAATGAAGGATGAAGCAATGAAGAATTTGAATACGTCTGGATAGGGAAGGGGCAAGAACCGCTATAATTCGGAGCTGAGACATCCGCACCTGCCATGTACACTCATCAACCAAAACACCAAGAAAAACATCACGAACAATAGGCACAATGAAAACCAGCAAAAGATGGCAAAAACAGCAAAAAGAACACCGATCGACGTGGGCCTGATTCGAACAGACGCCTCCGAAGAGAATAGATTTCTAGTCTATCGCATTAGACCACTCTGCCACCACGCCGTGTGATTGGATGATGAAGCAGTGAGATATTTCAGTCTGTGAATGCTCGCGTGGAGAAGGCGTCGATAGTTGATCATGGAGTCATAGATACAACTCTCAACGACAGAATAACGCCGTAAAACACCGAGAGACAACCCTTGGGTGGTGGTACTTTTCCACTTCCAATATCAGATGAATGTCCTGTCCTTACCCTCATCTTCCTTGTCTTCTCGCTCCGTGGACAACAAGCGCGCCAATATCTTTAGACCCTGACATTATATCAACGATAGCCAAGGAGCCAAGGTCCAGAATCTCTTCAAAGAGAGCAAGGTGGCGGGCAAGCTCAACTGGTCACCTTCAACAACCTCCGAATGCCAGAGGCAACAATCAAGCTTCAATGGGAAAGACACTGCAGTCTTGCATCTTGAAACATTCAAGTGGCCTCTCGGATTGTACGTGTTTATTAGGAGAATTCCTTTCGTCACTACCTCTTCCTTCTCTTTCTTTCCATATCACCGAGGGCTTGCTTCACGATGCCCTCGGCCTCGGCGATGACGTCGTTGCCACGCCGCCAAGTGTACAAAGCCACCCCTAACCCGTCTAACTGTTCGTGTGCCCTCGCCAATCTCCTCCTCCATAACTCTAGTTTCTTGTTGACCGCCTGAGGTCCCAAGGTGGGAGAGCCTCCAGTCGGGGTGTTGCCGTCAGACCGGCTGCCGGATCTGGCAGTGCCAAAGGACGGTGGTCCGTTTGTCGGTGGGGGTAGAGGTTCCCAATCTACATCCAAGTTTGTTGTAGTCTGGGTACGGCGAGGCGGAGGACGAGGACTCGGCTCCGCGATGTTAGAGGGGGTAGCACGCCGTCTTGGGGGAGGTGGAGGGGGGCGATCAGCATCGTACGCGGCAGTTCTATTGCGTTGTGCCGGGATCTTAAAGCCGCCACTGTTGCTGCTGCCCATACTCTGCTGGGAAGAGTTCTGGATCTGCGACAGCGGGTGTGGTGCCGTGGGCTCTCTGACTTGCACAATGGGCTTCCTAGGCGGAGGAGGTGGGGGTTGCTCGTCAGAGTTCTGTCGAGAGAGCCCGATTCCAGCAACCCCCTTGTTCAACTCAGTGATAGACTTGGCGCTTCTAAGGGCCGCAGGCTTGGCTGGTCTAGGTGGTGGAGGCTTACGTCCACTGAGAAGATCGCCTGTGCTGGCCGTCTTGGGGACGCTCGAGTTCCGAATCTGAGCGAGAGCGGCAGAGCGGTCGACATTTGTCTCTCCAGGCTCATCAGAAAAGTCGATGAGGGTTCCCATGGTTGGACCCGCGGATGGCCTCCTTTCTCGGAATGCACCTGGTACTAGGTTCTGAGATGAAGCATTTCGCGAACCATCGTATGCGCTTGGAGTCCTTGATCGATTAGGGTCGAAGCCAGACTCAAAGAAGGGTGTTTCTTCCGGTGTCGTCACATCTCGGATGAAGACTGCGAGAATACGGCCAGGGTTATTCAGAGCAAGTTCTGTGTAAACCTCCAAATCGGCTTCTCCACTATCACCCACAAGGATGAAGCTTCTCTCAGGAAAGTCCCTGAGCAGCCGAGTTAGGGTTGATCTCTTTCGTTCAGCTACTGGCTCAAAAATGCCCTGTAGCATGCCGCTGTATTGCTTCAAGTGAAGGGATCCTGGTGGTAGCCCGTGGAGCTTGAAGAAGCTGGCTAGGACTGGGAAGAGCTGCCATGGACTGTTTGAGCAGTAATGAATGCTGACGCCAAGTTGGTACATGCGATTGTACCATTCTCTCACTCCCTCAACCGAAAGCTCGGACAAGTCGCGAACGAAAGTGTTGCGGAAGATCTCCTTGGCACCTCCTGAGATGTTGGATTTCTTGACAGTGTCATCAATGTCACTGATGAGACTGACTCCATAAGGCTCAATGAGCTTGATCTCCTGGGTTGCCGATAGGTCCTCACTGGCTAGGACCCGAACATGTGTCGGTAAAAAGTCTAGTGCAGCGCGAATGATGAAATGACCTGCATCGTTGGTCATGACAGTTCTTGACTGAGACTTGGTGTCGTTGTAGAAGAACAGAGTGATGGGGAGAGCAACAGAAGGGTTCGTCATGAAGGGCGCTATTCGAGCCATGAGATTTGCATTGGCGAGTACCAGATCTGCTTCACTCATCTCAGTCGTGGATGTCGAGAAAGTCCTGGCTGGCATCGTTGGGCTTGAAGGAGCCGAGTCTGGAGACTGGTTGCCACTCTTTGATCGAGGAAAGTAGAAACTGTCCGTCTCTGGGTCGCTGTTCTCTTGGGGTCTCTCACTGTAGCCTCCACGATAGGCCACCCGCTTCTCTTGCTGTCCTAGTCGTTCAATGCGCCGCGCTTCATGCTCAATCTTTTCCCGCTCCCGTTGCTCCTCATGCATCTGATGAGTTCGGGTAGGTCCGGTGTTGAGATTGTAAGGCTGGTCGGCTCTCGGAGCTGGTATACCGCTGAGTTGCCGTGCCAGGCCAATCAATATTCGATTCCTCCGTGTCATTGGCCCCGTATGAGGAGAGTAGATCCAACCTCGGACATCGACGTCGACAATGGCATTCTCATCCTCGTTCCTCTCCCATTCTTGCCTCCAGAAGTTCTCATCTCTGATACTTCCATGAGCAGCTTCTGATTCATGCATTGCTGTCTCGCCCCAGTCTCTCTTTGTATGTCGTTTCGCGTATGAAGGGAACAGGACCATCTGATCGTCGCCCTGAACTGTAATGGCGACATCAGGGAAGGCGCCTGGAATGTGTATCCGGCCGTGGTTCTCATATGCCCCGTCCATGCCTCGCGCCCTAGTCTGGGCGTATGATTCCTTGATCTCAGTGACCGCTGCCTGGCCGCTCCTGTACAAATTGCCCGCCATGGCAGCCAGTCGTTTCCTTCGGTATCCTCTCTCCCGATCAGGGCTGGTGGCCCGGTCCGAGCCGTAGCCCGTCATACTCCCTCCGATAGGCGGCATTCTGCGTGCCACGAGACCCTTGTGCCGGGTCCTAGCATGCTTGACGGGCCGATGTGCTTGCTGACCCAGCCACAGACGTCTACCCTGCCTTGCGACGATGTCTACGATTCGAGATTTGTCGGCGCGCCGACGCTGGCGCTCAACTATATAACGGTAGACCCGTGATTGAAAGTTGTGTTTCAGGTAGGGAAGAGTATTGAGGTGGAAGTTGAGTAATCGCTCGCGATATCGCTCTCGGACGGCACGTGGGAATAGGAAGCGCAGGAGGCTCTGCTTGTGGCGCGGATGAGGGCGATAGGGGCCGAAGAACCTGAATGGAGCCACCTTGTCGACTGGTCCTCCCGAGATGGGGAATCCGATTTATAGGCGAGGATGTGCGTCTCTGGACGGCGAGCTCACGATGACGGTCCGGCTGACGGTTGGAGAAGACGAGCTTGGTGGATGCGACGGGCGACGGGCTCGTCGCAGGCGGGCGCGTCTTCTGACGGGGGCGTTTTCAGCCTGACACGATGGTCAACCGAGATGACTGGTGCACATGATTCGAGTCTGCTCGGTGGGTTTTGGAGGGTTTGAAAGTAGCAATGTTAGACTAAGCATGATGGTGAGGCTCGTGACCTCTAGCTGCCTGGAATGCCAACCGAGGCGACATCTAGAGCCTTACGTCATCAGCCCGCAACTAACAAGCCTCAGCAAATTCTCCGCTAAGGGTAAGGCACAATAATAGTAATAAGTATATCTAAAAAATAAACATTTATTATTCTTATTTCCTGTTCTATATAGATTTTATATAAAGTCGTGCATAATATTAGAGAGTGATTATATTTCTATTGCCGTTGTACCTGTGTTTCATTTGTTTCTTCAACCCCGTGCGGGCAGCTAACCTGTATCTGCACATGACAAGAGGTTTCAACATCTTACATCCTCTTCAATTGGCCACGCTCACGTACATCACATCTAATAGGCCACATAGTCTCCTTCGTATTGCGGACTGTGTGCTTCTTGTCTCATTACAGTATGGCCCCCGTGCGCGTTTCTTGCCGTGCTATCCAGGAACATTGATAGGAAATGGATATTCTCAGGGACAAATGTAGAGCAACTGTGAGAATCAGACACAACTCTCATTGGTCCCCACCGAAACGTGGCGAAACTGTTGTTCTTACTTGTCTCTTGTTCCTTCTTGGCGATCATCTCCAAGTTGCTTGCCAAATGATCAAGTGAATGACCCTGGGACGTGGTCCTATGCCTTTCCCTGGCACTCCGAGCTCGGGCTCATCTCGCGGGTTTCCAGACTTTTCGGTTTATGTATGTGCACCAGTAGACTCCGAGTGTCCCTTCCGGCAGGACTTTCCGCGTGGGGAAAAAAGGGATCAAGTAGATGCCAGCGCTTCGCTCAACGCTTCATGGATGCAGGTGAAGAAATAAATAAGACACTAAAGGCGAATCGCAAAATCCAGGCCAACTCCTCTTAAAGACCTCTCAACCTTACACAATTATTCATGAAGGTAATAAAGACAACTATATTTCAACACAGAAAAGGAAATGCTCTCAAACTTGCTCTTCTCTTTCTTAGTTTTGTTCCATCTTTATGGTCCACCTTGGGAGCGCACATGCATTTAATGACCAGAACGCGCTCCGGAGTAGCTGCCCGGGCGATATGTGGAGGAAGAGGACCAAGATTAATATCAAAATCTCTGAATGAAGTCACTTATAACAGTACTAGGCTCCCTGAGTTTACAGGCACCTTCTCACTCTTTCTTCATCTTACCCCTGAATACGATGTGGCCAGGGGCTCAATGCCAGAACTCCATCTTGAAGGCCAATGAATGGAATTGCGAGAGTTGAAGAACCGTGGCCTTGTGGAAAACATGTGTTTACTTTGGCCAGTGCAAGACTGGAGTGGTCAATCGAAGTCGATGGAAACACGAGGCGCCTGGGCCGTAGGATCCCAGTCAATAATGATGTTATTCCTAGGGAAAGGCCAACTGCCTCACGCTGCAATGAAAAATTCTGCATCTAGACTCTGTTTCCATGACGGGTAGGTGACGACTAGGAGGGATCAGGAGAGGTGTCTGCCGGTCGACAAGCGACTACGGCGAGACACCTGGATCCGCTCCCATTAATTCTGACGGTTAAACGCGCCAAGTGCGTCTGGCCTTTGCAAGCAGCATTAAATTTCGGGATCCAAGATAACTGGAAGTGAACTGACCGTCAGCTTGTCCTGCTGCCGAGCGTCAGGAAGGCGAGGGGTGCCTGCGGGTGGGATCTTGAGGCATCACGGGCTCTGGGTGCGGCCCCAAAGCCGCTTTGGGGATGCCACTTGTCGCTATAACGAGTATAATGAGTCAAACGTGTCAAAAGATAGCAGAGGAATGTTCTGTGCGGCTGAAGGAGGTAGTCCTGGACAGGAGGGATGTTTAGAAATAGAGGAAATAGGCTAAATGGACAAACAGAAGCTCAATTGAGGAGAGTGTCGTGGAGATTGGTGTTGTTGCAGAACTTCAGGTAGGTCTCAGAGGTGAGTTGTTGCCGCTCCATTACCGATTCAGATGGCCGGTTGGATCATTTCTTGTAATAAACAGCAGATTAAGTAACAGTAAATACGTGAATGTGCAAAAGGAGTTTACTATAAGAAGCCCTTGGTTGAGAAGTGAGGCAATTAACTTGTGAGACACACTTCATGCTATTCAATTCACAACGTCTTGTATGCTTCCTAGTATAGGCCTTTATTTCATACGTGATCAATGTGCTAGATAAATACACAAGAATAAATTGTGAAGCATGTCCGGAACTGCCCTGAATTGGTGTACCAGCGATGGAATGAGGTGCTATGCATACCTCACTCACGATCGAAAACGGATGAGTACAGTACTGCCTAGGTAGATTCTCACAAGAGCCTGTCCGACATCGCTCAAAACTATGGAGTCCACCGTATACTTGTCCGCCATGCGAGAACTTGATAGAGGTGGTGAGAGGAGGAGGAATACACGATGGCCCTGCCCTGTCTGGTAGGACTTTGAGACTGTAACCTTGATTTCGATAATTGTAAGCATTGAAAAGCAATCATGGCCATTTGGTTCCGAGAACTACGTCTTGGCAATGCAAGATAACGGGCTTGAACCAACTGTTTGTAGAAGCATCACGGGAGCTCAGCCGTGCCGTGTCCACGACACTCTTGGCTGATGCCCTCGACACTGGGTTCGAGTAAGTACTTGTTCCGGTATTCGATACTTGAACACAACCTAACCACGATGCTGAGGTCAAGAACGACGATCATGCACCCCGTGTGTTGCTTGTCTTATTGACAACCCATCGGATGCGTTCCTCACCACTCCCTCACCATCACGCCTCCTTTCCCTCACCATCACGCCTCCTTTCCCGTCTGTCTCTCAACGCCGCCTCATCTATCCCGTCTCTGTCAAAGACAATCAAAGATGCATATTCGCCTACAATTTCCTCTTTCTAAATCGCTCACACCATCTGCTCAATGTCGGCTTCTTCCGCGAAGAGCCCACTCAAACCCCAACCTGCAAACATCTCTTGGCCCTTTCGTCACACCTCCCTGGTTGGAAGCGCTCCACCTGCGTGTTTGCCTTGGCATGTCGTCGGTGGATGCTGACAGCTGCTTGGTGGAACTGCCATCTCGATGCAAGGAGAGCTGAGGTTTCCGCCACTTCCAGACCTGTCATTGTCTGTGATGCCAGACTGACGAAGATATTGATAATCCACAGCTTCTACGGGCTTCCCCGACACTGCCCACACGTCTTGGATCTCGGATGTCTTTGATGTCCCAAACCCCGAGACATTGAGACTCTCTTTCGTCAAGGTGGTGATCCTCCGGCTGCCAAGCAAGTCACCACATGGTACAACAAAGTCACCGCCGGATAGTCTTTGAAGTACACAAGGATGAAGTCGAAACAAGCAACCAAAACACAGTTTGATCTTCACATTCCTTGCCCATCTTGAAAAAAAATGTCAAGGTGGAGTGGCAACCTTGAATGCATCGTGATGGTGGAGTGGACTGGGCTTGATGCGTTCAGCTCGGCGCTTAAATGGAAACAAGGCTCTGAACAAGGGGCATAACAGTCAAACGCTTGGAACTGACAAGAAAGCATATTAGTCTGTAAGCTTGTAAAATAGTTTGTGCTAGTAACTGCATAACCGCAAGACTAAAAGGCTAAGGGATACAAGCTTCCACGCCACGGTTCCTTCGTTCAAGAACCTCAAAGCAGCCGGAGAAAAAAAGAAGGTCTCAAACACACGTCAAACTGATCAAAACTTTAGTAGTGACAACGACGTTGGCACACCAGCTCTATTAGGAATACAAGTCTCACCACGGACGAAAGAGGCTTGCGACCCGCGTTTCTAGACCCGTATAGTCTCCTGTAAGTAGCTGAATACGAATCTACCTGCGTACCTTGACCAAACGGTAGAGAACTAGGGGTGCAAGTTGACAAAGACTATCCCGGCGCGGGCCGGCGGGAACGGCGTGTGCCGAACCACGTCGAGTTTAGCTCTCGGAGGAAAGAGAGAAAAACGTCGAGAGGGGATGGTGGGAACTATGACACACCAATCAAGAACTTTACAGTGATGGAGATCTGGAATGACGTTCTGAAATGTGACGAGTCTAGATCGAGAGAATGTCTCAGATTCACGGAATGCACATGGTGGCTTGCCGAGATCCTCCTCCTCCGGCATCCGGACATGAGAGGCATCAGATATGGAAAGACTACGATGAACCGATCGAGTTGCTTATCATCAGTTCCTCAGATGAGTATATAATCCACCTAATCGCCCAGCAATAGCAATGGATCAGATCATCATTCAACAAACACCCCTGAAAACCACATCACCAACTTAAACAATGAAGTTCCTCAGCCTCCTCACCCTTGCGTCGTTCGCCTTGGCGGTTCCGGCACCGGCCTCGGAGCCAGAGCCTGTTCCTGAGCTTGTCCCCCGGCAGCAGCAGACTGCCGTGGGTGTCATTGTCAGCCAAGTCGGTACCCTCCAGACTGCTGTCCAAGCCAACGTGGATGCTATCAGTAAGGAGAAACTCCACAGTTGAACGGAAGCAAAGGCTAACATGAGGCTATAGCTACGGCCGTCGCCCAAATTCAGGGAGCTGTTGACGCTCAAGTCATTGTCCAGCTCCAAGCCGTCATCCAGGCCAACCTTGAGGCAATCGTCCAAGCCGTCGCAACAGCTACGGCCGCCATCGTTGCTGTCACCACCGGCGCGGTGGGAGGTGTCGCAGGTGCCATCATCGGCCTCACTCAGCAGCAAGTCGCCCAACTCGTCCTGGCAATTAACGCATCTATCGAGATCATCACCCAGATCAGCGTCACCGTCACCCTCCTCGTCACTGACCTCACCCCGGACATCCGCGCCTTCTTCGCTGCTGAGATTCAGGCCGTCAGAGATGTCCTGAACCCCTTCATCCGCCCCATTGCTCTTCTTGCTGCTGCTATCCTGAGGGCCTCGGTCACTCTTGGTGTGACCGTCACGGACTTGAGGGCTGCTCTCATTGCCCTGCTTCAAATCCAGCTTGGTCTTATCGCTGGCATTGGCGTCCCTACTGACCCAAGCCTCCCAGTCGTGTCTGCCATTGCCGCTCTGTAAAGACGCATGCCATGGTTTGGCATGTACGGAAACACTCCTACTGCAACACCGAAACTTCTGGAGCTGGGGCACATTCACGCGTCATGTGTGAGTGATGGAGGCTCGGTGCTGAATGGAACTTCTCTTCTGCAATCTCTATAGGCTTGGATCGATTATCAGATCGTTACTGGAGATTGTGTTCAACACACTACCGTGGTTACACGAGAGCTCTGGCTCTTCAGGACTTGACCGGAACTGGGGTTCAACAGAGGAATAAACACACCCGTTTGTTGATAATACATGTAATTATAAGAGTAATTACCTTGATTTACTTGACCGGTATGACATGTGTCTTGCTATGAGTTTCATTAAAATCTACCTGTACATCGCTGACAATGACTCCCCTTACTTCACCTCCTCTTACCACCAGCCTTGCCCTTGGCTTTGCTAGGGGCGCTCTTCTTGTCTCCGCCCTTTCCCTTTGCCTTTGACTTTGCTTTTTGATCCTTGTGCCTTGCCTTCATCTCAGCTTCAGAAGACTTGCCCTTCCTCCACTCTGAGCCTTCGGCGCGCATCTGCTTGGCGTCGAGTCGCTTTTTGTCCTTGTTGCTCAACTTGCCCGCCTTCTTCTTCAGGCCTTCCCGCATGCCGTTTAGTTCCTCGCGACCGGCCAGCTTCGACTTCTTCTTGTCATGTTCCGTTTCGAACCATGTTCGCTTGGGTCGGGACTTGATGTCGGCCTCATGCTCAATTAGGTTCTCACCCTTCCTCACCTGCATCTCGACATGGGCGAGGTGCTTCTCCTCCTTCTCTTCCTGCATGATCTCATCGATTTCGTCGTCCATCTCGTCGATCTCGTTCTGGAACTTGTCGGCTTCCGAGGCATCGATGGCTCGGCTGACAACCTTGGCACCCTGGGCCTTGGCAGCCTTGACGGCGGCCTTGACGACCTTGCGATCGGGCTCGGCGGCCAGAGTAATGGCGGTACCCTTGCGACCAGCTCGGGCAGTACGACCAACTCTGTGGACGTAGATCTCGAGTGACTGAGGGGCTTCGTAGTTGATGACGGTGTCGACACCCTTGATATCCAGACCACGAGAAGCAAGATCGGTAGCCAGCAGATATGACACCTTGCCATCTCGGAACTCTTCCACACTTGAGATACGCTGTGCATACTGTTAGTACCGGGAATTATTACACTCGAGATGTTACTAACCTGAGTTTGGTTCATGCTACCGTGAAGCTCGGCACATGACAAACCAAGAAGACCAAAGATGATGCGGGCTCGGTGAGCCTCCTTCTTTTGTCGAAAGAAGATAATGACTCGTTCCCTGTAAAGTGTCTTGCAGATGTATGCCAGGTAACCCATTCGCTTCTCCTCTCGGCCAGGCCGTAGACGAACAAACTCCTGCACCAAGGTACCGACAGTCTTCTTCTGCGAGTCTACCATGACTCTGGCTGGTTTGTTCATTCCCACACGGATCAGTCGGTCGACAGTGGATGTCATGGTGGCTGAGAAAAGCATTGTCTGGCGGGACTTGGGGAGTGTTGTGAGAATTTCGTTCAGTTCGTCCGCGAAACCGTCCTCAAGCATACGATCAGCTTCATCGAGGATTAAAATCTCAACTGTGTCGACATTGAAGCTGGCCGAGTTTCGCATATGATCAATGAAACGACCTGGTGTCGCGATGATGACATCTGGTCGCAATCGCAGCTCTGCTTCCTGAACCTTGAGACTCAGACCACCAACGGCAAGGGTGAACTTGATATCGGTGTAGGCAGCGAGCTTGGTAGCAACAGCGTGACACTGGATAGCCAATTCACGAGTGGGTGTGAGGACGACAACTCGGGTCGTGGGGATCTTCTTTGGTCGGTACAGCAGACGCTCAAGAATGGGCACGATGAAAGCACCAGTCTTTCCGGAACCAGTGACAGCACCACCGACGAGATCCTTGCCCATGAGAGCGATAGGGATGGACTTGGACTGAATAGGGGTGGGCTTTGTGAAACCAACGGAAGCAAGACCACGAAGAATAGGGCGAGACAGAGACATGGCCTGGAATGACGACATATCCGACTTCTTGCCAGGCTTGGCCGGCTCCTCAGGGGCAAAGAAGGCTTTGCGCTTTTCCTCTTCCTCGGCATCTTCCTCATCGTCGCTTTGGTCTGAGACGTCGTCGTCAGGGTGGCCAACAGGTGTAGCTACAGAGTCGTTGTCTGAAGCTGCCTCGTCATCGTCATCGTCTTCGGCCTCGTTCTCAGACTTGTCCTCGTCACCGTCCTCCTCGTCCCCAGATTCCTCGGCGTCTGAAGCAACGTTCATACCAAATGCGTCGTCGGCGAGAACCTCGTCGTCGTCATCGTCGAGGTCAACCTCCATTTCATTGGCGTCCACCTCAGCTTCGTCGGCTTCCTCCTCAGCATCCTTGTCGGCGGACTTTCCAAGCTTCTTTTCCCTCCGTCGTCGGATAATCTCGTCAAGGTCGACGCCCTTCTTGTCGGCGTTCATGCCCTTCTTCGCGCCATCAAAACCCCATCCCTCGAATTCCTCGACACCAACGTCCTCGGCGTCCTCGCCGCCGAATTCAAAGTCAGAGTCCATGGCTCCATCGTCGTCGTCTTTTTGGCCCCAGATGCCCTCGGCGACCTCCTCTTCGTCATCCTCGGGGGTGGCATCGCGTTTCGACTTCTTGGAGCCCTTGGAGGTCTTGGCCTTCTTCTTGGGAGGCTGGGCAGAGATTTCCTCCTCCTCGACCGGGAGATCGTCGTCGTCGTCAATGGTGTGGATAAAGTCGTCTTCAATTGGCTTTCGCTTCTGTGAGGGCGCCATCTTGAATGAATTGAGAGACACTCGTGCCGTGTCTATGGAATGAAAAGTGAAGTTGATGGATAGTGGGGCTTCCTTCCTCCAGCACAAATCTCGAACTTTTTTTCTGCCGCTTTTGAAAATTTTGGCGGTGAGAGCGTCACGTCCACGAGCACGAGCACGAGCCAGAACGTGGATGCGGTCAGCGAGGTGCCACGTGACCTCACTGCAAGAGCCCAAGGGGTTTGGAGCTGCCAAACAAGATCCATACGAGGGGTTAGCCCCACTACCGTTGATAGGGCGACAGAGGTGCCAACTCTGTAATTTCTCCCATCCCATTCCGACAACGCAATCTCTCCTTTAGCTGAGCTTGCTTCTGCGCCGTCTCTACTCTCTTCGCACTCCCGAAAGACGTTTCTCGATAATCAGCTGCTTCGATCAGCTCCGAAATCGCTTGCGTTGTACCACGATCCTCCCGAATAAACAAATCTCCAGTTCAAGATGGGCGAGTCGAGGTTGGTGGTGATGTCTTCGGGGCCGTCTACGACATGGCGGCCTCCGCTGTAGGCGCGCAGCTGGTGCTGACCTGGGCTTTCCTTCACAGACAAGAGCTTGTTGCGTGGCTCAACAGCCTTCTGCAGCTCAACATCACAAAGGTCGAGCAATGCGGTACTGGGTGAGTCGACCTCTGCCCCGCCCCCTCGTTGAATTGGGTGAGACCTGTGCCATCATCGTGGTCATGGCGGCTCAAAACAACAAAGAACCCCGCGATCGAGATCGCCACCGCGACGCCAGACACAATGTCACGGCAAAACATCATGATACAGGGGACATTGCGTACGAAATCAGCGTCTAACATTCTTCTCCTAGCGCCGCCCTTTGCCAAGTCTTTGACAGCATCTACATGGACGTCCCCATGTCCAAGGTCAAGTTCAATGTGAACTCGGAATACCTGTACATTCAAAACTTCAAGGTGCTTCAGAGTACGTCTACTTCCCCGTCTCCACCGACCGCGGCCTAACCCTTCACAGACTGCTTTTTGAAGCACCAGATCGACAAGCCTATTCCCGTATCGGCCCTCGTCAAGTGCAAGATGCAGGACAACCTCGAGTTCCTCCAGTGGACAAAGCGCTTCTGGGACCTCAACTTCCCGGATCACGAGTACGACGCCGTTGCCCGACGAAAAGGCGGTGCCATGCCCCCCACCGGTGGTGCCGCCGCCCCCCGATCCGCCGCTTCCAGCAGTGCCGCCCGCCGAGCAGGTGGTACCCCCAGCGGTGGCCCTCGAGTTGCCAAGGCTGCCGGCCCCGCCACTGCCGCCCTTCAGCAGGAGAACGCTACTCTCAAGGAGACAGTGACAGGTCTTGAGAGGGAGCGTGACTTTTACTTTAGCAAGCTCCGAGACATTGAGCTTCTCATCCAACAAGCCGTCGACGAGGATCCCGAGCTGGAGAAGCAGGAGGACGGTCTTATCAAGCAAATCCAGACCATCCTGTACTCGACAGAGGAGGGCTTCGAGATCCCCGCCGAGGATCAGGTGGACGACCAGGAGACTTTTTAGTCCCGAAGCTCATATCAAAGTCTTGGGAGATGTAATGAACGCGACCATGATGAGTTGAGTGTACTGGGAGGGGGAGCACATAGTCTGGTTTTCTCCGGCATGAGGCAAAAACGGGCATGGACTTTGGAGTTGAGGCCTCATACTTTTGGGGAGGGACTGTGTTGAAAGCCAATGGATGCGCACGCATTGGCAATTGATTGGCACTAGAAGCGAAGCTTTTTCTCTTATTCTTGTTCCCGGGGAACGTGTTCTTGAGTCCCTGTGAATGAGTACAAAATTGATCTTGTTGGAAACGTGCATGCTTTGTTCATGTTGCATTGAGGCCCACGGGACGGGCCGCCGCCATGGCTTGAGATAATTTAGAGTTTACGTGAGGCCGTTGTTGGAACGGCTATGATGTTTACAGGGAGCAGACTGGATCTTTGACTCACTCCCTATGCTAGCCAACCTACACATCATCTATAACAGCCGTTGGGTATTGAAACATGGTGGCTCTTCACATTGAAGTCTCATCACGCTGTCAGTGTGTGTAAGTTGGGGTTCATCGAGATAATGGCTATTTTCACGCTCAAGTTGGCAGCACGCTTCGGTTGGCTTGTAATGAGGAATCTGGGGGTTGATGTGTCGACTTCTTCAGAGAGTTTATGGATCAGAGTTAATTCCAGAAACCCAGTTGCTCTCAATATTCTGGTGCAACCAACTAGCCAAGAGTAGCGTTAATTGGCCTCCTTTAGTCCATAAGCTGAGATTTTAGTGATGGTATGAAGTAGTTATTTTGCTAGGGGTCTTCGGAATAGCGACGGGGATGTCTGTCCTGCCTCGACTACGCGAGTCCATCAGCCGCCACACACGAGCGAGCATAGAGATGTTAGCTTGTTCTCCCCTAAGGTTAGCTGTAAAGGTGCAATAAAATGATGAAACGATAGATAAAAGAGATCTCAAGTATTAATCATTTTTATGACATCTCTGTATCATTGTCATCATAAAGTAGAGAGTACTCCTTTAACTATCCACTTGCTCTCCACTATCCTGTGAGGCTATTGGTGCCAACCTCATCAATTCATTGCGCAACCCCAAGTCATCAAGACAATGTGCTCAGACTTCCACTGGCTTCCGATCCTCCAGCTCAATCCTCTTGGCAACAACGGCATCTCCCAAGTTGCACTGGTAATTCTTGAACTGGCGAGCAGGCACCTTCTTGTCAAAGAGCTCCTGGATTTCGGCGTAGTTACGACCCTTCATCTCAGGGAGGCAGAAGTAAAGGTAGACACACATGGGAACGGAGAAGGCGAAGAAGATGAAGCAAACTATAGGTCTGTTAGAATGTGATGAGTGTGATTGGTGGGCATTCACTTACTCTTTCCGCCCAAGTTGAGCTCGTCGCTGTTGATCAGGTAAGGCATAACCTGAAGAACAAGGCACGACACAGCCGTGGCGCTCATGATGTTGATGGCATAAGTCTTCTGACGAAGTGGAATACTAGGGGTCTCGCCTCCGACACTGTAGGCGGTGGCACCCACAGTCATCTTTTTTAAGTGTTTGTTAGTTCAAGTTGCTGCTCGAGGAACAGTAGTACTCACCTGGTACAAGAATCCCCAAACAACCATGAAGGCAACAGTTGCTGAAAGAGCCTGCTGGTTGTTCACTGTGCTAATACCACCAATGAGGAGCAGACCAGCAGTCATTGTAATCATGCCGCCGACAATCATGGGGCGACGACCAACTCGGTCGACCAGGGGCCATGAGCAGATGTTTCCAAACAACTGAATAGCGAAGGCGGCCTGGGCGATTCCGATGGGGTTGTTTACGCCAGCTAGGCGGAAATAGTAGGTGAGATAGCCGCTCACAAAGTTGACACCAATGAACTGATAAAGGGTTAGAACCTCAGAAGTATTGGGTCTTATGTTTCAACATTACCTGCTGAGCGATGTAGACCATGCAGATGATTAAAGTTCGGCGTCCGTCAGAACCGCGAAAGCATTGGAGCCAGCTTCCGCCTTCGCCCATGGCCTCGTTCTCGTGGCGAATAGCGAGCTGAGCAACGGCCACAGCAGTATCAGCATCAAAGTCCTTGCCGTTGAACCGAAGGTAAGACTTCTTTGCGTCGTCGATTCGTCCGTGGACAAGTAGCCACGAGGGTGATTCGGGGAGGAAGACGAGGCCGAAGAGGAGCAGGCAAGGCGGGATCAGCTGAGTGATGACAGGAATTCTCCATGCCATGTCGTCGGTCCGATCCGAGCAGGCATAGATGACGAGGGAGTTCAGCCACTGGCCGATGACAATCATGGTGTTCTATATCCGAGTTTAGTGGTGCGCTTGGGACTGGTGGGCGAATACTCACGATTAAAATGAGGCATGTTCCTCGCAACTTGTTTGGCGCCATCTCAGCAACAAAGACAGGTCCTAGAGAGTGACCTAACCCGAAACCAAACGTCCCGAGAAGCTTGCCGCCGAAGAGGTTCATGATGGACTTGGCGTAGTACTGAACCATGATGCCAGCGATGCAGATGAAGCAGGCGAGAACAATCGTATACTTGCGGCCAACCTTGTCAGAGATGAAGCCTGTCGCAAAGGCTGAAACAAAGATGCCGACGGTCGTAGCAGCATTCAGAATCTGTTGATCTTGGGCGGTAATGAGCAGAGTCCCATCGACGACTTTGCCAAACTCTTCCATGAACGGTACCACAGCAAGGAGGTTGCCGACGTTGTTGATCTCAAAGCCAAAGTTGATTGGCAGCAGGAAGATGAGAAAACCTACAAGTTCCAGATTAGGAAAGTTCAATCAAGGAAGATGGTTTGGCAACTCACAGAAACCCAGAACCCGGCGGTGCTCCCAGATATCGCGGAGCGTCACATTGCCGCTGTCGTCAGAGGCGACACGCTCTTGTGATGCCTCGACATGGTTGGTATCGGTCTCTGTAGGAGCCATGATGGAGTTAACTCTGAGAAAGACTCAACCCTGGCGAGTGTTGTTGTCAAATGTGTACTTGTATAGGCTGATGGCCCAGTGGTGTTGATGAGAACCTGTTCAAGGTGAGGCTCCCACAAACTTATATAGACACTTCACCCGTAATTCCGCAATGGATCCCTAGCGCTCAGATCATGGCATTCTTTAGACCTGAACATGATATTCCCCATGGGCAGCCATGACCAACGGCTGCGGAGTGTGGGCCAACCGAGGAATGGGTATGAAGAATCTAGTGGTTAAGGTTTCTACATGGAGGCGAGTCGTACATCATTCGGCACCCAGAAGCCGGGCTGGAGAGAGCTGATCCATGCTGCCGGAACACGAAAGCGTCTAGTGTTTCCATAAGTGTCAATGTTTAGTTGCCGAGCCTGTTTGCCTTTCACGCGACTGCGGAGACCCTCGCCCTCGGGGATACTCGGCAAGGAACCTGTACGGTCTGAAATAGTTTACTCAGCGGCTCTCCGACATTTGGATCGTCTTCTCCCGCATTGACAGTCACGGGGTTGGCAAAATCCCAGCCAGACGGCTCATGGTGCTAGTCTAGACTCGGTTCCAAGCAGGGGAAGCATGATGCGATTCGCTGGGGAAGCGCGAGTACGTCGGCGAACCATTCGCCGATCCCCTCAAAAGTGGGAGAGCTAGGGTTGTGGAAGCATGCTACCGGCATGGCCTGTTGTTTAGTGCGAACGGCACTTTTGAGGCTGAGACTGGTGATGATTGCATGCCTTGTATTAAATGGTAGGCTCTATTAGGCGAAATTAATGCAACAGCAAGTCCAGATATATACACAGTCGGGGAATCTCTGACGTTGAAGAGTGATTTAAGCTTGACGAGAGTAACATTGCATCCCCAGACTCTCCCACAACTCCTCTTTCTTGATGGGACCCGGGACATCCTCGGGCGGAGAAACCCCACGTGCTGATTACCTATTCAGGAATATTTGTCCGGCTCTTCACTCCACTTTGGAGCGGAAATCCCATGGAACCGCGCGTGGTTTTCAGATTTCAGCACGTCACGCCTGTTCCCTTTACGAAACAATAGGCGAGAAACGAAGCCCACATGCCTCTGCCGGATATGGAAATTGTAACCACCTTGAAGATGTCATGAATTCCCACGTGGCTGGTATCAATCTTTCCATGATCAGTTCCAGCATCATGCGAACAGCAATGGCTTCATTTTAACTGCCGATTTCCCTTTTCATAACAATAGATTGAGTGGGGTTTGATCTTGGTTACGTCTTGATTTTCAAAAACTGTCTCGTGTGTCCTCTCTACGAGCTCATGAAACAATAATTAGAAGCATCTCGACATCACTGTCACGGTTTCTCAGGGCAAACTAGTCTATTGAACATATCACCCCATGCTACATCCATGATAAAAAAAATCTTCTAGCGTCTAAGGGACTTTCGGAGGTTCCAAAACTCTCGGCCAGTCTCCGAAACCGTTCTTGTAACCAACTCGATAGTTACTCCATTCGAACCACAATTTTCCTCGGGACAAGAACCCTTTTTCTGATGACCGTATTAACTGCGGGAACCCCTTTCATGAAGTTACATCACTTGATGCTTCGTAGAATGGAAGTCGGGTTTGAAATTCCAGAAGCCTACCCAAGAGTGACTTGCGAGGAGTGTTTCTAGCCCCTATATTTCTCCGCCGTGTAAATGCCGGTCGTAACTCTTTGAGGCTGCCTTAGATTGCGGGGCTCCGCAGAGTCAAATACGTCTGCAGCAGGCAGAGGTGGATGCGAATCGCTCTCAGCTTCCAGGGGTCACCATCAGTGAGGATGCTGTCGAAGGTGGGATTCGGCCCTTTTCCCACCAAACCCCAGAAACTTGTTTTCTGGGGTAATTTTGACGTCCCAGCAGAAGCCTCTTCGAATTTGGTCTCTGTAGTTTCTGGGCCACTGCTCTCAACTTTCTCCCATTCCTAATCATCGCCGAGGACAAGGGGAAAAAACCAATACGACAGAGTTATTAGAATATCCTCCTCTAAGGTTAGATATAAAGGTATGACAGAGATAAGGAAAGAATGAGTAAAAGAGATCTAAAGTATTAACTATTATCAGTATATCACTTTATTATAATCATCATAAAGTAGAGTGAGCCTGGCGTTCTTGTTGGGTTGAGTACTCTAACATCGTGACTTTGCTACCTAGTGCAGCTAACTACCTATCTGCTTGGCCTCTACCTGGACAACCCGAGACGGTAGACGGGCCATCCCATCGCCTTGAACCAGATAAACGGCGAGATCCTGGCATGTTGGCCGAACCGGTTGTGGGAGTACAGCGCCGCCGGTGGAAGCTTCTCATCGTCTCCCGCCATCAGGCAGGGCAGAAGCGTGTTGCCCCAAACGCAGTAGAGGTCAGGCCGGCTCATGCACGCGGCATCGTCTACCGCAATGCCCCGAGCCTCGCGCTTCCAGGCGGAATATGGCTCCTTGGCCGACAGTGATGGGGTGGTGCAGACGATGTCTGCGACACGAACAACCTCCTCCAACAACGAGACAAGCCTGTCCTTGCTAAGCATGGCGCCTTGCTCATACTCGATCCAATCGATCCCTTGGGAGGCCAGGGCACGAAGGCGGTGCAACTGCTTGTCGTTTTCGATGCGGCTGCGCATCTCGTGAAGGGCAGCGCTCTCATCCCGACGAAGCGGGCGGACCCTGGGACTGGGGGAGCGCAGGAGGGCAAGGAGCCAATATGCGGCAGATAGGTGCATCTTCCACTCTGACTGGCCTGACAAGAACGAGTTCGGGGCAGCCTTATCTCCATCATCGGGGCATCGCAACAGGTGGAGGAAGGCAGATGCCTCGTCATCGATCTTGTAACCGCGGACAACATGCTTGTATCGAATACGGTCCCCTTCATCGCGGCCGTCGTTCATGCGGTCCGTCGCCCTGGTGTCCACATGGTCGAGTCGAGCGGCGAAGTCGTTCACAACCTCATCTGTCGGGCCGGTGGCGTAGATCTTGCCGAGGCTGCACGACATGCCAATCGTGCCAACGACGAGGGCAGTTGTGTTCCCAAGGCCAGGACCCTACCAGGCGTCAGTAGAACGAATATTAAAAGCGCGGTGGATACTCACTGGAGTGATGACTCCGAGCCCAAGAGGCCTCTCGCTCAGGTATGTCTGGAACCTGGCTCGGTCTTGGGGAAGAACCTCATGCACCAGGGCCTCGACTCGGTCTTGATCGGTTCCTAGGAGGTTGATCACGGGGAGTGATCTGCTTAGGTTGCCCAAAGGCTCGGGAGAAGGGCCGGAGGGAACGTAGCCCAGCAGCGTATCATAAAAGCCTGTTCCACGGACCAGGTCTCGATGTAGGCTCATCTTGAAGTCGACCTCGTCACGAGCCCCGCCAATCGAATTGGTTGGCTGCTTGCCGGGTTGAAAGAGGCAGATGGTGTTGACCTTCCTCTCATACTCATCCGCACGAGCATCGAAGTGAAGAGCAGCGCAGTTCTACTGGCGCACACCCTGTTCGTTCAACGCGAGGTCAGCAGCCAGGCGATCGTGGAACGTGGTGACCTTGAACTCGGAGCCTCGGGCGGCTTGCGTTAGGAGGGGCCGGCGAACTAGCAGAATCATCTCGCGACCGGCAAGGTGATGTGCGTTGAGGGCATCGATGCCTTGCGGATTCACGACCTTGGCATCCCATTGACCAGAGGCCGCCTCGTCTTCCCAGTTGTCGTAGAGGTCAAGCTTGAAGGCGCCCTTGGCCAGATGACACAGAGCATGCTCGAACTCCACCTTGAGGGTCCTTGAGAGGGCCATGATGACATAGTACCTCGACGTGTTGCCTTGAGCGTACTCCACGAAATACGCCGAGAACTTCTGGGAAGCGATCTCGTCAACAGCTCCGTCAAGCCACATGAAGTCTTGGACCTGAGTCTGTATCATAACGGCTAGGTGAGCATTGTCATCATGATAACTCCAGGTGGGTGGGAACTCGAGACTCTCGGAACCAAGGATTGTGGCATGTCGCACTTCGTCCCAACTGTGGATGTTGCCGTAGGGGTAGGCGACAGGCAGCGGAAGACTTCTGGCGTCCCAATCGCGCTCCAAGACGGGGCTTGGTGCGGCGACAATGATACGGATCTTCTTCTGCCGCAGAAACTGCAGTAGAGCTCCCTGGTGGTTGAGCAACTCCTCGAATGGGTGCCCTGGGCCCTTGAAAGGCATACCGAAACCGTGCACTTTGATGAGGGATGGATCCCTCAGGCTGACCCTGACCAGCGACAGGGGCTTCTTGGTGCCAGGGAAGCGGCTTCGCAGGGCATCGCTGACCACTGGCTCGATGGAACGAGAGAAGCCTTCTCGGGGGAATCTGACCTCAATCCTACGCATGTCGGCTTGAACTATGGCGTGATTGAGATTGTTGACTATAGATTCGTCAGTGTGTGTTATTCTAGAGGACGCACGTAAGAGCCTACCCCTGTGGCATAGGCCAAACCCTTCTTCCTCGTTTGCTTGATTGAATGGAAACTCCAGGTAGAATCCCATGCTCGGCTCGACATGCGTCTTGTTGTACGTGAAGAGGTATGAGTTGACCTCCGACTGCGGCACACCGAGAGCTTTCCCTCCGAGGATGGGACCGTGGCTGCTATCCAGAAGGATTGCGCAAGGCTTCCAAAAGTTTGGCCGGCGGTCGGCGGTGGCGGGAGCAGAACCAGGACCAGGACCAGGACCGCTGCTCTTGCGTGAGGCCATGGTGGAACCGATATCTCGACGACGACTGCTTGGGTGAGAAGATGAAAATCTAGGCAGTTCGTCGACTTACCAAACACCAAACTACTACCCTTCTCCTCCACGACCACTCGACACTTCGGAATCCCCCAAGGGTCCTTAGCTAACGTGCAAGCACGCGCTCAGTTACCGACCTCTTACGAGAGCCGGCGTGACCACCTGGGTTCGTCGTCAGTGAAGAGGGAAGCGACCCAACGAAAACAGAGTACGACAGACACGAGGCCCGTCGGAGAACGCGAAGAACACGGGAACGGCGAGCTGTGGTCTCTCACGGGGAGCAGATTGTTGTTGAAGGAGAGAAGGAGGGAAAAACAGAGGGGCAGAGAAACGCGATTCATAATGGCTGTTGCTCTGTTGTGGGTGTAGCAGTGCCTGACAGTGCACAGCCGTTCTGCCGCTGGCAAGGCTACGCATGATTGGAGGATAATTAACAATAGACCATTGATGACTGTGCAATATCATTGTTCAAACGGCATCAAGGCGTTGGGATCGTGCCTCCAACCGCGAAGCAGTCATTGTGAGAATGCCCCTGCACCGAGCGATATGAATGGAGCATGCCGATGTTGGGCGTACGACGTAGTATGCCAAACAGGCCTTTTAACTAAAGAAACCAACACATGTTTTACAGATACTAAAGCTTTCTTGGGTGTTTGATAACAAACCGCAGCAGAGAAGCCCATGTCCTAATTATGTCGCCTGTCCATCTTGTAACGCCTAACTAAGACACCCAGTTGGTTCGTATTGACTCGCCCTCTTCACAGTATATTCAACTCTGCGATGGCACACGAACTCCCACCTAAGGCCTGGTTAAACCCATAATGTTGACGTTACTCGCGGTAAACTTGCCCCCTGAGGACGTAAAGAGGATCACGAAGTCTAACCCCGTCGATCCACCAAGTTAAAGCACAAGCAGCAGAGCCCATAGGGCAATAATGAACCAGCAAGAACCAAGTAGTAGGCATCCTCGATAGGCACGTAGCAGACGACACATTCAGCACAAGAAATGTCAGCGATGGCCCGGGTCCAGGCTTCACAATGCAGCCAGGGCTGCAGATTCCTACACAAGTCCGATATTACTACACTTCGAAGCATCAGCGGAACAGTAAACGCATGCCAACATATTTCATATTGTTGTCATTCACTCAAAAGAGATGTCCCTAGCACCACTCTGGCGGAAACTAATAAACACAACTGCTCTATCTCGCGGTTTGGGTACGCTGTTCCCATCGCCGCTCCCATTATCGCCGCCGGCCCCTTCGTCGGCCCAGGTTTCGTCACAACTTTTATTGCGGCAGCCCTAGCATCCGATTGACCAAGACCATGACGTGTCTGGTAGCGTTCTCCAAGGTGAGGGACTGGCTTAGTCGACGGGTGTATTCTGCCTTCGCACTGTTCGTTAGGATCAGGTCCAGAAGGGCCTGGTGCATTAAATTTGAACTCGGAATATGCTGGGCCAGGAGGTCTCGTCATGATTACATTGAGACCAGGGGTCAGGTGTCGAACTGGCAGCGGGATATCAGACAAGCCCCATTGCGTCGCCTGTGCCGACCTCTGCGAGGCGTTGGGCCTTTGTTTAAGAGCTTGCCGCATCCTGAGGTGTTGAAAGTGATACCGGCTGTGTTGCTTCGTGTTTAAACTGAGGATGTCCCCCTCCTTGGTCTGCTTGGTGCCAACGAAACAGACCTTCGTCAGTATTCCCTCAATGTCTTCAAAGCCGCCAAGTCCCAGTTCCTTCGACATAGTTTCTTTGAGCGGGCTTGGGCCTTCTGTATTGTGACCCCGGAGATCAAGGAGAGACTCGAAGAAATGAGACCCGGTATATGGGAGATGAACCGAATGATTGAGCTCGTCAAGCCGCAGCTCACTCGCGCAACCTTCATGAAGGTCTTTGGCTAGATCGCCAAGTTCATCTCTTACCAAGAAACAGTTTGAGACAAAGATTGCCTGACCTGGTTTTACCCCCAGAAGGTTTTCTTCACACTAGTTCGATTCTATTTCATCTCTTCATTGTAGAATGCGAGATACCATCAAACAAGGCGATACTCGAAGCCAATCCCAACGTCTTCACCCCGAAAGTCGTCGCTTTCGCTGTCTCTCGTCAGAGAAGAGCCCAATAACGCAGAAGGCTATGTTGGCGTTTGCCTTTCCTTCCCGCGAGATGTCGACACCCACGTCTGGGCATGTTATACGTCTAGCCTTGACGTGATGCCCTCTCGGGGGCTTAAAATTATTTGCACATTTCCCATTAAATAGTTCACCATGAGTTACCGCCCCCTCAACGACCAAGAAACCAAGCGCTTCAATAATATATTCCCTCCTGAAAAAGCAACTACCTAAAAAGCGACTAAGCTCTATATCATCTCCATTAACCTTGTGCTTGACCCTACCCTCACTAGCTTCGCCATCCCTTTTCATGGTAGGATGAAACCATTGACAGTACCGATAGCAACCTTTGTGAAGGGCTCATCGAGCTCCTTGGAGGACTTGCGTTTGACCCGGACTTTAACGATGTCGACCGCGAGGAGTTTGTGTAGCCCTCACATGTCATACCTATCTGCCCATGGCTATGCTTACCACCAACCTGGGAGCCGGTATGGCTTTCAACCATCTAGACCTGGCTCGCTAAGCCAAAGTCAGTACCCCCCCCCCCCCCCCCCCTGGGTCTGGCTCCCAAGGATAATCCAGCCAAGGTCTGGGATTTGGGGGCGATGACACGGGTGACAGCAACGGAGCTATGACCCCCTGAGAAGACTGCGTCTCGTCCTCCAACAATGAGCCATAGGGAGCCAGACTACTGTCAATGACCACATGCTGTACCATCATGGGTGTGTCTGGGCACCTACCTTGTCTGAAGCGGGATTTGCGGGAGTGATGGCATTCGCCGTGATGTTAGGAAGGAGCATCATGTCGGTATCGCCCAGGCTCCTTCCTGGTTGTAGATTACGGCACCCACCGTACCTTTTCTCTTCCTCCACGATGTCCCATACCTATCTTGGTCAATGCTCTGACGGACAACGACACCATCACCAGACGACCACGGCGCTCTTTCTTTCTCTTCATGTACAACTCGACGCATGCCAAGTCTAATTTTGAACTCTCTCTGGGGTTTCCATTTAGCCAGGCAAATAAGGACGAAGGGCTTAGCACATGCCACAGGGGTGCTATTCATGTCGTGGACATCGCCTGCGCCAATCCGTCACTTTGTATTTCCCGACCTGGCAGAGCTCGAACATTCCTCTGGCCATGCGCAGCTGGGTGCGCAGACGGTAGACGGGCCATCCCGTGGTTGTCAATAGTCACCGTAGCACTGCCGAGGTCAATATGTCGGACAGGATCGAAGTCTTGGTCGGGCACATCGGCAATCCTATGGTCATCCATTCAAGACATCAGCTGATAAAGGTGATGCGTTTGGGGCATGTGAGACTTGATCGTCGTCCATCCGTTGTCGCTTGAAAAAAGAAGGGGAGCCATCTGTCAACGGGGTAGCTGGACCAACTGCTCAATGTTCAGCAGGGAAATGGGTTTCATGGAGAGCAACCCGCTTTTTCGCTTGACAGAGCCTTCGTCGACTGAATCCCAGCTTGTACACGCTCTTCCAGGTCAAATGACCCGGTGAACTTTTGGTTCAATACCCGTTGAAAGGTTGGAGGAAGGGCGTCCCATGATCTTGATGTACTGTTAGCTTCTATACCAGTGCTGTGCGTTTAGTGTTCAATGCTCACTTACCTGTTGACTAGGCTGTCGAGGGGCTGGGTCTGTCCTTGTAGACACTCGTTGGCCGCTGCAGTTACCACATCGCTTTGTGACTTGATCTCCAGCTTCTTTGCGTTCTGCCTGACCTCTCTAGAACCTTTCACCGTATCCTTTCCTAAGGCTAGCGTTAAGGATATGATAAAAGTAAGAAAAGAATAAGTAAAAGTAGCTCTAAACGCTTGCTCATTATTAGGAGATCTTTTTATTATGTTTAGAGTATTTTACATAAGTATTATCATAAAGCAGACTTGACAGCTCGGCTACCGTCCATCAACGCCTTGTACATATTCCTGAGGGCATCGCCACGAACATACATGGCTTCTCCGTTGGCGTCGAATGTCTCCTTCTTATCCTTGCCCAGAGGCCCGGCGGCGTCAATATCACCAACAACCAGTAGCCCATTCTTCTGACGGCTGAACATGACGTTCAGCCGCTGCTCGTCGGCTGTAAAGCCGGGGCCAGATTTCCCAGTGGTCCCCATGACGACAACAGCGTTATCGCCCCCTTGTCCCTGGAACGAATCGACTGTGACGGCAACGGCCATCCCAGCTAGAGCTGCGTACTCGGGGTTCTTGCACAGGCGGTTGATCAGCTCGACGTTGGACTTGTACGGCGAGATGACGACGAAGCAGGCCGGGTTGGCCTTTGGTGAAGTCGGAGAGAAGGGCCAAGGCCACGATTCTGGTCCATGTTGCTCTTTGACTGGGTAACCGGGTCAATGTAGCAGAAGGGGCCAGTGCAGTGGACGAAGGCAAGCTGTAAGGTCAGCGGGCTTTAGGTCCGAGTACTTCATCTGGAGGTAGATCTCCACCTGACGACCAGCAGAGTGCTGGGGGAGGCTGATATCGCAGCCCGGGCCGTACTGGAAGGGGAGGTCGCTGTAGACCTCGGCGTGGCAGAGCTCGAACATGCCTCTGGCCATGCGCAGCTGGGTGCGCAGACGGTAAATCGGCCAGCCCACCGTCTTGAACCAAAGGAGCGGCGAGATCTTAGCATGCTGCCTAAGGCAGTTGTAGAAGTTGCCCGCAGTACTCTTCTCCTGCAGCGTCATGACGGTCGGTGGGAGCTGCTTATCATCTCCGGCCATTAGGCAGGGCAGAAGCGTGTTGCCCCAGACGGAGTAGAGGTCGGGACGGCTGACATTGCAGCGAGGGCCCTATTGAAAGGGAAGGCCGTTTAGCCAAGGAGTCCTGCTCCGTGTGGAAGAACTATAAATCCTAGTTACGGTGAATGAGTCCGCCTGCATCAGCCATTCCATCCTCAATTGCACCTGGGGCAACTTGCTTCCTGATGGCCAGAGAAGACAAGGAGCTCCCACCGACCGTCATGACGCTGCAAGAGAAGAGTACTGCGGGCAACTTCTACAACCGGTTTAGATAGGATGCCATGATCTCGCCGCCGCTGTTCTTTAAGGAGTCTTCACCAACATGGCCATGAAGAGCTTTGCCGTTGACGATTGGGACCAGCTCCGCGAGATACTCCGCCATGTACCACTCTACCACCCCTTCTGGAGAGTCCACGAGTCCCTTGGCGAAGAGATATGGGAAGGCGAATGGGATACGTCCATTATCCCTCAAGTTCCTCTGGCAGAGTTCGACGTTGACCTACTACCTCTTCAACAATGGATAGAGGGCGACGGTAGTGCACAACTCGGCTGCCCCGAGTGCTCCATGCTCTTTACCAACACAGGCCAACTTGTTCAGCATCGCCGGGACTGCCACAATCTCCTATATCCCCGTCATCCGACAGAACAGGCTCATGCCGACCAAGACGCCATCAATCAAGGTTGCTGGGACTCAAGACATCCGAACGGCAAAAGGCCCCACGAGACTTCTCAAAAATCATGAGTAAGATTAAATGAATATACTAAAAGACTATCATAAATTTATGTAGACTTAATTTATCTTTGACTCATTCCTTTACCATGTTTATTGCACCTTAGGAGCTACCTTGATGTGCTGTGCAGCCCAGCCATTCAGGCACATGTGGAAAGCCTTGAAGGTTGCGCAAAATCTCCTTTTCCTCTAGGGAAAGTTTCTATTGAACTGTTGGGCCTCATTGTCAGCGACTTGAGTATTTGACGTTTTCCTTGGCCGACTACCACTTACTTGGGGGACAGCAACTTGGGTACATAGGTTTCTGGTCTTATCTCAGAGACGACAAGTCGACGCTTTGTAGGTGAAACATAAGCAGCGGTTTCTGGAAATATACCACGAGAACGGTATGATTGGAGAAGAGAGAAACTCTGATTTATCTAGTCGAGCAATTCATTCGTGAGATGGGCAAAACCGAGTTCATGGAATGCACCGCGTGAGGTGAATCATACCTATACAGTGTGTCTCACTGTGCAAGGTCGCATGCCCACCCGACCCAATTGCAGTTTAGCGTTCCAAAGTGCCGGCGCCGTGACCTCACCGAACGGCAGGCTACCTAGGTACAGAGCATGCAGGGCGCGCTAAGGTTCTCACCGTATGAATTATGGACGACGTCAGGCACCCGACCCTTGGCAGCTGTGCCACGCTTTCATCATCGCCTCGTGCTCTAATTCAATTCCCGGTTTCTTTCCTGCTGTACCATCTTCCTTGACGCAAAGGATATCATATTGTTGCCGTCTTTTCTCTGAGCTCAATCATAGACCGTCTTCGTTTTAGTATACCATCATTGGACCACACACGCGAGTTGAGAGAGAGCAGCAGTCACAACGCATCACCATGGCACCGCCGCCCGAGATCGCCATCCCGTCCACGAGCGTCTCCGACGAAGGCTCCAAGAAGCCGTATACACTCTACAACATCACCCTCCGACTTCCTCTACGCTCCTTTGTCGTTCAGAAGCGATACTCCGACTTTGCCACCCTTAACCAGACGCTCGTGCAGGAGGTTGGCGCCGCGCCTCCAGAGCCCCTGCCTGGAAAGCACTGGCTCAAGTCGACCGTCAACTCGCTGGAGTTGACGCGGGAACGTCAGGATGGGCTGGAAAAGTACCTGCGCGCGATTGCCGAGTCGCCCGATCGACGGTGGCGCGATACTTCGGCGTGGAGAGCTTTCCTGAACCTGCCGAGCTCGAGCACAACGAATTCATCGGTGTCGGCGGCGGGAAGAGTCAAGAGTGCTGCACCAGGCGCGGCAGATCCTGGTACATGGCTTGATATCCACAGAGATCTGAAGCAGAACCTCCATGAAGCGCGGCAATGTCTATCACGGCGGGACGCGGCTGTGGATAATGGCAACTCGACGGCTGCAGCGGAAGCAGGCGCAGCAGCCAAGAGGGTCCTCGTGAGGAGTGGCACGCTTATCGCGACATTGGCAGACGGACTACGGAGGATACAAGAGTCGGGTCGACTGGGCGAGGGCGAACTGCGACGCCGACGCGATCTCGTGTCCCAGGCGCGGATGGAGCGGGAGGGTCTTGATAGGCTCTCCAACAGCATGCCCAGCTCTACGTCTGCTTCAGGGCTCGGTGGATCTAGTCAGGGCCAAGCATCGACAGCCGACAAAGCCGGGCTTCTCAAGGGAGGTCGACCCAGCGGCCGGGTTCTCGGAGCTCCCTTGCCCGAGACGGACAAGACTCGCGAGCTGGACAACCAAGGTGTACTGCAGCTACAGAAGACAGAGATGGAGAACCAAGATCTTGCGGTTGATCAACTCACGACTATTATCCGACGACAGAAAGAGATGGGAATGCAGATCTACGACGAGGTGGAGCGACAGACAGAGATGCTGGACAAGCTGGACGAGGACGCGGGACGGGTGCAGGCCAAGGTCAAGGTTGCCAACAACCGCATCAAGAAGATGTGACTGCTACTACTGGCGGTGCTGGTGAAATTGATACTGCTCGTGGTTCAAGTGGTGGTCTGGTGGTTGTGGATTATCAAGATGCTCATGGTAGGACTCTCATGGATTGCAGACGCGGCAACACTCGCTGTACAAAGTTGAAACAGGACAAGGCATTTTGATGGGATTAACGCAGGGCGTCTTGGGAACAATAGGTTTTGCGTTTGATTTGATGGGGAGCTTTTTTCTTCGATTCTAGCATAAGGAATTCAATTTGGGCATTTTTTGTGCATTGTGCATTTTCTTTTATGTTAATGCTAGGGCTTGAATTTGATGCTGGGGAAATGAGTGTCAAGCATGGAACATCCAGGGTCCTTTCTGCATTGCCGTTGATTGTACATGAAAGCTTGAACTCTGAATGATACCTTGTAGGCTTGTTCCTTGTCGAAATGGGAAATTTGCTCTCAGTCTCTCAGTGACAATGCTGTGGAGAAAGCAGCAGCTCCACAGACACCCGCGTCCCGCGTCCCGCATCCTTGAAGATTCAAATTTGATACAGCAGAGGGAAAAAGACCAAGAAGCAATCAAAGACATCATGATCGACCGGTAACTAGCGGGATAAGCTTGTTGTTTACTTGGTAGCACAACAAACCTGCTTGGAGCAACAACACAGACGCTATGATCCGACTCCATGGGAATTTCTGTTGCAGAGAAAAATGGACATCTAGACGCGGCCCGTTCCACCTGCTTGCTAAGGATGGGGCTGCCCCGTCATGGGGGACATGAGTACAAGGAGGTACAACTGCTATGTACCCACCCAGGTTGAGAAGTGCGCTAGCCATGTACCTAAAAGACGAGACGAGAAAATTGGTTGCGGTCAACGAAAGAGAAAGAAGTGGTCTAGAACTACGAGGCTGGCTGTGTGTGGCATTGGGATAACCTCGTACGAGGCAATGCCATGACAACGACACCAAAAAAAGAATCAGGCATCATGTGTGTCTTTCTCGTTAATGCCCGTCAACCTGCAATGCCTCTACTAGAACAGAGACACGCTGCGTTCTACTATTGTGCTGTGCTGGCTGCAGAAACGGGCAGTGTGGACATCTTACGTAGGTGGACTGGCTCATCCAAAACGACTCTGAGTGGGTGGTGCAAGCTGCCTGTAGACACCTTACGTCACAAGGAGAGCCGACGTCGCGTTTCCTTTTGGCGCTCTTGTCTCAGCCGGTTGCTAGGACAACCGGGCATGGGGTTGCGACAAGGTTACAGCCCAATCGCTGCATGCACCCGGGCTGTGACTAGAGGGAATTAATCAGTAGTTGTGAAGACCTTGACAGTTGTAAAATACGAGTGCATGCAGAAAAGAAGCGATTGGAGCAATTTGTGACACGCAATGTAAACACGACTTGTGCTGTGAGTGTGAATTCATAATAATGCAAGGTGGTTGGGATGACAGAAAAAGATGATGGCTGGCACTCTGCAGCCAGAAGAAGGTGGATCGAAGGCCTCACCGCTAAGGCGATCACAGCCACTCACTTCACCTCTTGGCGGCCTTGACGTCGCGGACGTCACGGAAGCTGCGGGCACAGTATGACCAACGCAAAATCCAAGGGCCGTAGTTTCGGTGCCGAGGATAGGTCGTATCGGTGTGTCGTTTGCGGATAGACGCCCCATAGAGTTGAGCTTGACAGCAGAAACGTGGTAAGGGTCCAATCATAGAAAGGACGGTCCAGGAACCAAAGTTAAGCTTTTCCCACGATGGTGACGTCTCGTAGAGTCACCCAGGAAAGTATATTCCATAGCCTGGATGGTAATAAGATGTTCGCCGGATCCATGGCCATTCGCTTGTTCGTAATTGCAACGCTGAGCCCCGGTCAGAATCGACATCGTGACACAATTGATGGTGAAAAGCCATGGGCAAAAAGTGCAAGTCAGTGGGGCCAAAGCCTCTTGACTCTTCGCAGGGCCAGGCCCAGGAGAGTAACACGAGTTATCTGTTCTTTCACATGCCCAATGCCAAGCACGGGGAGTTTTGTCAATGGTTTCCCTCCATCTTCACCGTTAGCAAAGCCAAGATATCTGAGCTTGTTGGTCGTGACATAGACGAGGCAGATCCAGATGGATCGATCACGTTCAACTGCGCAGAGCAGTTCATGATGTTTTGCAAGGCGGCGCGCTTCACCGACAGAACCCACCAGGCCGAGATCCTGGCAAGTTCAAGCCCAAAAGAGCAAAAGTCGCTCGGCCGCAAGACTGTTGGCTTTACCCACGACGAGCGGGACCCCATCAAGAGTGAAGTGGTCGAAGCGGGTAACATGGCAAAGTTTACCCAGAACGAACATCTCGGTCGCAAGCTGCTGGCCACAGGAGACCGAATCCTCGTCGAAGCGGCATCAAGGGACCGGGTCTGGGGTATCGGGTACAATGAAAACCGAGCCATGAACTTTCGGCAGCATTGGGGAGAGAATCTTCTTGGAAAGGCCTTGATGGAAACGAGAGCCCAGTTGAGGAGGGACGAGTTGCGGAAACAGAGGGGGGACTGGTGGGTGGAGGAGGAGAACTGAAGCCGCGCCAATCGACAAGGGCCAGGCACCGAGAAGGATTGTTGTGGTCGGGGACGATTGCCTGCGGACACATGGAAGCCTTCAGGACACCGATGACGGCCCGTCATCAAAACACCAGGTCATGGATTGCTGTCCTTTGTGACGAGATCGACAGGCGGGGAAGCTGACGGCATGGCCATCTGCTGCGTGGGAACCTGAAAGGTTCAAGAGTTGGGACGAGCTTACGAACGAGCCCACGCAATCCTCAACGGCCGCTTTTCTTTTTCCTAGGTTCTGTGGTCTGGTCTTTTGATCCCCAGGGTCCTGTCAGTGTGTTCGAGCCGAACACGCGCCGGGTGGCCTGTGACGAGGAGGAGAGGAGAGGCGTTGGGATAACCCCCTGGGGCGACAAGCAGGGGAGACCTGGTTGTCAACCGCCTCTTGTCTCGAAGAGAAATGAACAACACCGTTGGAGGCCGAGATAAACGGTCGCGTCCGTTGAATGACGGGAGGCGGGAGCGATGGCTGGCCGAAATGGAGGCCAGGGTGAGAAGAAGACCATAGAAGACGAGAGACAGAACGACAGATGGAAGCTTTGGTAGTGGAAGATGATCTGACGAGGTTGAGAAGTAATTACCGCGTAGCAATGTCAGCTTCAAGAGCCTCCTTTTTCGGTTATCGTGCCTGCATTCGCTCCTGGAGCCAAGATTGAGTACAGTCCCTGAAGCGAGCCGAACGTTTATTTGCGTTGATCTCAAGGAAGAAGTCGATGTGAGAGATGAATTCTCCTGCACGTCAGCAGAATCTTGTGGATGGCCGAGATAGACATGGGCGTGTCATCTCGTCTCAGGCAAGAGCCACCCGCCGTTTCCGCAAATTGGGCTCCATCCAGCCCATCGTACCATGTTGGAAATCCATGGACCCTAGCAATTCCAAGACGACAGGAAGCAAAACGCAGACAGAAAGAAACGACGAGAAAAGCCACACCCTCTCGAGTCCATCATGGCAATTGGATCCTGGTCCCCTGTCTCACTTCAACTTGAGAGGATGAGCTGTCTCGACTTTCGAGTGCCATTCGCCAGTCATGAGTGACCTAAGCCATGAGCATGTGGGTCCGTAGGCGGAAAGAGTGGATTTGTTAGCGCGGGCAGCCGCTGGAAGGGGTGCTGCCAGGCAGGCAGTCCCACCCAGCTGGGCAGGTACCTGAGTCTACATTAGGTACCTACCTAAGGTACCTTGGTGCCAGGGCCAGCAGAGAGTAAACAAATGGTCCTGCACATCGTCTCGTCGTCGTGGGCACCCTCAACCTTGTCGGTCCACATCTCCATGGCGCCGGGCATCTTTTTCCCTCGCCGCCCTCTCTCCTTTCTCCCCCTCTTCTCTCCAACATCCCGGTTTACATTGTTAACCCCCCTTTGCACAAAACGCTATCCCGAGCTTGACGAGCAAACAGGACATCGACGTTTTCGCATCGCTTCCTGTTTTGTCACTGTTTGCCCAGGCCTTTTGGAAGCAGTCCTTTTTTGCTTCGGAGCCTGACATTTGGTATCATCGCCGTATCCCCGGCTTTTGTCTTGTGTGAGTCTGTCCAACCTCAAAAATTCTTAAACCTTGCTCTGGCCCCAACCACTCGGGAACAAACTCTCTTTCGACTCACGACTGTCGACACCTCCCCAGCGACCAGTGCTGGCACACATACCTATCGCTGTCTAGGTATAGAGACCGCCTCCACTGACCTGCTGTTAGTCTTATCTGTAGCCTTGATGGCTTCCCCGAGAATCCCATAGACGAGCGATCCCGCCTACGATTTGCGACCCCGAGCAAGCGACAGCCCGAACAGACAACTTGACAACCCACTCGAGCTGATAGTCGACTATGAGCGGGCCGCCTCCGCCTCCGCCTCCTCATGGCGGAGTGCCGAAGGGCTCTGGCTTGCCTCCGGGCAAGTATGACATTTTCGTCATCCCTGAACACTCCTCCGGCTCCGGATTCCTATACCTACCGTCCATGAGACCCAACGTCAACAGTTTTGCAGCCGGCTTCGCTTCAGCATTGATCCTCGTTGTTCTTGGCCAGACCCTGGCTCCGGCTTTCCGTACGTGGTGGGATGGCTTCCAAGGTCTGGGTAACGTGGCCATGTCCTTGTTGGTGATCGGGGTTGGCTTTGGCGCGTGGAGTCTGGGTCGATTCCAAAACCAAGATAAGAATGGCTCTGGTAATGGCTCTGGCAACGACAAGTCTGGAGCGGGAGGATGGGGCCCATACCGTTCAACGAATGGTTCAACCAATGCTGGAGCCCCCCCTCCTCCTCCCCCTCACAGCACCCCTCCGCCTCCGCCTCCACACAGTGATCCTCCTCCTCGGCAACCTCAAGGTGATGGCCCAAGAACGTCGTGGCAAGGATCACCACCTTCGGATCCTCCGCCGCGTCGTCCTCGACCTGAGTCTCAAAGGCCATCGCCACCACAAGAGGAGAAGCGGACAACTCCTCCACCGCGACATGATCCTCAACCACCACCTCCTCCTACACCACATGCTGATACGGAGTCGCGTCGACCATCCGCCCAGGCTCGGCCTCCACCACCCCAAACGCCTCCCGAAACACCTCCTCGGAAACATAAGCATCGACGGAAGGCCCCCTCGACTGAGGTCCGATCAGAGAGTCCTCCTCCCAAGTCCAAGCGTAAACCAAAACGCGAGTCATCGCCTCCCCCCAAGCCCAAGGCAGAACCTGAGCCTGCTCCTAAACCTCAGCCTGAGCCTGAGTCAACTCCACCTCCCAAGCCTGAACCAGAACTTGAGCCAGCTTCGGTCCCTCAATCAAAACCCGAGCCAAAGCCTGAGCCAATGCCTGAGGTCAAGCCTGAGCCCAAACCGGAACCAAAGCCTGAACCAAAGCCCGAGCCTGAGCCGGAACCGGCCCCCAAGCCCGCCCAAACCGAGACACCTAAACAAAAGGGTTCATGGGAAAAGGCTCGTGACGAGATGAGGAAACGGGAAGAGGAGCGCAAGGCCAAGGAGGCAGAGCAAAAACGACGAGAGGACGCGGCAAGACGACTGGCCGAACTACGAGCCAAGGATGCCAAGGAACGCCAGGAGCGTGAAAAAGAACGCGAACGAAAGGAACGCGAAGCCAGGGAGCGCAAGGAACGCCTTGAAACTGAGCAGCTAGCTAGGGACTTAGCTGCAAAGTTGGAACATGAGCGGAAAGAACGCGAGCGCTTAGAGAAAGAGGCCAAGGAAGCCCGTGAGAGAGAAGAGCGGCGAGAACGAGAAGCTCGTGAGGTCGAAGAACGAAAGAGAAAGGAAGCCGAAGAGCGCGAAGCACGACGAAAGAAGTACGCCGCAGAACGGGATGCCCAAAGGAAGAAGGAGGCCGAGGAGGCCAGACTTCGAGAAGAGCAGAAGAAACAGAAAGATCTTGAAAAGGAGAAGGAACTAGAGCTGCAGAAACAGAAGGAAAAGGACGAGTTGGAGAAGCAGCGCGAGAAGGAGAGAGCTGAGAAGGAGCGCACTGAGAGAGAACGTGCTGAGAGGATGGAAAAGGCTCGAATCGCCAGGGAGAGTCTCGAGAAGGAGAGGTTGGAGAGGGAAAGGCTCGAAAAGGAGAAGGCTGAGAAGGAAAAGGCGGAGCGGGAGAAGGCTGAACAGGAAGCTACGCCATCCCGTCAGGGAACCAGCTATGCCTACTCAGGCGTGGGTGAGAGAATGAGCATGTGGCCAAACGGCAAACCGCCTGCTGCACCTCGCTCAACCACCTCAACAGCTTCCAGGCAGCCTCCTCCCAGCTCGGCCGCTTCATCTCAACGAACGGCCACTCCCGCCGCTGCCAAGTCTAACATTTCGGGCGTCAGCACGGAGACTGGTCACCGGCCGTATGACAAGGCCAAGCCGCAGCACAAGAGGTCAGCGTCGTCGATTGGGTCAGAATCGTCATGGGCTGCGTCTCAGACGACGTCCCGAACATCGCCGCCTCCTTCAGTGCGCAGCGGTCCTTACTCCACCAAGGACCCTGACAAGATTGTCATTTCAGGTGTCTACCTGTTCATGAACCAGTTCTCCAAGATGCCCGCCAGCCAGCTCATCTCAGGAGTTGGAACCGTCACTGACGGACTGATTCTCCGCATCACGACTGAGGGCCTCTTCATCGATGACGATGTTCGGAGCGTTCCTCAGCGAGAATGGGACGTAAAGGCCTGGACGTTGAAACAAGTCGAGGTATGGTGCCCCCCGCATTGCTTTAATTCGCCGTCTGCTTCCTCCCCCGCCCCCGACAAGAAAACGAACCCCTTCCTTCACAAAACGGCCGCTTCTCGAACCCGCGACCCTGGTGCGACCAAAGCCTTTACTGGCGACGAAGCCGATGTGTACTTGTCCGAGATGTTGCGCGCGTGCAAAACTTGTTGTCGTCTTGGTTTATGCGATCGAACTTTCCGAGATGCTAACATTCCTTCTTCGACTGGCCAGACTGGAGAGTGGAAATCTAAAGGCCTGCACCTGCTACGGGCCTCAGTTCGAGATCAGGAGGGCAAGCGATATGTGTTTGTCATCGATGAGTCGGAGGCCTGGAAGATGTCGGTCGGACTGCAGCGTCTCCGTCGCGGAAGCCAGGTCCGACAGCTCGCCGTCAGCGGCATGGCGGCGGCGGACGCTCGAGGGACTCTTGAGATGCTGGGTTGGGCCGACTGAGGGATGCTCCCGTGGGGGGTGCATTCGCTTCCGTACATAGATTTTGGGTCAGACGGTACCAACTCTCGCAGGAACGGGGACTGTGGTACGAAAAGGAGCAGGCAGCGAAGTGATTTATGGGTTTCGACGACGATGGAGGGTTACCCGGGTGAAAAGGCACGAGCGCGGGCAGCATTTGTGGCGATACGGTTGTTGGAATGTGAAGGGATTGCATAGCAAGACAGGAGTACGGTGAAAGGCGGATCCGACTGGGCTGTTGTTGTCAACAGCCTGCGTCTGTCATTATTTGTTTGGTTGCGAGCATTCCGTTCATCATACCCCTTTAGCATCTTTGCAAAATTGGATCGAGGATAGATTCGACGACGAAAGATATGACCCCAATATGAAGATATTAATCTCTTTGACGACTAACACAGGTTTTTGTGAGTTTGACTGTAGTATGATGGAACGTGAAAATTGTGGTGGTAGATGTGGTGGTAGACTGGCATTTGATGTCTCACATCTCTGGATTGGTGGTGTTGTCGGATTGTTGTTGAGACACCGTTCGGCGGGATCAGAAAACCCGCCACTTAGCTGAATGAGAGGGTCAGGGACAGGAGGCTGACGACGTAGGAATCCCCTGTGTTTGTAAACATGCTTCCCCGGTGGGTGCGTCGGGTTCTGGTTGTGCTGTCTTCTGGAGGATGAAGCGGTCATTACGAAGGGCCGTTAGCTACGTGAGGTGGGCTCAACGGTCTCCTTGATTGAACTCCTCATCACATTTTAGAAGATACTTGATAGGCTGGTGTATTCGGAAACTCTTCGCAACCGAGAGACGCAACTATACAAGCTCAAACTCCCTACGTGACGAAGATGGGCTGTGAGCAGTTGTAGGGTATGCGGCCCTGAATTCTGAGGAGAAATTAGCTGACCAAATTGCTCACTCTTCCTGTTTGTACGCAGTTAAATCCTATCGAGAGGTCGCACTATCTTATAAGTAAGAGTATTAATAGATTATCCTAAAACATCATTCATGTAATAAGCAAAACCCTCGTTGTTGAGGTGAATGAATTGTCCTGGGCCTGGATGAGCTCTATTTCAAGTTGAGCAAAACTGGGCGACCATGATTTTACTCCCTGGTGAGTTGAATCAACAACCTTGGAGGAGCTAGTAATATTGCCATGCACTTAGTAAGACATGAAGTATTCTCGGTGATCAATTTAAGGCGCCTGTTGTAGTCTGCGCGACGAGTGTCAGTTACCGACGTCGCAGTCAACGCACCCTGCAGCACTTGCGAGACGAAAGGGTGGTGAGCAGCAAGATGTCAACCCTGTCACTCAAGTACTAAAAGGTAGGAACAGGGGCAATCAAAGCAAAAATTATTGATCAAGGCTTCCTCCCTATGTGCTAAGGATTTTGAGCTATGCAATTTCCTCCTCTGCTTCGCTTGACGACTTCACTCCGCCCGAACGCTTGTCCAGAGGACACCCCTTCATATGCGCATCATGCTTTGTACAAAATCCCACCCTTTACCGCCTCCTCTCCCCATTTGAGGAGCGTTAAGACTCATATTCAAGAATCGCCGAAACCGTTCGGTGTGACGCCATATCCAACCTTCCATCTGAGAAGCCTTGTTTCTTGCCTCCTCTGGCCCTCCAGCCAAGCACATGTGGCCAAGGAACAGTGTCGATACGGGGGTAACTCATGGTTCGAGCCCGAGTGATTGAGAAATTTCATCGTAAAAAAGGCCAACTAGTGTGCTCCGATGAACAGTCAATGTCTCAAGGCGGAGGAGTAAGGGGGTCTCGAGGAGGAGGAACGGGCTGCGGACGGGGCCGCCAGGCGCCAGCCTGCATCAACGCCCAAGCGATCTGGCTGGGATTCCGAAAGTGTCCTCTGATTGAGTAGTTGTTCCTGTCCACCCGGATGGTGAATCGACGGGGTCGCAAATGGCGTCGTAAAGTGTTGCATAGAAATCGCAGGTTGGGGACCTCGTTGACGGGGATCAGGATCTCCCACGGCTCTGGGAGGTCGCTCATGATGGGAATGATTGATCTGGGGTGGTTAGTTCTGGATGATAGAGTATGCTTCGTGATGTGTCTTGGTGAAGGTAGGCAGTGCTGGATGAGAAGGCTCTGGTTGGAATACCTGAGAGAAGTGGGAGCAGGAGGAGTTGAGCTTTCGCCGTCTTATAGTCGTCCATATACTGGTGTCGATACTGGGCATATCGTATGGCTTTTCATATCACTGCTGTAAGGGATGAGGCAGTGAGATATCAACTGACGAACAATGGTCGTGTGAAAGCATGCGAGGAACACAAGAGCTCACTTGACTGGGAACCCATTACGCATACGTGGTTCGTGAAAGTGCCTCTTGCCGTTGATGCAAGCGTAACTACTAATCTGGGAAACGTCCTTTGTGCCTATTGTTCCTTCCAAAATCTGAGCATTGTTCAGGGGCACCTACGCAAGGTCCATCCCGAGCCATTTGAGCTTCAGAATTCTCAAAAGTCTGAATAGAGATTTTGGGAAAATTTTCGATTGGAGGCAACTCTGATTCAATTAGTTGTTAACGACTTCTCTACTTTTAAGCCCGCATTGCCAATGAGGGGATGAAAGTTGCTCATCGATCTTCTGGCTCAGTTGACCCATCAAGGGCCGGGCTGCAACTATAACAAAGAACACATTGTCAAAACAGCATAGCATCATGACCCAATGCTAACACAGTGGGATGGTCGCTCATCAAGACCCTATTGACACTGACCAGTCAGTCTTAACACACAGGCATATTCGACTGAGGTAGGTCAGAGAGGCTCAACAAATGTCATGACTCCATGCTAGATCACGTGAAGTAGATCTGTGGTAGTGAAAGCCTGGCTCTCGTGCGGCAAAGCGCCTGTAGTTACAGTTGATCAAGTCATCCGACCAACCGCATGACGTGTGGTGCATATGTCGTAGCCTGTCACTGCGCAACAACTGTGATTTTAAGTACCACTCTAACAAGAGACTGCAGGAGTCATAACTCATCCAAGTGAGAACACCTCACGGTTGTTGCTTCAATAAGTTGGCTCAGGTGTTGCCAACGCATGTGAGAGACCGACGTGCTGCCTCATTCACAACTCATCATCCAGAGCCTCACCCTTATCGTAACACGAATTCTCAGAGCCTCGTTCGCACACACTTTTGTTTTGTTCAAATGCCAAGTAGGCTATCAGTGGCCCCGCATTTCCCATTCATCCGCAACAGCCACCTGTTGGTGGCTGGACTGCAGATGCAGCTTCTGCAAGATGATTTCAAGCTCTTTCTAAGCTTCTCCTCCTACGGGCAGCCGGTTAATGGGTTGCATCAAGTGCAAATTGGCGACAATTATTCGGAGCGCTTCTCCTCGCTATGTGATTCTCCCTGGAATCCATTGATCTTGCATGCGGTAATAACATCATGGACTAGCCCTATAGAGTTGAAAACACTACCATATTGACTAAGTCTAGGCCAGCCTTTTTACATTTCCTCGCTTGCGCGAGGACCACCAGAGCATACCCATCTCTACTATTAGAGCACTATCTAAACCTCTATAAAAATCATACAAGAATAGGCTAATCCCTTATCTTGATTTTGGTGAGCCTAGGAAGAGACTTATCATGATTGGTCTAGATCGCAGCTCAGTACATCATGGCAGTCCCCGCGCAAGCAAGGAGATACCCGACAGCCCGCAGCGGGAATTCGACCTGCAGCGGGAATTCGACCTGCAGCGGGAATTCGACCTGCAGCGGGCCGCGGCGGGAATGACGCGTTTCCCTGTTCCCCGGTTGAGGGTTCAATCGCAGCCGTGGAATTAGTCAAGCCCAGTTTCAAACATACATGATACATCGTCGTCTATTGGCCCGGGTATGGCATATATTGCATCTTATGCATCCTCCTAAGCTGAAAGCTGTGGTTATGACGCGATCGGGATCTGATCGACCGTGTATGCGAGGATCATACGGAGGCTAAGGCAAGACAAGATGGAGACTGCGGGATCGACTTGTCTTGGCACGGGATACTTGGATGAGTATAAGTTAGGGTCTCTGCTTTCTATCGTGTTTGTTTCGTCCGCACTAAACTCGAGCAGACTGGAGACACAATGGCTTTTACTCAACTCGAGTATGCTCATCTGCTAGGCATAGGGGCAGTTCTTCTATGCTTAGCAGTAGTATGGCAACTCCTCCTTTCCCCCCTGAGAGCTTTCCCAGGACCATTCGTTGCCAGATTTACTGATCTTTGGCGTGCTGCCGCCGTACTTCCTGGACAAATCGACAACGTCAACCGCAGATGGCACAAGCGATATGGCTCTGCTGTTCGGGTCGGCCCCAATACTATCATTCTCAACGGCCCGGAGATGATAAAGATCGTGTATTCAACAAAGAAGGCTTGGGTTAAGGTATGAATCTTTTATCATTGTATATGGGGTCTAACAAGTGTACTTTAGAGTGATATGTACATGATCAACGACGTCCTTCTTAATGGCAAACGGCTGGCCAACATCTTCAACACGCGGGACCTTGAATGGCATGCACAGCAAATCAAGCCCATCTCCAAGTTCTTTTCCATGAGCCGACTTATGGATATTGAGCCCCTGTTAGACGTCACAATCAATATGCTCACGTCCAAGCTCAACGAAAAGTTTGTCGATGGACCATCAAAGGGCAAAGTGTGCATGATGGATGACTGGCTGGGCTGGTGTTTGTTAACCCTTTGTTCTGTTGTCGCAAACTTACTGACTGTACAGTGGCTTGGGACTCCATGGCCAATGTCACTTTTGGGAGACATTACGGCTTTATCGAGAAAGAGCAAGATGTTGATGGTTTGATCAAGGATTCTGTAAACTCGATGCGTTACTTTGCCCCTGTAAGTCGGCCCACGGGAACTCAGCAGCACAGGGCTAACAGAGACAGGTCTGTCAAATCCCTTGGCTCGACTATCTCCTCGACAAGAATCCCATCAAGCGGATCGGACCTAAACCACAGCTGACGGGTACCATGTACGCGGTAAGGGCCATATCCGAATACAAGCAAGAGATTGCCGAAAAGGGGTTGAAATCTCAGAACGTTCCTCACCTTCTCGACAAGTATCTCGGCCTGGAGGAGCAGTATCCGGGGATGGTCAATGACGCTCAACTTGTGAATTGGCTTCTGCCGACAGTCATTGCCGGCGGCGACACGACGGCTTCGGCCATGCGTGCTGTTGTGTACTTTTTGGCCAAGAATCCAGAGACGAAGCAGAAGCTCTTTCTTGAGCTTGATCAAGCAAACCTGGAAACTCCGGCTCAGTGGAAGGACCTGAAAGAGCTGACTTATCTGGATGCTGTTATTCGAGAAGCTATGCGAGTTTGCCCTGGCATCGGTCTTGCCCCGGAGCGTGTCGTCCCCGAGGGTGGTCACATCCTTCCAGATGGTCGATTTCTCCCAGCTGGTACAAAGGTCGGCCTGAATCCCGCGGTAACTAGCCGAGATACTGGCGTCTTTGGCGCCGATTCTGACTCCTTTGTCCCTGAGAGGTGGCTCAGGCAGGACGGTGAGGCAGAGGACGCGTTTAATCAGCGGTTCAGACGAATGCACGAAGTCTTGGACTTTGTGTTTGGAGGAGGAACACGCGTCTGCTTGGGGAAGAACTTGGCCAAGTTGGAGATTTACAAGGCTATTGCGACGCTGTATAGCCTCTACGACGTGAGAGAACTTGCCCCTGATTTTTCAACTCTTACTGACTCGAGATAGATAAACCTCGTTGATCCTAGACACGAGTGGAAGCACTACAGCTGCTGGTTCGTATATCAGCTGGATATACCTACAGCGATCTCGCGTCGGACTTAGACGGTTAGGGAGGGTAGGCCGAGAGTGGGAGCCGCTGCTGCGCCCTGTCCAAAACCCGTACCAATTAGACCAAAAACATCATAAGTTCATGATAAGAAAGCTGAGAATGAGATGAGTTTAGCTCGTGAATATGTAAATTTATGTTTATGTTTCCTCAAGGTTCATAGTAAAATTACCCTCAGCTTAGATGAGGTGGCCCGTCCCTGGTAGCATAGGGAACGAGGTAGGAAATTTGAATTGGCCATTCCGCTTATCTGTTTCAACAACACAATCTTTTCAAATTCTTGTTTTGCCAAAGGATCCTAGGCTTTAATCCGAGGATTTCATCCAAGTATAATTCTTGTTTGCACAATTGCAACAGTTCCCTGGGCCCAAAACCAATCGAGAATCTCTAGGGCCCTCTTCCGCCTCATTAATCATGATAAGGGAGAGGACGCTCAACCCGCCTGGGAATGGGTTGGCTGTCCCCCAACAGGACTATCAGCCGAAATGACTTGTGTGAAGGCCTCAATGGAGGGTTGGGTGTCTGGTATCGCGAATCCACAGGAGAAGACGTGGGTTCGGGGTCAAGAAAGTTCCAGAACAAGTCAACATTGCCTGCTAGTTCCATTCCAGAATCATTTGCATCTCCTGCTTCCTTCTTCCACATATCCTGTGCTCGTGAAGTTCCTGAACTCTGCCTTGCGTCCTCGATGGCCTTGTAAAACTTTTGTCGGAAAGACTTTTCCTCATCCTGCGTTGGAATGTCCTCAAAGCGGCGTCGCAGGTTGTATATCCTGTTGATTAGCCCCTTGCAGCAATCTTCCAGGGCTTTTCCGGACTTGCTACCAAGAGTGACGTTCAACCCTCGGAGCTGATTGAGAATTGAAAACCATAGCTGTAGGCGCCCTGTAATATAGCTTTCCGAGTAGTCGGAGTAATTGGCAATGGTGTTCTTGATGGGCTGCATCATGAAAAAGAGGTTGCTTTGTTTAGCTCCGTGGTCCCAGAGGGTCCAGAAGAGCTTCTTGATGTCGACCGGCTCAAGGACCAGTTTAATGTCCTTAAATGCCCGGTCAGATACAGCCTGAAGCAAGAACCGAAGCAGCGAGCTAGGCATGTCCCTGGTAGCTTCTGATTTTCCTTCTCCACATTTGATAAGGAACTTGTCGAGCATGTGAGGGCAACCGAACCACCATGGCAACCCGCCAGAACTTGGTACTTTAAGTGCTTCGCGTGCCTCATCGGGTGAGAGGGCGGCGAAGGCTCTGAAGAAGGGCTTCGAGCGCATTCGACTAGAAGGAAGCGAACCGTACCTATACCCTGTAAACGCTGCAATGATAGGATGGGTTTCTCTCCTGAAACGATAACCGTATGTCTGTTGGAGAACCCCCATGCCTCGGGTGGCATCTGTCTCGCTCAAAGAGAGCAAGAAGTCGACTACTCCTTGATTCTCATGGGTAGCAGCCAGCCATAAGGCGGATACCTCCTTGGATCTACGCCCATAGGTCATGGCCGCGTTGATTATGTGAGAAGTGACTTGTGCCCCGGGGTTGGCCATCATAGCAATCTTGAGAATGGCATCCATCTCCTCGACACAGTCATCTTTTTGTCGAGCTGGCCATTTTTTACGCCGGGGGACGGCCATGGCGAAGAAATGAAAAGGAGAAAGACCAGTATAGCTACGCGCTTGTCCATATGTATGCCTGGAGCATGCAGCACCGACCTCAACCGCAGCAAGTGTGTGGGTCCTCTCCATGTGTTTACGGAGACAATCCCAACAGACAAGAGACTTTTCGAAGAAGAATGGAGAGAGACACTCTCGCGTGACTAGAGTCCGATCGGTTTGGAGCTTTTGGTCGGACATGGCTGTGCTCCAGATTGGGCAATAATTCTCCTTGAGATATCTTACTCCGAACTTGGCGGCCTGCTTGGGGCTCTTGGCAGCCATCCGCTGCATTTCTTTAACGCAGGAATGGAGGCGATTCTGGATGTCGGAGAACTTCGGCGGCACACCGTCATGGGTGTAATCAGGACGAGTGAGCATACCCCTCCACAACTCCTCGTCTGGATCGTCGTTGTCGAAACAAATGTCAGCCATGAACGCGATGCACGACTTAGTCTCGTCGTGGTCACGACCGAGTGTGTCCATCTTGAACTGGCAAGCCTGTATGCCGTGAGATTTCGCATTTTCAAAGTTGCCCTTGACATGATAAGCGTCCGCCAAGAGTGAGTGGGCGTCTCCCTTGACGGCTGATTCTAACGAATCTTGCCCCAGAAGTTGCTCGAGTATGGGGATACTTTCATCTTTGGCGCTCTCTTTACCAGACCGACGGAGTGCCCGACAGAGAGTGAGTTGAATCTTCTGAAGGGTTTTGGAGCTGGCAGGCTGAGTTGGAGTGGTTGACCCTAGCTCGGGAACGGCCTTGTACGACTGTAGAAAGGCAACAACTTCGTCATTTTGGCCCTTTTCCAAGAGGCCAAGGGCCTGTTCCAGTCGGTACTCGTCAACCCAGACACTAATTGAAGGAAACTTTTGACAATACCCTTCGATTATGCTTTTGTCACTCTGGGATTGAACAAGCGCTTTTGCTAATGACCGGGCCGATTGACTTTCGTCCTGGAGGAATTCGGGGTCGGTGTTTGAGCTGAGAAGGCGTTCGAGATGCGGTATGGCTTTGTCGTACAACTTTTCCTTCATACACTTCTCAGCTGCCTGGATCCTTCTCTCGTGAAGCTCGCCGAGAACACTGGTCTCGTTGGTGATACAGGATACAGACTGTATGATGGTTGTGACGGATGGTGGTGATGATGTCCTGGATGTAGAAGTTGCTGAAGCACCATCTGCCATATCGATATTGCCTACCCAATCTGCTACATCTTGGCGCGACTTTGTTGAGAAGTGAACATGAAAGCCGACGTCTGGGTTGACGACTCCGTTGGTGTGAGGTTCAGGGCCAGCCGCAGCTTTGGCCATGTCTCGAAAGGCTCGCACCGTCTTTGAAGAGGATCGTGTACGCTTGGAAGACATCGAAGCTGACTCGGTGGTTGAAGCGTAGTCCTTGGCGTGACCCACGAGTCCCTTCAACACATCAAGCGTGGCGCGAGTGTCGTTCTCCATATCAATCTTTTCCTTTCGTTCAGCGGCGTCTAATCCTGCCTGGGTGTTTTGAGAGCTCCCTGATTGGGGAGAGGCTGGCATCGGTGTCTCAGGTGTTCGAAGGGCTCTTGTGACGAGGTCGTGATCCAGACGGTCCATAGAGGACTGAAGACTGTCTATGCGGCGCATCAACTCATCGAATGATGCAGCTATGTCTCCGGCGGGAGGTTGAGGAATAGTGGCTGTAGAACATCTAAATGTGCTTTAGATACCAGTTAATAGATGATAGTGAAAGAGAGAAAACTCACCCTTGGATCGTCTGAATGAGGACAGGGAGCTGAAGAGCCGAGGTGTATGTGTCGATAGAGTGACGGAGGAGACTGATATCGCTGTCATACCGCCGCTTCCTGATGTAAGCCCCCAAAGCAGTTGAAGATGACATCTGACGACTAATGTTGGAGAAAATAGTTCCAAGTCGACTGTAGGATCTGTTGCAGCTGTTGAGAAGGCCCTCCAACACATCTTGATTACACCAAGGTGGTTTGCTCGGGCTCAGAGTACTGCGTTGAATGCCATCTGACAAGACGGACAGCATCATCCGTGTAGCCCCGAGCTGGTTATCAAAGTCCCGTAGGGCGTCATCCATATCGCGGATGTCATGGTAGACCTGGCTCACCTGGATGACGGTTTTCCCAACGGCCTGGACTAGCTGGAGCACAGCCGCTACGCTGCCAATCACTTCCATGTTGACAAGTGAGCGATAGGGAGCGATTGAATGGATGAAGGGAAAGGCATTGTGCGGGGTCTGTCGTGTTGAATACTTACATAAATAATCAGGCTCTGAAATACTGATCTCGAAAGCTGAAGGAAAGCTGAGCGAAAGCTGAACAACCACTATGCAAATCTATCCTATCAGTGAGGGAAGAGGCGGCTGCACTCCAGGTAGGTATGCGTGAAACAGAACTTTGGTTATTGAGGCGTTGGCGTGCATTGCACATTGGCGGAGGACACCCTCCTAGAGACAAGAGTCAGCCTGCCATGAAGTTAACAACCAATGTCGACTGGGCCTGTGGCTTGCAAGGAAGCCTACGAGAAGAGATTTGATACGCCTTGCTTTCAACCTTACCAGTTATGTCTTTGGATTTTGGGCGAAGAACGAGATGGGCGTAGTAATGACCTGATGGACACATTCTCTTATTTAGGCGGGATAATACTATTTCTTAGCAATTAGTATTATAGTTTAACTGTCCTCCTATTTGTTGGAGGAACAGAGCACATCCAACCACAGCCAGAAGAAAACGCCTCTCTGTTTTTCTACGGGGTTTGACGGGCGCTCTAGCTTACTACTCACAACTTTCAGGAGACGGGATGGCCCTGGACCATCAAGCATGGATACCTACTCTGGTAACTTCTCACACGGGTTATCCAGTGTCACTCTCGAGAGCGCTCTTAGAACGTTCAGTACCAGGGCTAAACCCCATAGAATCTCTCTAAATACGAGCAAGATAATGGCACGCAAATAGCCACTATAGTTATAAATCTTCAAAGAAGATGCGAATTTCGCAGTCCTTGGCCTTGACGCCCTCGATGCAAGTGATAGTCACTGAAGTGATGTGCCCCGAGTTCGCATGGTGTTCATATAATAAAATTCAATCTATAATTATCTATGTCTATGGAGAAGTTCCAACAGAAGAGAAAAAATCTTTACAACTTTTGAATTAATGTCAAGAAATGTGTTCGGAATGCCTCGCTGTTGACATCGACCGCAACTCGACAATTCGGGACTGGAGGTGAATGAGTCTCCAGCCGATCGGCGACCATGATGCCACGTGCCTCACCATCACCGGTAATAACTGACACCGCCATGTCCCTATACTCGCACAGTTCAGGATGTGACACAACGGCCACAGCTAGGGGGTCGTGCATGGGGATTGAGTCCGTCTTGGGCCTCCCCGGAAACCTGACAGCTTGGTAATCTATGTATTTGATGGTGGCATCTCCAGCAAAGGCGGCGAAACTCGACGACGACTTTTTGAGTTCTTGAGCGTCTGCCATGTTCAGTCGAACTCGTAGGGTGCAGTCGAGGCCGATCCATCGCTGAGGAATGCCTGAGCGCAACACGGTTCGGGCGGCTTCGGGATCAGAGAAGACGTTGAATTCTCCTGGTTTGTCACGAGAGTACATGGTTCCGAAGAAGACGCCGCCCATGATGACAAGCTCCTTGATGGCTGACTTTATCCGCGGTTCGAGAAGCAAGGCGAGGGCCACATTGGTGAGAGGCCCGATGGCGACAAGGGTGATTTCCCCTGGGTTGGCAAGAATATGCTCGATGATAGCCACGGGAGCGTAGCCTGGGGTAGGGGCACGCGCAGTCTCTTTCTGCGCCAGAATGTGAGGGGCAGGTGTCCGTTGTTGATCGGGATGAATTATAGGAGTAGCGGAACCACGGACGAGGGGCGTATTTTGGATGCCGAGTCGGTTGAGGAGGACGCCAGTCAAGATGGTAGCGCTCTCGACGTCAGTATTGCCATTAACAGTGGTGATCAGATCGAGCTGGATGTCTGAGTCGGCATGTGCTAGGGCAAGGGCGAATCCATCGTCGACATCGGCGCCGGCGCCCATGGACAGATCAGTATCCAGTATGATGCGTGTCGGTGCCATTGTGTGGGAAGAGAAGAGAACGGCCGAGGAGAGGAAGACTTCAGGAGTTGAGAGTGGTTTGACCCGTCTTTGGTAGGGCTTAGATCCTTTTGTGCCTTGAGGGCTCCTTGTGCTTCCTCAGTCTGGTGAATTCTCGTTTCACCTGGCTGGTGTAGGCGTAAGGTAGTGCTAAATGGCAAGTATATGGCATGAGAATTGGATTAACCGCTTGGAAGGAATGAGCCGAGTCGGGTGGAGGCCGGTTCTTGTCGGGCAGAGCCCGATGCGAGGCTGGGACCCCTGAATCGCATCCTGTGCTGGTTCCATTCTCCCCGCATCCTCCCCACATCTTCCCCGGCTCACAGGATACTGCTCCACCTCCGCGCAAGATGTCACCAAAATTTACTGGCTGACAAGCATTGGGGTCTCGCTACGTGAGTTGACTCTGTCGGGCTGTGACCCGGCTCCAATGGTGCGGAGTCGGACGCGCTCCGGTCTCGGGACGGTGTGGGGCCGGTTTTGTCTTGTCGGAGGCACTCCGGTCCCCGGCTTGAATCCAACGTGACCGTTACCATCAAGATTCTTCCCAACCATTGAATAGTGCCATTCCGGAGACAGTTTCAATTGCCAATACCATGGTCCATCGCGATCAGAGCCAGCCCAACTAAAGCGCTGTCGGGCATATTTAGTCGACACGCCCGCCTCCCGCCCTTCATGCTTCTTCCCAAGGCACGGGAACAACCTCCTTTTCAGCGAGACCATTCACCATGCGACATACCGATCAGTCCAACGGGAAGAAGGACCCCGCCGATCATGTCGAAGTATCCGACAATGGCGAGCTTCCAAAGGCCATCGACAAGGCCCTGGCAGAAGGCGACCCGGTCCAGATGCGATCCGAGTTGGATAACTTGCCCATTCTGAAAGCTCTGCGTATATACTGGCGCATAGCTTTGATCTGCATGATGGCTGCGTTCAGTGCCGCGCTCGAAGGTTACCGTACGTTATTGTTTCCCTGCTGAAGATCACCAGTCTAACTCTGAATTCAAGAACTTGCGCTTGCGAACGCGATTGTCTCGAATAAAGGGTTCATTCGCCAAATGCCCAACGGGGGCACTAAGCTCAACCCTACACATGTGGCTGTTTGGGGAGGCATGCTATCGACTGGTCAATTCGTCGGTGTAGGCCTCCTTCAGATTGTTATTGACAAGATTGGCCGAAGGTTTGCTATGCACATCACCTGGCTTTCTCTTGCAGTCGTGAGTTGCAAGCTATCCGCCTTACAACTGGGTATTTACTGATCTTTTTTAGAGTGTGGCTTTGGAGTCTGCGGCCACGAACTGGCTCTACTGGCTCTTTGCTAGGCTGATCGGAGGAGCTGGCCTCGGCATGATGCAGGCTACCTATCCCGTTTACATTTCTGAGAATGCGCCGACCCAGATTCGAGGCTTCCTGACTACCTCATACATGCTGTGAGTTGCCTAACTATAGGCCTTGTCGTTGCCACTGCTAATCTGGACAAAGCTGGTATGTTTGTTCGCAGATATTCGCCCCGTTGGCCTTGCGACAACTGGCCTTCACGGACCCGTATAACTTTCAGATTCCCATCCGCACCCAGTGGGGAATGTTGGGCGGTATGCTCCTTATCAACTTGTTCTGTCTCCCGGAAAGCCCTTGTGAGTTTGACCATGGCCGGCATCACTTACTTTGAAGCTGACCAGCATCAGGGTGGCTTGTCCAGCGGGGCATGTTTGACAAGGCAGAAAAGGTGCTTGCCAAGACACACAAAGGCGTGGCAGGCTACGATGTAAAGAAAGAATTGGTAAGATCCAGTCCTATACTCTGCTTCGGACTCGAGCTGACTTGTCCCAGTCCATTATCATCGCTACAGTAGAGCACAAGAGAGAATCCACAGCCGAGGACAAGAGCCAATATCAGGAAATCTTCCGAGGAATCCACCTTTGGCGGCTCTTCATTTGCTTCTGGCCCAAGGCGATGCAACAGCTGGCAGGACAGAGTGTCACCAAAAACTATGGCACATACTTCTGTGAGTTAATCTGGCTTAATAAGCCGTCCGTAACTGACCCAGATTAGTTCAGTTGGCTGGAAACGACGACCCTTTTACCGTGACGGTTGTGCTGGCTGTTTGTCAACTCCTGGGTGTTCTCACAACTACCTTGATGTCGGATAGATTTGGTCGACGCTGGCTTACTATCGGCCTCTTTGGGGCAGGAGCCATCTCGATGCTTGCCATCGGTATTCTTGGATCTTTCGACTACCAGAGCAAACAACTGGGCAATGTCTTGGTAAGTGTTTGCCGGCTCTATGCCACTACATCATGGCTTAACATTAATTCAGGTATTCTGGGGATGCCTGTCTAATCTTGGAGTCATTGGTGGTGCTTCAATATCCTACAGTTACGTCGCCGAGATTCCTACCCAACGGCTGCGGGCACGAACTGCTTCTATAGCCTTGATGGGCTCTTTTGTTCTCGGGATTGCCTTCAACTACACGGTTCCACTCATGCTCAAAGCTTGGAGTGTTAGAACGGGATACTTGTAAGAAAAAACCCTTCCGCTTGCTCTCATGATTCTTATACAGAACGTAACTGACTTCATCAGCTTCGGAGCCGCCGGTGTCATCTCGTGCGTCGTCGGATTTTTTGTCCTGCCGGAAATCGCCTGCCGAACCCCTGCCGAGATAGACGAGATGTTTGACGACAAGATCGCGCCTCGCAAGTTCCGTAAGCGTGTCACGCAGGTTCAGGTGTTCCTTGAGGAAAAGGGGCATAAGGAGCACATGTCTCCAGAAGACAAGGCGTAACCGACATGGATATTGGCAGCAGCCTTTATCATAATCAATAGGGGACTGGATCGGATACTAGAAGTGGTAAAGTACCTGATTGGCAGGAGGAGAGAGTTCCATTCATAAATTGTTGAGTCACTCTGGAACGGACGAGTGGGCGAGGCTTGTGGAGAGTCAAGAGAACGATAGTACACGAGCAAGTCAACATTATTACATTAAGCATTTTTTATTGCGAGGTTCAGCGCTTTAACACGCACAAGACCAGAGCGGCAATACAACCTTGAACCGTGGGAATATTGTCCGTCTCGGTCGTGAGGTTGCCTTCATGTCCCAGATCGTCTCTGCACCGTCAAAACTTGGAGTCTCGAGGTGAAAACCGTGACCTAGGTACGAGAACTACCTGATGCCACGTTGTTCAAGTTAACCGATCTTCGGTGCATGACGCCCATCCCAACCCCCTCTGAAGTTCCAACCCCTGAGACCACCGCTTGCGCTCTGAGCTTGCCGCTACTTTATGCAGCAGAGATCTACTCGGGCAACCGGTTGCTTCTCTTGCTTTCTACCACGTGGTGAAAACACTGAATCGTGCTTTCGCGTCATCTCGCCCTGCCGTCTCACGCGATGAGGGTCAGGGGCTAGGACGTGTCGTATCCGTCTCGTCGGAATCCGGGGTAGTTCTCCTTAGTGGAACATGTTTCTTCCGGTTGTGGGGGAGAATTGGTTGTTCCCCAGACCCATGACTTTCTAGGTGGTCTTTCATCTCGCCCCATTTACACAAGATCCTTCTTAAACACATGATGTGAAAATACATTAAAGGAGCTGATTAAATTTATTCGGAGTGTATCCGTATTCGCTACTTGGTTGTTATGGGGGCAGAGCACATCCTTGATAAGACCAGTACTGGTGTCGACCCGAGTGCGGTTGATTGAGGTAAGCATTCAGTGGCTCTTCATTCTTGAGCCAGTTTCTAACGAGGGCAGGGTATCCACGATAGCCTCGGACATGACACATCAGTCTCGTCGAAGACGGAACTCTCCGTCATCGACCAGGGCGAGTCGGGTCCGCTCCGCTTCGCCAGCTCGCGAACCAGCATCCTCTGCTCCACGCCCGTTTGGTTCTGCCCGAATCTCTCAAGGGCGCCATTCCATCCCTGCCTGTGACAGGTGTCGTTCATTCAAGAAAAAGTGCAGCCGGACCTTTCCCGCGTGCAGTCTGTGTGCCAGCGCAGGTCAGAGTTGCTCGTATAGTGCACCACCCGCTACCCCTGAAGCCGAGGCATTGCAGTTGAGAGCACGGGTTCAATGGTTCAGTGACTACATCAACCGGCACCTCATTGAGACACACCATGATGCAAGAATCGAGGATGTTGAGACTGGGTCGGACCTTGCAGCCCTACTTGGGAGTCGACTGAATCTCAGTCCCACGAATCAAGATGCCCTTCAGGGGCAGACTCGAGATCAGAACGTACTTGATGCATTGTCATCATCTGATCTTTCCCCGGCTCAAGTCCAAGTTGGCTTACTTCCGGGCCACGCCGAACTAGGTCACTCCGGTTTGGAGCCCCCAAGTCTCGGTGTTCAAATCGACGGAAGCATTACGACTTCACCTATTGATTCCGAGAGTGCCCGCCCAACTGGCCGCCAGGTATCTTATCAGAGCTCAACAGGCACACACAATCCAGAAGCCGATAACTTCGCGGCAGGTCATGGCCTACCAACTGATGCGGCAGCTCGTCGCTTTGTCGACGCCTACTTTCGGAACGTCAACGGAGCATATCCTTTTGTGAACCAGGCCAAGATACTCGAGAATCTCGAGACACTAGGTGACCTTGCTCAAAGGCTTCGTGACTCCCAGTCTACTCTCCTCTATTTGGTCATGTCCATAGGTTGCACAACTCTGGAGCGAGCCAGCCGGGTCCCTAGAGACACGGCAAAACAGTTCAAGGTGGCATATGCCGAGATCATCCAAGAGTGCGTCTGTCGGGACAGCATCGAGTCGGTCCAGATCTTAATGCTACTAGCGCTCTACTCGCTATTTGACCCGGCTGGGGCGTTAGTATACTCCATTGTCGGGATTGCGGCACGGCAGGCTATCACGATAGGCCTGGCTCGCCGACCAGCAGATGAAAATACCTATCCACCTGCTGAAACAGAGCTTCGCCACCGTCTTTACTGGAGTATCTACGCTCTCGACCGCATGATGGCCGTTTCACAAGGTCTACCCGTGGCTCTCCCAGACAACGCTGACGTGCCATTTCCCGGTCTAACGGTCGAAGAATTTGCCAGCGGGGAGAGAATAACATACGCGAGGAGACTGCAGACAAGCCGACACGTCATCCAGCTACGCCAGCTGGAAGGCCGCATCTTGGAGCAGATTCATTTCAGAAGAGAGGCCGACATTGCGGAGCTGACACCCTTGGATAGGCGAGCAACGCTGAGTAGTTTACGGGCGACCATCGAGGATTGGCATAGTCAAGGATGCCTGATGTCACCGATAGGGGGCGATAACACCACCATCCATAGCAGCACGACTTGGCTCAGCGCGCGGTACTACTACCTGCTCCTTCTGTTATACTACCCAAATCACTTCAACAGCTCAGCCGGAGCTGTATCACGGCAGGAGCTGCAGCAATTCGCGCAGCGCCAGCTCCAAGCGACATCGGCGCTCTTCCAACAGCAACAGTTACCCCTCAACTGCAACACGCTCTACAGGCTTATGCCTATATGCCTGGTCTTGATGTACGACTTTGTGGCAGTATGCCGCTCAGCAAACTGGACCGCACAGTCGGAGTTTCCCTTTCTGGCCAGGGATGAGGTTGCAGTCGCACTATCAGTCCTAGAAGCGTTCCCAAAGGAGTGGAGCTTTGCACACCGAGCAGCGGATGTAGTGCGTCAGTTCGCAGGTGTCGTATCTGGCGGGATGGCAGCCTTCTTTTCAGATGACGCAGTATTCCCTCTAGGAGCTACCAGAAGCGCAACCACTGGTGAGAACGCTGCAGGAGAGATTTATGGGGGCAAAGAGAGTCTCCCGGTTTTGATGAAACCTTGCATTTCACGAATGACATCTCTGATGCAAGAGATGATGGGGAAGTCAACGTGCTTTCAGTTTGTCGAGTATCCATCCGATGATAACAAGCGAGGAGATGGTCAAGAGGCGGCCATGTCTCATCAGAAGCCACATCAACCGTACCAGCAGCAACTCCAGCAGCAAGCTCTGCCTCCGGTGATGAGCCAAGTGGCCATAAACCGGGATGAGATGGAGGGCATCCAGGAGGTTGGGATAGGGGATGAAAATGTGATTGGTTATGGTTGGGGCGCGATAGATTTGGATTTTCTATGACATAAGAGGCAGTTGTAACTCGAAGGGCGGTGCTCTTTTTTCGACCGTCGTCTGTACTCATCTCAAGTGAGAGCCTACATGTACGAAGCCAAAGGGTAACCATGCTAAAGCGCGGAGCCACATAACTTACAATAAGGTAACCTATTAATGGTTTAGCATAACACTATTTTTGTAACTCCTCAATCTAGCAGTTAACATAAATATAGCAAGGCGGATTACAGAGGCTAAGGTGCTGCCTTGTCCCTGCATTACAGGTGGTGTGATAAGATCAAGAGATTGGGGTCATTTACGGCAGCTGAATCTTTGGGCCTAGTAACCAATTAGCTCTTTGGCACCATGGTGCAAGCCTCCGTTTCGTCACAGTTAGTTAGTTGTTATTAATAAACTTGTTCTTTGTGGTCTTTGCTAGGCTGCAGCCCCATGTCCCTTTCGCATGGGGCCTGTGAGGCACCCTTGGCGTCTTCCTCGTGATAGTTTCTTTGTTATTTTTCTTTATTTATAGAATTTGGCTCTGGTCACTTCTGGCTGGTGGCCAGTGCCTTGATAGCGATCCATTGGGCCTTTGTCTGTTATTCTTTCAAAAGGCCGCGACTTGACCTGTTATTGAAGCTTTTTAATATAAGCCACTGAACAGGTGTTGGTCCAATGAGCCACACGAGCGAAATTCGGGCCCAGTTAACCCATCGAGGGCCGGGCTGGAACTTGGTATAATAAAGAACAGATCAAGCCACACGCGAGCATCATGCAGACAAAGAGTGACTCCTCGTTTCCTCTTATGCAGGTAGACAAAGGGGCCTTTCCTTCCCTGTCACATGCCAGTTCTTTCACCGGGCAGCCTCTCCCAAGTTTTATAAAATAACACCACGCAGCCAACGACGGAATGACAATCCATCCCCTCTTTTCATTTCAACTTTACTCAGGTGCTCGAAATGCCCGTCACTATTTATCCAGCTGATCACCCAGCTGCGCCACGGCAGAACGAAGGCTCCTCGACAGAATCGGGTCAAGTCTTCGAACGGGCATGCCCAGATGAATATAAGAAGGGCCAGAGGATCATTCAATCTTCCTTTGACAAGGCCCACGAGAATTTAATCCATCCCGCGAAAAACAGCTTCGTCAATGCAGTCTGGGAAGCCTACAACAATCATCATCACCTGTTCATTCGCCCCGAGGATGTTTGGTTTTCCATCCTCACTCAGCTCAGCTTTTACATCAATAAGAACGCTGAGAAATTGAGGTCCCATTTCGTGCGCCACGAGGGCAAGAAGAAAGTGGCAGTTCGCATTGAAGGGACTCTCGACTGTGCTGAACTGGCTCGCCTCATGACCGAGCGAATAGAGGACCACATTTTTGACCCCAAGCTGAGGGAATGGATCATGCCCGACGACTTTTCGACTGCCGAGGCACCGGACAATGTTACGGCTCTGATTCTCATGATGGGATCGATGCAGGAATACTTTTCCTGCACGGCGGACATAAGCTGTGGTCTTCCGTCGGTGACTCTACTCGGATACAAGACCGACTGGAACAGGCTTAAAAAGCGCCTTGACAAGATAGCCGAGTTTGGCGAAGAAGCTGAACTATTCGCCAAGCTTCTGCGGCCAGTGCTCCACCGTTTTGATCTCTCGTTCATGGATCCCAAGGATCCCGATATCCTAGACTTTTGGGGCAAGATTGCCCACTGGGAGCAGAAAAGCTCTGGGCCCGATAGTCTATCTGGATGGATCTCGGCTTTTTGCTTCTGGACGGCTGAGGGGACCTGTCTGTATTCCAAAGGACTTGACAAAACTATCCCTGACCCCGAAACAGGTGGGTGGCGTGCGGGTTGCATTTTGGATGGTGTACAATTCCATCACATTGACATTGAAGAAATCCCAAAGGGTTTCGTGTCGGTGCCTGTCAAACTTGTCGAAAATTTGACAGAACACAAGACGAGGATGGTGGCAGCTTCAGTAGGCGTCAAGGCTTGGAGCAGCGGTGATTTGATATCGGCTGCGCTTCCACGTCCTGAAAAGGAGACGATTACACCAAGGGCGGAAACCCCGGAGGAGACGATTATGCCAAGGGCGGAAACCCCGAAGGAGACCGAGAAGAAGAAGGTCAGCAAGGTTGCCCGGCTGAGAGAGTTTGTCTTGAGGCTCATTACTCTTCCGGGACGAGATGCCGGGGTTTCAACGTCGAAAGAATCCCCTGACAATGTGACGGTAGCCAATGAGCCACAGGCGACGACGGTCGATGAACCACCGCAAGCGCCAGACACAGTTTCAAAGCCTGAGGTTTCTCAAGAAGATTCGAAAGCTAAACTCGACTCCTTTCAGCCAGTCTCGGGGTGGTGGATGTATGAACTCAAAGACGGACAAGAATAGGTTGACCTAGGAGCATTGTGTTTTACGGCATTGTGTTTTATGTGTTTATTAGTATGTTCTTCTTTGATATTTTGCACGATAGAGAGGTCTTTGAAAACAAGAACAAAAAAGGGGAGATAGGCTTCACTAGGGTATGTACGCATGATTACGCGGCGCTTCATCTTGATGAATGCGACGCAACCTTTGGGCTGAAGTTAATTCCAAGCCACTCGTTTATAAACAGGGTCTATTTTCGACAAACTTATGCCTTTAACAAGTGCCAACAGGGTACAATGTCAGACCATATCTCGCATCATTTAATTGTGTACATAAATCTTGCACAATTGACTTCGGCTTCTGTTCTATCCGTCGCGAAACCGAAAGCGAATCCGCAATTCCACCCATTTTTGGCGAGACACGTCTTGGCGCGGCCGTGTCATGCTTGTTTTGACATGGGGGGTTTCACCGCCAGCGATTCAAAGGCGTAACGCATTTGGGAGAACTTACTCGTACGAATGTCGTTTGTTATACGCGTAGTCTAGAGCTAGGGCTGATTCAAGCTTATTGTTCGGGTTCCGGCAAGACTCCGACGAGGAGTTAACGGAGCCTCCTTATGGGGTTTGTAGAGTTATAAATACAGACTGATGCCTCGACTTGAGTGAACATTTCATCATCAAACACTTGCTTCTACATTCACCAACTCACTACATCGCCTTCAGCTTCTCAACTTTTCAACCCAATCAAACACGCCATCATGCCTTACTTCACCATTGTCGTCCCTACCATCTCCGAGGAGAACAAGGACCGCTTCCTCGAGGCCTGGCCTACGCTGAAGGAGGAGCTCAAGTCCCAGCCTGGAGTTGCCGGTGTTTCCGCTGGACCCGTTGTCGCCGAGAACGGTGCTGCCGCCACTGAGTTCAAGTTTGTCCAGTGCATCGGTAGGTGGACGAGACCCAGTCGTTACAAGACAGCTGCTAAGACATGTCACAGCTTTCAAGACCGAGGAGGACTTTGAGACTTTCCAGGCCTCTGCATGGGCTAAGGAGCGCAAGGAGAGGTACAATGAGCGAGTTGGAGGCGAGCCTACTTCTGGCCGATTCGAGGTTTCCCAGTTCCCCGAGGGTGCCTCCCACAAAGCCTTCACCCAGTTCTCCAGCATTGTCATTGAAGACAAGAGCAAGCACCCCGAGGTTCGAAAGGCCTGGATGAGCCTTGTTGATGCCCTCGGCAAGGAGACTTGGGGTGGTGTCAGCGTTGGAGATGGACCTACCGTTGGTCTTGGTCTGGTTGGATGGGACAGCCTCGAGGTATGACGAGTTTTCACTCTTGATTATTTTGCGATTGTATGCTCACATTTTATTCAGGAGGCTCAGGCTGCTTACCAGGATCCCAAGGCTCAGGCTGCCTTGGCCGAGTACAAGAGCCTTGGCCAGCACAAGAACCTTATGGTTCAGCTGCAGTAATTGGGGACGTTCCACTCCCTCTGCGGAGAGGCTTGATTTGGTGAATGAGGGTTGCAGAAATATTCAAGATTGATAGATGGGCTTTTTCCAAGACAATAAATCTCCCCTTCACGTTAGTGCACTGCCGTTTGGCCGGCTAGGGTAACTCTCAGAGCTCCTCCTTGACTTATAAATTCTACCCTCACGATATGCTCTTTAAGTCCTACTTATTTTCTATTAGGCTCAGTGAACTAATTACGCCGCCTTAACTTACAGCTGAGACCGTCGATGTAAAAACCAGCGAAATGCTCTTTAGGAAGGCTACAGACACCCATGTTAACTCGGGTGCTATTAGAGTCTATAAAATATAGTTTCTATTTCGATCTTTAGGCTTAGTTAACCCATTAAGGGCCGGGCTATAATTATAATAAAGAATAAATCTTAAATATAATATAATATTATAACCTAATATTAATATAATAGCCTAATTAAACTTCTATAATAATAAAAGAATTATACTTTATTAGAGAAATAAAATATACTAAACTATATAGCCTAAGGGAGGAAATTTCTATATATTTTTTTTAAAGTCTTTTTAAAAGAGAGATCTTATATACTTTTTTATAAGATAAATTTAATATAAAATAATAAAAATAATTAATTAATTTATAATAATAAAGATATAACCTATAAAAGAGCCTAAAAGTCTTTTATTTAAGGCTTATAAAAATAATAATAAAAGTAAGGCTTTATAGCCTTTATTTCCCTTTTTTATATATAAAAAATTACCTTAATAGCCTAAATTAGCTTAATATATTTTTCTCCTAACTTATAGCTCCCTATAAGGCTTTAATATTTATCTTTATAGCTCCTAAGAAGCCTTATTAAAACCTTATTAATTCTTTCCCTAAAAGCTATTAATTCCCTCTAATATATTAAATTATTTCTTAAATAAAACTAATTATTTAATTAATTATTTTAGCTTTTTTAATATTCTCTTATTTTTTTATTTTTATTTTTTCTTAATATTATTATAAGTATTTATAGCTATATCGCTATAGCTAAAATCTTATCTTATTAAGATAATTTTCTTATTTTAATAAGAAGATATATTATATAATTTTTAGATAATAATTATTATATAAGCTAATTCTTTACCTCCCTAAGTTAGCCTTTCTCTCTAGGGTTATATAATATAGCTTATATACTAAGTTTAATAACCTTTCTCTTTAATACTAAGACCTTATTACTTTTATAATTTAAATAATTAAAGTCTTTAATACTTTAAATTTATAGACTTTTTTTTATAATATATAGGTATTTATCTTAAGTCTTATCTTAATAATTTATATTTATTATTTAATTAGATAATCTAATAAAAGCTTTTTTTTTATTTTTATTTATATTATCTTTAAAAGAAATTAAAGGCTTAAATAATTAAAACTCTAATTTACTAAGGGATAAAAGCTAATTATATTTTAAAGTATTTAATAATAAATTAGCTAAGGGCTTTAATAAGATCTTAGGCTAATTTTTCTTTTTAAGAGATATAAAAATTATAAATTTATCTTTATTATTCTTTAAAGTAAAACTAATTAGCTTTATAATTAGTTTTTTCTTTTTCTTAGAATTATTAAAATTTAATATTATTTCTCTATTTATATAAATTAATATATTATCTTTAACCTTAATATTATTATTAATATATTATTTAAGTATATCTTAAAAAAAGGTTAAAAAAGTAATTCTTAATTATAGGGATATAAAAGGCTTAATTCCTAAAGGGACCTTAGCCTCTTTATTATCCTTAATTATAAAAGGTATAATTAAGTAATAAATCTATTAATTATTAATATAATTAATATTCTTAATATCTATAATTATATATCTTTTTAAGTTAATATAAAATTAATATTTTAAGATTAAATTAATAAGATTAAAAGAGATATAATTAATTAAATCTATATAAGAAAATTCTTATAGCTTAACTTAGATATAAAAGATTTATTTCTTAAAATACCTATCCTTAATCCTAAGCTTATTTATAATAATAATTTAATAAATCCCCTTAAAGCTATTTAGATTATTATTATAAGAAATATTTTTAAATTTTATATTTATAATTTAATTATTAAATACTTAGTCTTATATTAATAAATTAAATATAACTAAGGGTATATCCTTTTTTTTATTAATTTTTAAGGTCCTAAGGGAATAAATTATTTTAAGCTTAATATATATTAATTTTATTAAATCTTAAAGGGTTTAAAAGAGAGTAAATATATTAATAAGATTATATTCTTAACCTCTTTATTATAATATTAAAGGAATTATATAGAGATTAAATTTATAGGGCTATTTTACCTTAGTAAAATATTCTTACTAAGTAAGGCTTATATTTTTAGCCCTAATTATTTAATTAATTATAAGGGAATTAAAATAATAAAAATTAGATTTTTAT